ATTATATATAATATAGAAAAAAAATATAATAGTATACTAATAGGTAAGGAGCCTGTCTATAACCTTAATAGTTAAATATATAGTAGTAAAGAGTTTAAAATAAAAAAGATAAAATATATAAGAAGTATATATATATATATCTATTTATTATAAGTTATTTTTTTTAAAAGTTCCTTTCTAAAAGAAGACCACTATAGTTTATAAGCTCTCTAATATTTAAAATAAATTTACTAACTAGTCTTTGACTAGTTAATAAGTAGCTATTTTATTAGAATTTTATATTATCTTATAGTGTTACCAGGTTGAATAATATTAAATATAAAGGTGAGGATAAAATAGCTTTAAATAAAGAGATAAAGAGTGGTTAGTAATTAAAGCTAGTAAAATTTAAATATTACCCTACTAGGTGCCTACTAGCTATATACTAGCTATGTACTAGCTAGAGTAATAGGGATTCTAGATTAAGCTAAAGGCTAGATACCCTTTCTTAACTAAATACCCTATCTACTAAATCCTATCCTAAGTAGTAATACCTCTAAGGCATTACTATAAGAAGTCTAAATTACTTAAAAAGTTTAAAGACCTTATAGGTAACTAGGTACTTCCTATATACTATACTAGTTAGCTACTAGATATAATATTTCCTTTTTATAACTTACTCTTACAGTTAGAACTGTAGGTATAATATAGTATAGTATATCTATATGCCTTTCTAAGCTTATAAACTTTCTTATTATTAATCTAAGAGATATTAGTAACTAGTAGGTAACTAGTAGATAACTAGTCATGGTCTTACCTTCTTATTATACCTATAGGGAATAGTAAGTGTTGGTATTAGCTTATAAATATTATTATTCTTAAATTAAGTAGAATCAAGATCAGTTAGGCTAGGATATATTAGTAATTTATAAGTACTAATTAAGTAGAAAACTTACTTCTTATTATTACCCATTAATCTATTATGTATATTAGGGACATCTTTGTTCAGCACTTTAGTAGAACTAGTTAAGATATTACTGACTAGTTAGTAACTAGTTAATAACTAGTTAGAAGATAAACTATACTTAAGATTACCAGCCTGCTGCTTATTATCTTCCTAATAAGTACTAGCCTCTCTATATATCTCCTTTAGATCCTCCCCTTATTCTATCTTAATATCTGCCACCTCATTTTCCCTAATAACTTGTTAGTGACTAGTCTATGACTAGTTAGATAGAGGATGAACTATACTTTACTGTTTTAATCTACTCCTAGCTTTTAGTATTAAGAGCTTCTGCCTTCTCTATAATACCTCACTCTTTTATAAACTTATTAACTATATTATTAATAAGCTTATCCTCCTATTGACCCTATTTATTCCTATAAGCTAGTTAATAACTAGTTAGGTACTAGTAAGGTAGTAATTTATACTAAGAGATCTCTAGCTGGCCCTTATTATCCTTAGGAGGATTAATAGTAAGCTCCTAGACTTTCTCTATAGTATTCTAAGTAGGCTTATTAAGAGCTAGAGGAGGATTAAGAGTTCTAACTAGTTAGTAACTAGTAGTAGACTAGTAGGGTATCTTACTATTCCTACCTCTAAGGCTGAAAGCTAGTAGTTCCCTTCTTCTGCCTCTTCTAACTAGAACTGCCCTCTCTAGTATTATTATTACTGCTATCACTGTTAAAGATAGGTTACCTAATAACTAGTCAGTAACTAGCTAAGGACTAGTATAGGTTATCTAGAATTATACTAATACTTAGATTCCTCTTCTTTAAGGTCCTTAACTAGCTTAACTGGTGGTATATCCCCCTTAGCCAGCCTCTTACCCTTAGCTGGCATTTTACCCTTTGATTTACTATGGCTAACCTCCTTCTTCCCTTTAGGCTTTGGATTCAGAGGGCTGTTAAATATATGGTTATAAATAAGTGAACTATCTAACTAGTATATAACTAGTAGGGGCTTACTGAGTCTCTAAATCTTCCTAGTTATTATCTATCTTAGACTTAATAGTATAACACTTCTTTATAGCCCTAATACCATGGTGAAGACATTGCTACTTATATATAGGATTATAAACTTTTAGACTCTCTAGCAGCAACTTAGAGCTTAACTTTATTAAGTTAATGCCAGTCCTGACTAGTTAGTAACTAGTTAGTATCTAGGTGTAGATACTTACTCCTTAATCTCCTTATCCTCATTATTAATAAAGCTATTATTATTATTATAGTCATCTTCCTCCCCATTATCTGCCTAGTTAAGTATAAATAGGTTGGACCTATAGCCTTTATAATTTAAGCTAAATATAGTATATATCTAGTTAGTAACTGGCTATCTACTAGTACCTAGGATAGTATACCCCTTAGACTTCTTAGATACCTTCTTGCGCCTGTTATCTTCTATACTAGTTATAAACTAGTCAGCCTATTATCTAGTATTCTATATTTAATTAACTTACTAGGGTGCCTTCTAATCCTTCTTACTCTTCTTCTTACTAGAACTAGTAGGAAACTAGTTAGTATATAGTTCTAGAAGTATTTTATTAATACTGACATTTTTTCTGCTCTAGCTACTTAAGTACTATTCTTCTTTATCCTCTTAGCTCTTTTTACTTTAAGATATTTTCTTAACCATTCTTTCCCTTTCTTATAATATGTCTTTAAGTCTAGAACCTGTAACTAAGCATCTTTAATACTATGACTAGTTAGCAGCTAGTAGCAGAGCAGTAGAAGGCTTTATACTTAGGATTAGAATCTAACTCTTCTAAGTCTACTTCTACTTCCTCTTCTGAGTTAGAAATGTTAACCTTATTAAGTGCCCTAAAATCATTAGCTTTATTATTAAGACTAGTCACTGACTAGTCACTGACTAGTAATATACCACTTTTTTATACTCCTTTTCTTGGTTATCTTCTTCTCTTTAGTTATAGACTTATTACTGCTCTTACTGCTCTCTAGGTCTGTAATGCCCTTATAGAATCCTATCTAGAACTAGTCAGCCACTGGTTATCCACTATATTATATCCTATACTTAATGCTGTATAAAGGTCCTTTCCTATCTGACCCTTACCCTTTATTACCTGAAACTGGATCTCCTTATACTGGCCTTTAATATGCTTCTTTAAATTATTTATTAAAGAAAATTCTCTTATCCCTTAATCATAACTATCCCACCTATAGAACACCTCCCCTAGATAAATAACATAGTACCCATCCTATATTTATGTAGATTAGTTCACTACTACTTAGGAACTAGTATATAATATGATTACTAACCTTCCTCTTCTTATAGTTAGGTAACTTTATGCCCTTCTCCTTAATATACTTGATGTATACTTAAAACACGCTCTTTCCCTATAATAATTAGTATACTAGTCCTAGATTAGTTAAATACTGCATAAATACTTACCTTGCTTTAGATTGACATCCTGGGCGCTCCAATTGGTGTAGGTAGTGGGTGTGTGTATTGTTTTAAAAGAGAGGGACTGACATGACCTGGTCATGTCAGCTTCGCGAGCTCTAAGTCACATGATGGCCACGTCGGTATCCCAATTAGGCTAGCGTGGTCATGTCGGCTAATTAGCGTGGTCTACGTGAGCTGTCGTCACTAGACTCAACTCATGTGACATGCTAAATTGGAGGCACATGTGGAGGTAAAGACTGCGGTCTGGTAAAGATAGGGTGCTGTGGGATTAAGAATGCCTGGTGCCAAGACGCTTGCTGGTTAGCAAGACTTCAGCGTCAAGTGTGGTCGTTTTTGGTCGCCTGCTAACCGTCACATTGTTATATGGAGTGTATTTTGAGTGTCACATAGATCAATCTTCTACTTTCATATTTTTTTTTCTATTATCCTTTATATTCCAGCGTTGTTCCTATCCATGATGTCATAGTTACCATTCAATGTTCTATTATGGATTAAATAAAGGAAACACATGGGAGCAGTACTTTGATATTAGTCATAATGATAGCTTTACTGAATGTACAGATCAGATTAACACCTTTCATACAGTAGAAAAAACGTCATGGAATACTCATTTAAAGTATGGCTTGACTCGAGTCTCATGTGGGGAATAAAGAGCTATTCTGCAGAACCATGATATCATGAACATCACAATTGAAATTGAATTCCAACCTTATACGCCTATTCTTTTTTCCTGTGAAGTCCAGACTCCATTCATTGATATCTGGTTGGTAGAGGCATAGCAGAATAGCCCCACATTATATTATTCCCTCCCGTCAACTCTATTCTGACAATGACATGACGCGGACATCTATCCAACATTTCTGATTTGGGCATATTTTGTCTTCGATTCATTAAGATAAGATGTTTTATATTATGACTATTCAGCACTACGAATGCAGAATTTATTTGAAACTTGCCATTGTTGCTTAGGGAATCTAGTTTCATTTGACTCTGGTTGATACCTATAAAGAAGACACGGCGACACCATGGATATGAGCTATCTGGGGGGAGTTATTTCCGTCTGCAAATGTCTATCATTGATGATGGACAAACTCTTTCCCTGCCATTATAGATAATTGGTTCGTCTTCCCTAGTCTGAAGATTAGAAGATCGAATCTTCATTGTTGTCCTTTGCTTGCCGAGCCTAGATATATAAACCTATTTATAAGAAACCTGCCCTAATAATTATTAGTACAATGAATTATCAAAACCTGCAAGCTGACCATCCGGTAAACTACCACCCTACAGAAAACATCAAAATTGAGTAAAAGCCCCTTTAAGGACAATTGCATTCTTTTGTTGTCCAATTATACACTCCCATATTATCCCGATCCACTTCGACGATATAAAAAAATAAAAAAGGATACAAAGAGCACGGATATCCGATATTATTTGAATCACTAGAAGGGAGCAGAACTCGTATTGCCTCGTCCTTAGATATCCTCCTCAATATGGACCAGAACACCTTCAGGGAACTTGGAACGTTGCAGATCTTCTGCCTCCATATCATCCGGTGCTTCAAGCCTGCATCATAAGAGATCCCAAAGGTCAATAATAAAACACTGATATGAGACCCAGGGATGCTTACGTCATGTTATGAATTGGAGGCATGCCGTGGGTGGAGTTGATTGGTTTCTGGATGGTCGCTCCCTTCCCGGTGAACATTTGCTCAAGTCTGGAAGAAGTTCAGCATTGGAATATTTCATTTGATCTTGAATATTCAAGTAAATGGATAGTGGGACGATAGAACATACGCCTTTTCGTCGTTATCCTTGCTAAAATCCTCCCAGTCTTCCACGCTGGCGAAACGGACACTAGCAGACTTTTGCGATAAGCGATCATTCATATTATATCATCAATTCAAACCTACCATGAAATGCATTTTTGTTGTATTGAGAGTATTTGTTCGTTGTTGAAGTTCGAAGAACGTAGTTGATGAAGTCGAGTTAAAGCTACTCCGGGGGCGATGAGAGCTTTAAGTACCGAACACTCTATGACATTATCTCCAGCATAGCTTCTATGTTGAGCTTGCTGTTACCGTGGATGAAGTTGGATTTGCACATAAAATAGAGTTGTGTTGGAGTCTCATGACTTCACATTCGGTGCGGGGCAACCATATTTGCTCCTTGAGGTATAAACCTCGGAGACGGAATGAGGGGTAGTTAGTTCCATATGCTAGTCATCTGGACTACTGTTCTGTAGGGCAAAAGGCCAATTATTTAGATCGAGAGATGATGAAGCGTTATATTTCCTTAGATCTTTTTAGCTTCTTGTATATTTTCAGACTAGGCCCTCACGCTTGGCAAAATATATTCCCGGTTCCAACAGAGTTTGAATGATAATGACTTGTCACTGAAATAGCACCAAGGACTAGCAAGGATTGAATCAATGGAAAAAAATAGTCAATATCTCATTGCAATTGCCAAGATCAATCATCGACAAGTTGAAGTAAATACCGCAATGAGAACCGAAAGTTGAGTGGTTAAGAGTGCAGGAAGAATGCCCATCAGATTTTGGCCTCAGACAAACATGACCATCTCAGACTGTGCATTTATTATTTGAGCTCACCCATAAAAATATTTACTTTTTTAATGAATCCAAAGCATAGACTAATTAGCCAAAATATCCGTCTCATTCAAGCCTTATGCGCTCAGTCCCTTGGATCATGCTGTGTCGATTAATTCCTTCTCCATATTGTTATCGTTCTCTCCTAAGAATCCGGAGGCCTGTATTCAACAGCTGGAGCAGAGTGTACAGAGACTAATCCATCATCTTCCACCCCACAGGGAAGCTGCTTAACAAGGCAGAGGTTAACAATCAACAAAGTATCCTTCATATCTAATAAGTTGCTACAAGATAATTCAATACTGAAGATCCTCCACTATATATCACCTATGCCATCTCTCAAGGACTCTGCTACAATAAAAAAATCAGCAATAGAATATCAGCATCTATACCCTCTACCCAAACTAATCACTTCATCGGAGATCAATCCAGTTGTGTGATTCCAAGCAAATGTTTTTTTATATTTTTTTTATGGATTGATTCTTATAATAAGCATCCTTCACAACTTCACTGATGCTGACAGCGTTGGACGAATTCCTCCTATTCTTACTAGGTATTATTATAGTAGAACAGATGACTTTACTCTAAGATAAATGCCATTAATTAGTGATAATATGAACTCCCCTGTGATTGACTGACGGACCTGAAATAGATGGAGAAAAAGTGCTGACTCTGCTGCAACCTTGCGCAGTTGAAATTCACAAGAGCAGGATGAACGGAGAGGTGCTATGAGGGACGATGAACACAGCAACCGAGACTCAAATAGTGATCACCGACGGAGAGATTGATATTGGAGCGTATGCCACAGTCTTCCCTTGAACTCTAGTACTATACCTAGATCTGAGCTTTCGGTTTCACCGCTTCCTCTCACCATACGATTCATACTGCATCTTCGTACGCAGACGCCTTGATCCACCGAAGGCGATACGTCCAATCTCCTCATCCTGAGCATCATCACCAACCCACCCAGGCAACTCATCCAAGACCCTAACCTCATCGTCAACCGAGACCTTCAGCGGCACGCTCTGACTTATCGAACTACCGAGCCTCAACAAACTGAACGCATCCAGGGAGCCAGTCCAACGTGGAAACCAACTCGCATACACTGCCGTTGCCAGTAACCCTAATAGATCAAGTCCGATCAAAATAGAGACAACAATAATTCCTGTAAGCGAGATCGACGGCTTCTGAGAGTCCGCTCCCATATCATACTCGACTGTCAGTGAATTTCTATTAGGGAAGCCCTCGGAAATCCAAGCCATATTGGCCAGATATGCCGCGACAGTAAATGCATTCGCGAAATATTGATTGCCAGCCGCGACCGCATCTGAACCGGCTGGACCGGCCACATTAGCTGTTCGGAAGTTGGAGAGCCATGATCCTGCCCTGAGGACACTAACCCACCACTTTTTTCCATCGGGCGCCTGAGGGTGGACGCATATATTGATATCAGTTGAATATAAATCGCCCGCAATACTGCCGATTGTGTTGAAAGCCAGTATCCTCCCCAGGGGAGCGACGTCGCCGCAGAGAAAGCTGCTGTTTGCGCCTGGTATTTCTCTGTGCTCGTATAAATCAGAGTACCGGTTGACAAGATCAATCCAGGAGTTGGGGCCGAAAAGGGCCAGTGCTGTCGTTAAGAGAGGACCTTTGTTAAGGACAAGTTCGAGGCTTTCGATCGCTGGCATGGTGTCATTTCCGCGCTTCTTCTTTTTGTTGGGCTCGTGATGATTGCTAGGCTGTCAGTATAGGAGAGCTACGTTTTTATCACAAAGGATGATCTTACTAGATATCAAAGCCGTCTTCTGAGTCCCCCATGCCCTGAACACCACAGGAGTTCTCACAGGAAGTGCTGGGGTCGTCGCGGAGGAGAGGCCCAGCCTTTTGGCCGTTCATATAGTTGGGCAGTTCAAAATAACCGGCTGTGGTGTCGACGGTGATGCGGAACTATTCAGAGAATGGCGATGATGGATTTTCTGCCATAAGATTGAATAGCAGATCATTCGACAAAGAAACGTTGAGGTAGAGATCTTCCGTAAAGTCCTGTCGGGCTCGAGTCTTCTTCCACGGTGACACTCGAAGATCAACAGGCATGCAGGCATGGACTGCCCAGGACAGCTCCTGCGAGGGAAACTCAACAGGACTTCCCATATGTCGAATGGATAAAGCCCCCGGTATCGTATCGCAATCGGTTGGAAACTCGGCGACAGGGATGATCTCGTAGCGGGCCGTGGAATTGAACCGGGGCAGGAACTGCTGGATCAGCCCGGTGTTGTAGTCCCTGGGCAGCTGTGCGAGAAACGGGTCGGACAAAATTGACAAGTTGCCCCAGCTTACGCCACCTTGGGTGCATAACATGCCTTCGTCCATGGTGATATTATCCATAGGGATGCAGTTGTTACTTCCAGCCCAGAGCAGGGCGGGGAAGTCATTGCCCGACGTGGAGGCGAGTAAATCACGGACTACGCTGACAGTTGCGCCCGTGCCAAGTTCGGTAAGCTTCATGTGTTCGAACTTGTCGGGTATATCGAGAAGAAAATTAACGGGAACAGGATATGTCGGGGTTTTGATTGTCTTTGTCGAGAGAAAGATCTGCTGCAGCGGGGCGATGATGGCCCCGATAGCATGTAACAGCACCGCCCAGAGCAGGAAAGTGCTCCCATAGCGACGGAATCGGCCAGTTAGCAGTCGGAAATAGGTTTCGATATCTGTCCAGCCTTTATCTGCTAGGACGGTCATCTGGCGGAGGGTGAATCTTGGAGTTCGCCCATCATTACAATGTTGGAGATACACCACAGCCGCACTCGAACACACGGCAGACGTCAAAGGGATAGTTAACACACTGGCAACAGACTGGATGACTTGGGCAGCCTTGTACCATTTCTCGTTCCTTTGATATTGAGCCTGGATAACATCGTCATGCGACCATCCGTAGCCGTTATTGTCGTCGTTCCACACCCAGACACCATAATGATTTGCCGTGATGGGACGGTAGTTGAGCTTGCATATCACGATCCACGAGAAAAGAACCAGAGCAGCGTAAAAGAGCACAAGCCAAATCACGTATGTCAGGCGGTGGATCCGAGTCGAGTGTGCTCTCTTTGGTCCAACCGTATGATTGTTAACAGCGTGCCCTTCGCCACTGGAGACAAAAGGCCAGGACGCCATATCTGCCTCATTGGGATAGTCCAGAAGAGATCATGCCAGGGGATTCGCAGGCCGGCTTTAATATTTTGGCTGGTAGACGAGGCTGAGACATGCGCCATCCACACAGCGCTTAGGTAGTAGCTTCTAGACCCCATTTGGAATATGAAGAAGGTTACACTAGATAAGAAATAAACAGAGCAGTTAGAGCCATGCAGCTAAAACTGTTATCACTCTTTGCCTGGCCATTAAACGTTTATCATTTGTGCTCAGCCTTGCGATAAGCAACATGCTCCCAGCCTCGCGTACCGAACGACCCGCCAATCAGCATAAGATTCCATTCTGAATCCGAGATCGACGGAAAATATTCAAAATCGTATCGCAAATCCCTAAATTGCAAGGACTTGCAAATGCGCCTAGCTCTTGATTGACGGAACAAGCGTTCAATGCAGCGAAGGTTCAGTGTGGCAAAAGATTATATGCTTAATATAGGTATTGTGATATTCCAATCATTCCTCTCAAAGTCGAAAGTATTCTAGAGTTTTTAAATACTCCTGTTGTTAATCTGGGTAGTCGGATCAACCTCATACACCAGCATAGCATCACGGCATCCCTATCTAGCGTACATGCTGGGGGACCCTGGATGATCCTCAATCTATTATGGTGGATGGGCAAGATCTATCAGTTACTAAGAACCTTTATGCAGCCCTGTCACATCTTCGCGATGAGTTGGAAGGGGTGACATAGCTTGCCGTTTTTATGAACTATAAGCGACATTATTCTAAGCCATTGTCCTTCGTTCTGTGCTGCTGCCTTGATCACTCCATCTGGAATTGGAAGTTCATCCCCTTTTTGGCTGAATAGTAACTTCATTACTTTTGCCCCTTTCCCAGTGTTCCCGACTGCTGCGTGGGTCACTTGATCTGATATAGGAATATAATTTCTTTCTGTAGCACTTTGCTCCATGAGTTGGGGGGCAGCCCTGCCTTGTCAATGTCGTCGGAAGCCATGGCCAGCAATGCATATACCTTATCGTGAGAAAAAGTAGCCTCATGACTGTGCTACATATCTTCCAATTCACCCAAGGTCCGAAAGGGCGCTCCCTCTATGGGATAGGTGACCGAGCGGATGATACCCTCTTGTCCTGGGGCATACCTCTTGGAAAGATTCAACCTGTTGACCCCGGAGGAAAAGGCGTATCCCGCTATTTCTGCGGAGCCACGCATAATGACGACGCATCGTGCTAGGTCTACCTCTTGGAGTACCTGCATTGGTATTACACGTCTTTTCACCAGAAAGAGAATAGAAACACAAGCTTGCCCACATGCGGCGAAACCACAGCAATTCGTCTTTTTCATTTGATACAGATCCCACAGACCCAACCTCACTGTCCGATGTATCCTCGCCTTCCTCCAATGCGTCCGTTTCGTCCCAGTCTTCATCATCTGACGGTCTGACCATCGTTAAAAATGGAATCCGACATTGATCCCCGGTCGCTGTCAGCTAGGTCATGTATTAATCCGTTGTTCTTAGCAGAGTAGCACTCTTCCTCTTTCTTTATCTCGTCTGGGTCGCTGTATTCAAGAGCCCGTATATATTCGAGTGCTTCACTGCTTCCATCTGCCTCCTCTCCAAGCCAAACCACGACCCGGCCGGAAAGGCCATATACCTTACCCATCAGCTGAATCTGTCCTTCTTCCTCTTTTTGGTTGCTTTGGCCAATGAAAATAGCATCTTGAGATCTCAGAAGAGGTGGTCAAGGCCGCAGCCATAAAAAGGCAATGTGGATATGGCATCTTAAAGTCTCTCGTTGAATGCAAAGGCAGTCGTCTTCCAATCTCAGACCAGGTTCTCAAGGCAGCTTCTGGCAACGAGTTTCATGGATTTCGCATCATGGACCTGCTACTTGACCAAAAAGGAAAAGGCTTTGTCATATCGGACAAGATTCTGAAATCCGCTGCTCACAATACTACAAGAGAAGGGCTCGCAATTATGGAGCTCATGCTTGGCCAAGAGAATAGTACCATTCCAATTCCAAGGCCACTCGATGAAACGGTATATCAAAGGGATTATATAAAAGACCTCTTAAGACACCACTTTGGGCCAGGCTTTATGGGAGCAGCCGAGGATAGCATGATGGCTGACGGGGAGAAGTGGCCATGTGTTGTATATGCTGGTAATAGGTTGCAATCAAGTTCATAGACAATTGCTGAGGGGGTGTTTTCTTGGTACATTGAAAACATGTGATATTAGCAAACATGTCTACATATAGGCACCGAAATTCTATAACAGCTTGATCTGTGCGTTAAGGAATAAGGGACTTGGATTGGTCAGGTGTTTGACATCGGCTTAGTATAGACTAATCCACTCATAGACTTGGCATGATTTAATGACATGAATTAATCTGAAGTTCATGTATCCAGGGATAGTACTCGTAGCTCACGAGCCAATCAAGACTGTTCTTCTTCTCAGCTGCTACCTGTTCCTCAGCCGCAGTGGATCCTTCTATCCAGATCAGATTGGTGGCTGTTGAATGTCGATGCTTCCTTTTCAACAGAATGACGCCATACCGACATGGCTGAGCTGAAGAGCTGAAGAGCTGAAGAATAGGGAGCCACCGTAGAGGGATAGAAAAGCTATATAAGCGGCGACTGTCCTGACACGTGTTGACGCCATCCGGAAACTCTCTAACCATCTATCTTTCTATTTTTCACCCGATTAATCCATCAAAATGTCTTTTTATGATTCCTCCCGAGATGTTTACATTTCAGTGGAAAATGGAAGAACTACTCTACATGCCAGATGCCTAACTCCGGATGGTTACTATAAGGATAGCAGCATTGACCTTGATGACCATCTTGGCAATGGAGATGGTAAGTAATCTATCTTATTCTGATATATTTTAATATTCGACCGAACACTAATGAGATAATTTACACTAGGCCGCTTCGAGCAGGGTGGTTCCAACTTCACTCAGAGTGCTCAAGGTGTTAAGCTGGATTTTTATAACAACGACCCACTTTTGACAGCTGAATTGTGCAGGTATGGTGGAAGATATGACTATGCTACTTTTCATATAAACCGTGTTATTTCAAATGAGAATGGTGTTCTCACCTGGGTAGGTACTCACTCTGCCTGGCGTTATATATGTATGCTGATGCGATTCACAGAACTAAAACAACAATTAATTTGGGAATGGGGAGAAAGGGCTTGGTTGAGCATACTAGAACATGGATGATTTACATATATTTTAATTGATGGACAATCGTAGCTTCAATAAATCCAACAGAATTCAGCAATATTCGCTATTTCCGTCTCGTTTCTAGTGTCGTCACAGCACATTATTCTACTAGATTATAGACTGGACAGGATGCTACAACTTTAGGCTATAGAGGAAATTTCATTTATATCTCACTAATCAAGCGTTAATTTGGACACTTATTAGTATCATAATATCATATTACTATTGACTATGTCGTTTTATTCTCATACAGACGAGGCAGGGGATGATTGTTTAGAAAAAGCCATTTCATTACCCCATAAGGTCACGCGTTACTCCTACGGTTAAGAAGTTCAAATTGCAGACAGATCTAGAGGAGGCATTTATCTACTTGAGGTCCGAGGGCCACCGGGACGTTGCCATCTCTCAGTCAAGCTGGGTCTCCCTAATTATAGTTTAGGACAGCCTCTCCAGCTAGTTCTGTCCTAGCCACTTGCCCCATAACACAACGAGTGTACCCGGGGTGGGATTGCCGTGATCTGAAAGGTCAAGATTATATTCCTGGGTTGCATCGGTGTCTATGGCAGCGATCCTAGCGGTAGGTATATTAATACAGGATACAGTAAATGTTCAGACATGGAGTGTTAAAAAGACATATTTGAAGCTTTAAAGAGGGGTTATGGCTCCTGATACGAAGCGAGCTGAAATTGACGCGTTCCTCAGCCGCAGTGGGTCGTTGCATGGCGAGGCCATATTGGTGGCTGTCAATGTCGATCTGGTTCTTTAGCTGAATGACGCTTGAGATGCCGGAGATGAGCTGAAGAACCGTACCCACTATGGAGGGGTAGCAAAATTATATGAAGAACCCATTATCGCTCTCAGATCTCAACACAATCCAGCCTCTTTAATCCTTCTGTATTTCTCCAAGACTTGCCGGGATATCCACTAGTACACGAATTTCGTCATAAAGAGTGGTAGTCAATATCATAGAAACTAGTATTCTCTTGTTTATTATTTTGATTAGTCAGGGTATACGCTTGGATGGGCATATTACGAATAAGAAAGGTACCATCGCCTGGGTGGTAAGAAGTCAACCATCTGGTAAAGTAAGATCAATCTAATACCCAGAGTCGGAATAACCTGAATGACACATTCCGGATGAACAAACCAGACAGGGAATAGACGAACCTTGAATGAGCTTGAAAAAAGTATATGCTATGATTCGGTAGATGATAACCCGGGGAATACTTATTCAGATGCCTGTTGAACGAAAGTCGTGCGGGGTTGATGCAGATCGCGGATAATTACATGACCACGGATTATTATCCATTTTCTGTTCTTATATTACAGTAGCCCCTCATTTGTAGATTCAATCATGCAAATAACATCAACATAATGCTGGTCCATATTCTCTCTCTTTTAGGCCTCAGTCTGCTAAGTGCAGCAGCCCATAATCAAACATGCACCGTCTTGCCCCTCGGCCATGGACAAGATGATGTACCTAACATACTCAAAGCAGTCCATCAATGTGGAAAAGGTGGTCGAGTTGTCCTTCCATCTCCATATACTTACAGAATCAACCAGCGCATGACAACCCATCTCGAGAATTCGCGACTAGAGCTTGAAGGAACTCTACTCTTCAGCGACAATATCAACTACTGGGTGAACAATTCTTATCGAGTTGACTTTCAGAACCAGTCTACTGCATGGCGTATCACAGGCCATGATTATGAAATCGACGGCGGAAGACAGATGGGTGGCATCGATGGGAATGGACAACTATGGTACACATGGGCCAAAGGGGGGAGTAACGTCTTTGGTCGACCGATGCCACTGCACGTTTTTAATTCAACAAGAGCAACATTACGGAATATCGCAATCAGACAACCGCAATTCTGGGCTGTGTTGGTGGATTCGTCCTCGGATATCGTGCTGGATAATTTCTATGTCAATGCGACCAATACAGATTATAAAGCCGATAAAGAAGAACAGTGGGTTCAGAATACAGACGGAATTGATACGTTCCGGTCGGATAATATCACCATTACGAATTGGGTATACCAAGGTGGTGACGATGCAGTCGCTTTCAAGGGAAATTCGACTAATATCCATGTTGAGAATGTGGCTGTCTATGGTGGCCCTGGCATTGCATTTGGTTCTCTTGGACAGTATCCTGATCGACCGGATATTGTGGAGAATATCACCGTTCGAAATATCAGTTTGCAGCCATCGTTGCAACGAGCGATGTCGTCGGGTATTTACTTTAAGAGCTGGTATGTCTTCCATCCATGTGTATACATTGGCTGACTGTTTAGGATTGGTGTTAACTACGGCGCCCCCCCCAAATGGAGGCGGAGGTGGGCATGGATACGTGCGCAATGTCAACATTGAGAATATCAAACTCAAAGATGTGGAACTCCCAATATACATCGACACATGGTGAGTCCACCCTTCTACTGTCGAAGTATACTAATGAAGCAGCCTGAGCTACCTCCCCGGAAAGAACGTCACCCAATACTGCAACACATCGCCGTACCATTTTAACCATTTGCATTTCAAGAATATCAGTGGAAATGGACTTGCCACGCCTACTGACTACACTGAACAGAATATCACGTTCGGGATTTCGCTGCTCTGCTCGAAGGAGGCACCATGTACGGATTTGACTTTTGAGGGTGTAAATGTCACGCTGCCAGACGGGTATACTGGATCTCAGGTTCTTTGTGAGAATGCCCAGGTGAAGGGATTGGTTTGCAATCAATAGATGAACCCATTTCATTCTGGGTGTTATTAAGATAATCTTTCACAGAGATCCCGGAAAGATTAAGCGCTGTTCCTTCCTCCAATTCCTTCAATCGATGCTGAAATGAGTCCCTTCAGAGGAAGACCAGTAAAACCACTGGATGACCTGTCGATGAAGCATGATGGATAGCAATATCATATTTTCTACTCTCTCTATTCCATCGAACAAGTAGCATAAGTCTTGACTAAGGAATCAAATAAATAGCTGGTCTATCAGACGATCATGTGACGATGGATGCCTGATTAAAAAGGCTAATAATCATAATCATCCTTGTATTCCGCCCTACAGAATCTACATTTTACAACCCCCTTCCTCTTACATACATACCCACCGACCTCAACTGGGCGGCAATCGTGCGTGCAATCGTTTATGTGTCCGAAAGTCATTCACGGGGAGCCCATTTTGTATGTGATGGTCCGTGCATTGTTGATTTCCCCATACAAAGTGGGCCGCTCACATTTGCCCCCTTCCCGGGCTGCAACTGACACACTTTATCTCTACTACTGTCATCTTTTATTCTCAAGATGAAGATATTCAATCGACCTGGTCGACTGGGTCGGCCGACATATCTACCTCTTTTACGCCGGTCTTCCAATGTCGCAATACTCGACCAAGCAGTGAAAATTGAGGAACAAAAAATGCCTGCATACGATCGGGGACTTTATTATGCCGTCAAACTCGGAGACGTGTTTCGCTCTCGATATCGGGTTATCAGCAAGTTGGGATTTGGTGCTACTTCTACAGTCTGGTTCCGTCGTGACCTTCTGTAATATGACCTAACCTTCTCATAAAAATGAACGACGCTGATCAAAATAGCGAGGGTCGGTGCATCGCACTAAAAATATTCATCCGCAGTTCAAAGACAAACCAAGAAGTGAGGTTCCCCGCCTCGTCAGGAACTGATGTTTGTCTGCCTGTTTGAACCCAATCGTATGGGAAGGAGAAATCGGGAAATGTAATGCAATCAAACAAGAAGCGCTTTCATAGTCTCCAGCATTATCTACCAATATTGTGATTCCCCGCGATCTGTCAGTGCCCTAATTGTAATCAGATCAGGTATATCAACCTCTGTGATTCATCTTCTAACAAGATTTATCTTGTGAGGGTAACCTCAGCTCCCCTACCCCAGACTCTTAGTATTCATCTATATACTGAACTTGAATGCGAATCCAGTTCATTACTTTTACGAATGACACTTGCTTCTATCTAAGGCTAAATACATGTTGCTCTCCATCTTTCTATTTTTCAACAGCTCTACTAGTTATTTTCATACATGATAGTAAGGTTGGGCCTTCAAAGAACATTCAACTCCCGTGGTAAAACCAGGTATGTGGGGTTAATTGAATAGGGGGTTTTCTACGATCGATTGCAGTCATGATGACTACTGTTGAGATAACATCAACAAAGATAAGAACTGTCATGCCAAGCATATATTACCCTAGTTTCTTGGTGACTGATAAATAAGTCGCAGTAACCATTTGATAAGCTATATTCGGCCCGGTATCTCGTTATCTCTGACTCTATACTCACTCGACAAATCCCCGTCCAGCATTCTTCCTCCCCGCACATCGTCGGCAATATTTCCGATATCTCACGGAGAATATATGTCAAGATAAAGGCGCGGGGATATGACATCGCTTAGAGATACCCAATACATCACCCCACGCATGTCATTGAAGGGCGTACCTGATTATCAATCATTGTCTAGATTAGATTTGATGATAGTGAAGATATGGTCGTAAAGGCGGACTATAAAGTGTGCCTTGGGATGGCTTTGGAGATGTTTATTTCAGGATAACAGCATCGTTTTCATTGCCTCCAAGATGAGATCTCTCTTATTCGCATCAATCCTTTCCCTCAGCCATGCGGCTTCCCTTCAGAGCTCCCACAGTGTTGTTCGATTCCACGATCTGGACGTGACAGCCGACTCCCTCCACAACATCCACATTGAGTTTGCGGATAAGCAATTCCAAGGCCATGTGGAATTTGTATACGGTGATTGCAGCATTCAACATCCAACGGAGAGTCATCACACTATTACGTCCCATTTCGTCACTCGTGATGCTCATCCAGAACGACTGGTTTGGGTCACTCCTCCTGATGCACAAGGACTGCATTGTATTCATGCCTTCTCCAGTTCTATCCTTCTCGGTCGTTCATCGCCTATAACGGTCACTCCAGTCATGAAGAAGCGCGAGAGTATCGCAGATGTGGCGGATATGGAGGGTCCATGGTTCGACGGAATTGCATACATGAAGTCAAAGGCACAAGACAAAGCATTAGTCGCCAAGTCTAAAAACACCTCTGTTGCTATTCTGGGAGGTGGCATGTCCGGCCTTATGACCAGCCATCTACTGGAGTCTGTGGGTATTCATAACTGGCACATATATGAATCTTCCGGGCGAGTCGGAGGTAGAATCCGCACAAAGTACCTGAACAACACACGCCCTGATGAATACCAGTACCAGGAGATGGGACCGATGCGATTTCCCGTTAGCATCACATACGCCGACACCAACGAGACACTGCAGATCATGGACCATCGCATGGTCTTTCAGCTGGCCGGCGTGCTCAACAAGATGAACGCCGACAGACCGGATCTGCAGGTCAACTTCATTCCCTTCTACCAGCATGGGGACAACCTACCTGCAGACTCCGGGGGTGTTAGGCTTCCGAATGGCTTCATTCCCACTGTCGCGGATATCGCTGCCAACTCGTCGCTGTCATACACGGCAGCAGCGTCCAATGCATCGGCTGTCGCACAGGCAGAGGCAGCTTACAATAACTACACCACCATGGAAAATCGCGAGACAATCCGTCAGCTTGCAACCAACATGTACAAAATGCATCGATGGGCAGTCGACAACAACATGTTCCACTGGTCTGAAGCTGGATATCTCCGCTATGCACTCGGCGAGAATGCCAACATCTCCGACTATATCGCCGGAACAACCCCCACTCCCATCTGGGGCGACTTGTACGAGGACGTCTACTTTGCTGCTACGGAATGGAGGACCATCGATAAGGGACTCGAGTCGCTTCCTCGTGCCTTCTATCCCCATGTCGCGGACAGAACAACGCTGAACCGCACAGTCGACGGGCTTGTATACAACACCACATCCGGCAAAATCGGCGTCGCCTGGCGCAATCATCCCCTCGACATGACCCCTCAGACAAAAGAATACGACTACGCCGTCGTGGCAGTCCCATTCAGCAAAGTCAGACTCTGGGAAATGCCTCAATATTCATCCCTTCTCAGCCGCGCAATTTCCACCCTCAACTATGACCCCTCCTGCAAAATGGCTCTGCTCTACAAAACCCGCTTCTGGGAACATCTCGACCAGCCCATCTACGGTGGCTGTGGGTCCGTCGACGTAGCGGGCGTCGGCAGCGTCTGTTATCCATCGTTCAACATCAACGGCACCGGTCCAGGCGTGGTGCTGGCGTCATATGTCTCAGGCACACCTGCTCGCTCCACGGCCGCCCTGAGCGATGAGGAGCACGTCGCGCTGATCCAGCGCACAATGGTGCAAATACATGGTGAGATCGCAGCGGAGCAGTTCACGGGTATCTATGACCGCCAGTGTTGGGAGGTTGACCAGCACCAGGCTGGTGCGTGGGCGGATCCGCTTGTCGGTCAGCAGGAGTTGTATCTCCCTGCTTACTATCAGACTGAGTATAACACAATCTTCATTGGTGAGCATACCAGTTATACGCATGCGTGGATTTTCTCAGCTCTGGACTCGGCTGTACGTGGTACGACGCAATTGCTGTTGGATCTTGGTCTGGTTGATGAGGCCAAGGCTATTGTTGAGGAGTGGATGGGGAGATGGATTAAGCTGTAGTTAGATATATACTGTCTAGATTTCAATGTTCTACAATAGAATCAAAAAAGTATAAGGAGAAAGATTGACTTCGCATTGATCTATATCTATATTCTATAATCATAACTTGTTTTCATAAGGCGGTTCAGGAAATCAAAGCCAGCTTTGACTGTCTCCTGTGTTTTCGTTGTCATTTCTCAACTTGTTGCATGGAAGGTACCATAGAGAGCGAAAGGCTTAGCCCAAAGTGAAAGTGAAGGTGGCGTCCGACGAGCAGCTGTTGGTGTTGGTGTCATCGGGGTGCTGGTAGGAATCGGCACAGTTGGAGTCCCCAGCGGAGCAGGAAGCCGACTTGCAGCTGGAGTCGCTGGAGGTGACACCGAATCCGGACTTGACGAAGGCAGAGTCCGAGTCGAGGTTGATGGAGGACAGATCCCAGTAGATGTCTTCGCCCTTGAGGGAGTATTCGAATTGCAAGACACTGTCTTTGCTCTCGCTTGTGGACAACTTGATCGAGACGCTTTCGCCGTTCCAGGACTGGGAGTAGCCGTCGCCGCCGCTGGAGAGGGTCTGCATTTCGCCGTCGGCGGTGGGCCAGAGATAGACAGTCTGGCCGAGGTTGTTGACGATGTTGACGCCGCCGCCGCCGCTGGAGGAGCCGGAGGATCTGGCTGCGATTGGCGAGGTGTTGGTAGGGAGGGCAGATGCAGCGAGGGCAAAAGCGGCAGTGGCAGTGAGGAACTTGGTGAAGGCCATTGTGAAGTGAATGTTTGGTATGGATGGAACTCAAGTGACTGAATAGAAGTCAAGTGACTGAATAGAAGTCAAGTGATTGAATAGAACTCAAGTGATTGAATAGAACTCAAGTGATTGTATTCAAGTGATTGAATGAAGCAATTGATTCAAGTGAAAGTACGGTTGGCAAAGCCACCAGAAAGCAAAGAAAGCAAAGAAGAAAAAAAGAAGAGACAAGAGAGTGTTGTCAAGACTGATTGATCTGATTTGGATACATTCTCAACACTGCGAACCTGGGGCTCTTTATACCTGAGCTGCCGCCAGTAGAATCCCCAATGTTCCTGTGGCAAGACAGACAAACTCCGGTTGGAGCACGATAACCACAGGGACCATAGAGGTACCTGAAGCTTAATTGCACCAGTCCAGACACGCTGACATGATACAGAGGCGACGTTGGTCTCCGCGTGGAAATGCCCCACTCGTTCCCCGCGATTGGGCGATCGTCTTGGGGTCGACATGCGTCGCCCCAAGTGGGTCGCTTGGGGCTGGTCTAGACCGTGAAAAATCTAGTCTCAAACTTTGTATTTTGTGGCGACGAAAACTGATGGAAGAACTTCGGTCTGCTTCCACGAGCCTGTCTTGGCGTGGCGTGGCATGGATTGGCCACTGGGATCTGGGATTGAGTTTAGTTGAGGGTATGGCATCCGCAGCCCCGGATAGGCGGGGCTTAGGGCAGTTTAGTCTCGACCTTGTCTACCATGACATGCCCAGCATACGTACGTCTCAAAAATGGCTCTCTTGCATTGATGGTCTGAGACCAGTTTAGATTATGAATACAGACTAAGGGACTCGGGCTCATGGATATATTCGTAGGAAACGATTGGACATCGTTGTCGCTTTTTGATTTCTACTCGAATACCATGCTAAGATAGAATTTCCACACACTGCAATATACAATCAAATTTCCATATCCTGTAAGACAACCATGAGTGGGTGGAAATCAAAGTTTGAGGGACTTTCGCCCTCGGTAGTGCCTAGGTACCGAGAGTTTTTGCCACGGGGATTTGCCAATGACGGTGATTTGCCCCTGGATCGAAAATTCTAGTCTATTACCTGATCTAGAAGACGGTATAGTGCATCTGTTCTACATTATACCGCTCAATCGTAAGCCATAGATTCATCTTCAACTGCATAACACGTAAATAACATAGCAATCAGAGGTCATTGTTGAAATGTATTTCCATCCATCAAACTGAATACAAGAACGGAGCAATTGGCAAGGCCTTGGTCTTTTGGTATACTTAGTATACTCAGGCCTTTCCAGGGCAGTGCATGGAAATGTCGAAAGGGTTGGATGAGCCGCAGATAGTTCCATCTCCTGCTCCGCTCTGCTTGGTGCACTGTAGAGTCGTCAAAACACATTCAACTGCTTTAATAAAGTTACATGTGCAGGCCTTACACTTCCAGTTTCACATTTCCTAGACACAAATCTGATCAGTACCATATACGGTAGAAATTAGGTTAAGATAGCTCTTACCGGTCAGTTCCTGCAACTTTGCAAGAGGTTCCATTGCACTCCTATCTCTTGTTAGACCCGGTATAGAATAGATGTCTCTGTGTCTTACTCCACACTGAACCCAGCCACTTGGGCACTCGACTTGGGCACTTGCAGTACCAGTACCAACTTCCTCGGTAGGAAGGGCCATGACCATAGTGCTGGCCATGAGGGTGAAGAACAAAGTAGTGAACTGCATTTTGAGATTGAATATGAAGTTATTCTGAAAGTATGATTGAGATGATTGAGATGATTGAGATGATTGAGATGATTGAGATGATTGAGATGATTGAGATGATTGAGATGATTGAGATGATTGAGATGATTGAGATGATTGAGATGATTGAGATGATTGAGATGATTGTGTTGCTGGATAGAGAATCATTTTGAGATGGGATTCAGCACCCTTAAATACCTGAGTTCCAACCTGGGTTCTATACTAATATTGTCAACTGACATGGCGACTCTATCCCTAAATAATGATGGCAGGCCTGAATTATCTCATGTGCATCTATTTCTTCTTGGCCTTATGGGACTGGTTTCTGTTTAGACCGAACATTCATATCAGTTGTGTGTGAAGCAATGATCAGTGATAGGTTATTCATACAATATACCATGTAGGGCTGGTCATCGGATACGGAAATATGGTCAGAGATCATCGTAAGTTGTTCGTATATGTCGATCCATTCTATATATTTCCTAGTGTATGCATGTTTTATTCGTGGGAGATGTAATATCGCCACAAATCAAATAAGAAATAAACTATGTAGTACCCGAGCCTTGCATATGTATCTACTATTAATGTACCCACAGCCTCCATGCCTAGGCGCTATATAGAAAATGCGGGGCTATCCTATAGAAAATAGGCTTGGTTAATCTGCACATCATGTAATCAGCCTGCATATAAGGCTGGGCACGCATAACTTTCCCTTTCCTCGCCCACCCCTGAATCATTATTTCTATCAGATACTTCAATAGCGTGGCTGTATCTACTCAGGCTGCCAGTGCTACTCAATTTTATATGGCTGCACCGCTATCATTCTCGAAATGATCGACATAAGCAACCACCACAAATAAACCCTTTAAATGAGATGGCTGCCGGGCGCAACAAAGTATGGATAGTAAAATGGAGTATCCCAAAAAGAATCCAGGAACGAATACCTGGTATTAGAATCATCTGCCCATGAGCACAGACTTGCCATGACCATCATTGCATTTTCGTCAAATATCCTGGACAGGAAACTTGTCCGCATTGACGTATTCGGCAAAATGTCCCCTGAAGGTAAAAGCCTGCCGAATAAAGATGCAAGACTGCAGTCCATGAGTTTGGATTTGCAATTTACTAGAGAACAGAATCAGCTTCCTCATTATCCTGTGCTACATTATGGACGGTGTCAAGTCTGGCTTATATTAATATTAGCCTCACTGTAATTCCAACGAACCAATCAGATTACAATCTGGTTATCCGCCACAGCATCATTGGTCTAGTGGTAGAATTCATCGTTGCCATCGATGAGGCCCGTGTTCGATTCACGGATGATGCATTTTTTTTCTTTCTTTTTTTGTTGCTTCATTCAACTGATCAGCAATACGTAAATCGTAAACACATTTAGGTAGAGACGCTGTCTCTGGGTGCTCTTTTATACATAATTTCATAGCTCAGCGCGTTCCTATACCCCTCGGAAGGGGCGACAGAAACGCGGACTCCAATCGCGACAACTTGGATACAGGCATAACATTATTCCTGGTCATGTTTCATTCGGGAATAGGTATTAATCACTTCGCATGGCTGTTCATATGATAATATGAGGTTGGGGTGATGATAATTCAACGGATCAGATGAAGCTATTCAGATATTCTAATCCCCAACAACCGAGGATCATCGGGATTATAATATCACTTTTCACGATACAATTGATTATATTTACATTTATTGTGTTTATAAGAGTAATGGATCTTCCTTTTTCAAAGACTCGAAAACAATTCGACTGTGTACAAAATGTTCCCTCTCAAGTACACCATCGCCGTTCTCGTGGGGGTATATATTTTGATCGTCCGTTCTCTCCGTTACCGACGATGCAAGTCTATTCAATCAAAATTCAGTTCTCGTCCGCTGTCCAGCATGACAGCAAAAGAAGCACATGGCATATTCAGAGAATTACGAGAATTGGAATTTCCATACAGTCTGCATAATTCGATGGGCATTGCCCTGCTAAAGGTATGTCCTCCATACTTTATAGCAAAATATATTTAACGATATAGACTTCTGCAATTCCCACCATCGCAAAATTACTATCCGCAACAGGCCAACTGAGTGAAAAGAATGCCTCGAAACGCGGGGCGGATACGGAAATCATCCTGATGGAAGCCCATGATCGCGAACCTGGATCAGACAGCCATCTCAACGCCATCGCACGGATGAACTATCTCCATGCTCGATATCGCAAAGCAGGAAAGATTCTCGATGAGGATATGCTCCACACCCTTGGCTCACCGGTGGTGGAGATAATCCGCGCAGTGAATGATAATGAATGGCGAACTCTTTCAGAAGTCGAGATTTGCGCCGTTGGTGTTTTCCATAAATGTCTCGGAGAAGCGATGGAGATACCATTTACTCTTCTTCCCTCGAGTAAGACTGGCTGGAAAGATGGAGCACACTTTGCGCGTGAATTGTACGACTGGACTTTGGAGTATGAACATGCCGTTGCCAATCCGACGCATTCGACTGTCACTCTGGGAAGGCGATTCCTGGATATTCCCATGTTCAATGTCCCTACATTTCTACGGCCAGTGGCTGAGGGCATCGTTGGGACTAAACTGGATAGACATATGAGAGTTTCCATGGGGTTTGTCGACCATATTCTACTAAGAGGGCAGAACTAACTAATACAGATTCCCCGATCCAGGATATGCAATCCAAGGATTGGCGATGACAATCAAAATCATCCGCCCATTTATCCTTCGCCATTTCAGTGTGCCCAGACCAGAGTTTATGGCCGTCCATGCCCTTAATGAATCGCCAGATCCAGTGTCAGGCATGTATACAATCAACTTCTACACGGCCCATCCATGGTATGTGAAGCCAACTGCCAAGCATCGATGGGGTTTGAGATCGTGGTTTATACGACTCTTTGGAAGTGGAATCGTTCCTGGGACTAGCTCTGGCTTGTATCGTGAGTCTGGATATGACCTGAAGAGTATTGGGCCTGCTGCTCAGGAGAAGAAGGGTGCGGCTGAGATGGAGGAGACCGTGGAGAGGCTGAGAAAGGGAAACTATGCTTCTGCGTGCCCGTTTGCTGTTTAAGATCTCACAGTATGATTCTGACGGATGAGAGAGTAGTTTCGATTTAGTACATGGAGTTGCTATGGACCCAGAGTCCGAACTTGACAGGGATGTGGAAGGTTGATCATCTGCACTATTCCCAACTTGTAGATAGCATGAACATGGATAGCCACAGCCAGAAAAAGTAAACATCGAGTGAGACAAGGCTGTGCGGCTGAGCTTCCCCGCCCAGTTTGCCGTGTATCTCAACTCTTCCTCTCCTCTATTAGCTAACCCAAATCCAGTGATTTCACCATTTTTAACTGTTGAACCTACAAAGGAATAGGGGCAAAGGCCATGGAGCCTAGGAAGCTCACTCATGATGCGTACTCCGTCGGTTGGGTATGCGTCCGCGACTGCGAGGTGGACGCCGCTAGAGCCTTGTTGGACGAGGAAGATGAACCACTTGACGGCGTCAACGACGACAACAGCTATCTAGTTGGCCGAATTGGAAAACATAATGTGGTAATTGCCTTTCCTGCTTCGAGTGGGTCGCATTCGACGATACAAACAGTGACGAACATGATCCGCACTTTCCCAAAAATTCGATTTGGACTGATGGTTGGCGTGGGAGGGGGAGTACCTAATTATCCTCGAATTGATATTCGACTGGGAGATGTAGTTGTCAGTGAACCTGGTGGAACACATGGTGAGTATTACTCTTCATTGATAAGTCAAATACTAACGACGAATAGGGGGCGTCCTACAATACGACAAGGGCAAATGGCTGGAGGGACAGTTTGAAATCACATCACACCTGAATCGACCACCTTCAGTATTGCAAAAAGCAATCAAGCGTTTGCGAGCTGATCATCGATTCAGAAAGGGGAAGATGCAATCATACATTGAGGAAATTATCCAGAAACTCGGCGAACTGCTTGGTTCAGAAGACCCGTTCTTTCCAGGGGTAGACCGAGATATACTATTCCTGGCAGATTATCACCATGTCGGAGGAGAGGAATGCACAGACTGCGATAAACTCCAAGTGGTACAGCGTAAATCCCGCACTCAACCTCTCATCCATCACGGTCTCATCGCGTCTGGGGATATCGAAATGCGATCTGCCAAACGTCGAGATGAGCTACGAGATGCGCACAAGATCCTATGCTTTGAGATGGAAGCAGCTGGCCTGATGAATCACTTTCCATGTCTTGTTATTCGTGGAATTTCCAATTACTCCGACAGTCATATGAATGAGCAATGGCAGCCATATGCCGCCGTTGTTGCAGCTGCATATGCCAAAGACCTCCTCCGAATAGTCAATGCAGAGGAGATCAGCAATACTGAACTGGCTGCCAGCACCTTTGAAAATAGTATGTTATGAGACCCCCGACTTGAAGGTGCACTAACAATGATGCAGTTGGGCATACTTTGTGCGAAGTAGACAAACGTATAACCAAAATGGACAGCATACTTGACGATGGCCACAAAATGAAGATCCTCAACTGGCTGACTCCGTCTAGCCATGGAACCCACCAAAGTAATTTCTTCAGGAAAGCCCAAAAGGGAACCGGCACATGGCTATTAGAATCGGATAAATTCCAGCAATGGCTTCATCAAACAAAGGGCATTCTGTTCTGCCAAGGTATCCCCGGGGCAGGCAAGACAATCATGACATCCATCGTTATCAACCATCTCAACAAGATATTCAAAGACAGTCCAGGAATTGGCATTGCTTATATATATTGCGACTTCCTAAAACGCTCAACTCAAACACGAACAAGCCTCTTTTCAAGTCTACTCAAGCAGTTGTCTTTACAGCATCAGAACTTCCCCAATTCACTGCTGGACCTATACATGCTCCATGGCAGAAAGCAAACCAACCCTTCGTTTGATGAACTTTTTGAATCGCTAGAAGTCGTATGTAACGATTTCGAAAGAACCATTATCATCATCGATGCTCTTGATGAGATTCAAGATCCCAGCGGAGCTTACGGATCGGCGAACAGATTCTTGTCCGAGGTCTTTCGATTACAAGAGCGAACAAATACCAGCCTTTTTGCCACATCGCGTTTCGGTGCTGATATTGAAGGACTATTCAATAAAAAGGGATGCACTATGCTCGAGATTCGTGCCAGTGACGATGACATACGGAATTACCTCGAAGAGCACATATCGGAGCTCCCGTCACTCCGTTCGGACAGTACTGATCTGGCAAGTCGAATAAAGGACACCATTTCCGGAGCTGCGGGTGGAATGTGAGTAACATACCATTTCGGTTCGAAACATACAAGTCTAATAACTTCCAGGTTTCTTGTCGCATGGCTTTACCTTCATTCCTTTAAAGACAAAACCACAATTGGACAAGCCAGGATTGCACTGGAAAAGCCCCCCAGTGGATCCAACCTATATGACAGAATGTATGGTGATGCAATGGAAAGAATTCAGTGCAAAATGGATGGCCTGAAGGACCTTGCCATGCGTGTTCTTCTGTGGGTCTTCCTTGCCACACAACCGGTTACTGTTCTTGAGCTTCAGCACGCTCTTGCTCTGGCTGGAGATCGTGATGCATCTGTATTCAATCATGAACATATGACAGATGCCGAATTAATCACATCAATGTGCTCTGGCTTGGTGACTGTTGATTGCAACAGCCAGATTGTCCGGCTTGTTCATTATACAACACACGAATACTTTGATCGAAACTGGACTACTTGGTTCCCCAATGGTCACTCTGATATCGCAAGTACCTGTATTGCATATCTTTCATTGGATGTTTTCGAGACATCTTCCCATTCAAAAGAAGAGCTTGATGATCGTTTGCAATTATATCCACTCTATAGCTATTCTGCAAAGAACTGGGGTGTTCATGCCCGCAGACAGTCTGTTGCGGAAGCACTAGTGATGAGGCTATTGGGAAATGAAAATAAAGTCCACTCTTCAGCTCAGGTCCTGCAGATTCAATGTCATTGCAAATTTCGCTCCGTAATTTGCGCCTGTGATTTCCATGCGAAGTGCGAGATAAAACCATCTGCACTGCATTTGGCTGTCTACTTTGGGCTTGAAGGAATATTCCAGATATTATTGCTCAACAATGGCCATGCCATGGACGCCCGAGACTCCCATGGTAGAACCGCACTTTCATGGGCCGCAGAGCATGGTCATGAGGGTCTGGTTAGATGTCTTCTGGAGAGCGGTGCTGATGCAACTTTGAAAGACATCTATGGCCACACTGCATTCGCCAGGGCAGCGAAGAGTGGGCACTATGCCATTGCAAAGATTCTCGCTAATAGCTCTGGTATTGATTCTAATGATATCTCTCTACAACTGGCCTTCTTACGGGCAGCATGCCATGGCTTCCTGTCAGTTGTGCAACTTTTTCTGGGCAGAGGATTTGATCCTCGCTTCAACGACCCAGAGTTCGGTCGAACTCCACTATCACAGGCAGCTGAATATGGCCAAACGGATATTGTCAGGTTATTTCTTGACATTGATATTGATCCCAATTCCGAGGATGTCAATGGGGGAAATTCAACTCAAGACAACACTGGGAAAACGCCCCTTATGTGGGCAGCAATGAATGACCGGTTATCGATCGCTCAATTACTACTTGAAAAAGGTGCGGATCCAAGCAAGCAGGAAAAAGACGGTCAAGGAGCCTTGTACTTTGCGATTACAAAGGGGCATATCCAGATTGTCATGTCACTCCTCGATCACGGAGTGGACATTCACGCCAAAAGTATAGAGGGACATAGTGCACTTCATGAAGCGGCAATGAACAATCACTCTGAGATTGTTGCTCTACTTCTCAATCGTGGATGCGACGCAAACGCAAGAGATCTAAAAGGCAACACTGCATTACATCACGCAGGATCCCATGGAAATAGAAAAATGGCACTGAGTCTCCTTGACCATGGCGCCGATATCAACGCTAGGGCTATATGGCAAAACACCGCAATTCATAACGCGATCACCTATGAGGGATCGCCTGGTCCCCTCCAGTTTGTCAGGTTACTTTTGAGTCGTGGGTTTGATGTTAGCAGCAGGGATATATTTGGACTAACTGTACTCCATTCTGCCGCGTCGAATGGGTGGCTGGAGACCGTGGAGCTCCTGCTCAGCCATGGGATTGACATCAACGCGAAAGGCGAGAAAGGGAATACTGCATTGCATTTTGCAATAACAAACGGTCATCTCGAAATCGCTAAGCTGCTTATTGAGCAAGACATTGATGTTAACGTGACGGACGAGAAAGGGACTACCGCGTTGCACTTTGCAGTATCAAACGGTCATCTTGAAATCGTCAACCTGCTTCTTGAGAAAGACATTAATGTTAACATAACGCGCAAAAACGGCAATACCGCGTGCCATATTGCTGCAAAAAATGGCCGTAATGATTTTGTGGAACTCCTTCTTAACCGTGGGTTGAACACTCAGGCCAGAAATCTATCCGGTCAGACCATACTTCATTTGGCTATCCAGGGTAGCTGCGATGTTGCAATTATCAAATTGCTTCTCGATCGGGGAGTTGATCTCCAGGCAAGGGATACATTTGGCTTAAATCCTTTAGAAACTGCATTGGCGGCGGAACATCTAGAGGCTATAGAGCTGCTTCTGAGACAGGATATCTCAGATGAAGACGCTTGGCCCGCATTGTATATTGCAGCAGACCATGAACACACAGTGGCGGTGCAGCAGCTTCTTGCAAGAGTGAAGCCAAACTCACAGAACTACGAACGGGCCCTTCAATACGCCGTTTACGCTATCACAAAAGATATCTTTTTTCTTGTTCTCGAGGGAGCTGTTCGCATGAGCCTCGAGCCTGAATACTATGAAAGAGCTTTGCAACTTGCATGCAGAAAAGGTGATGTTACCGCTGTTGAGAATCTTCTCCACGCAGGGGCAGATCCGCATCAGATTGATCCATATGGCTGGTCGCCCATATTTTGTGCCGCAATCTTCAGGCGGAAAGCTGTCATGGAAAAGCTGCTACAAGGCGAAGATATTCGGGGCTTGACTTTTAAACAGAGTATACTTACACCCACGTCGTTGAGTAAGACAGACAAGTCGTCTCTTTTGGAGGTGGATGAGGATGGATTCATGCTTCGATATTCTGGTAAGTGGTACTCCAAGTAGGAATTCAATTGCTCAGATTCTATAGACACGCAGAGTGAGCGATATCCCAACGTAGCATCAATCCGGGCAAATCGACCAATTCCGGTCGGGGTCTCTGACTTCTACTTTGAGATGGAAATACTGGATATGGGCGTAGAGGGGTAACCTATCCACCCAGCATAGTATCAGATCATACCTAATGTCTATATGCTAGTGAGATGGCTTTAGGTTTTTGTCGCGGATACAGTCCTCATGCCATCAATACACTCCCAGGATGGGAATACGCATCCTGGGGCTACCACGCAGACAGCGGCAAGTTCTATTGTTTCTCGTCTTCCCTCGAGATAGCCGAGCTTGAACCGTACGGGGTTGGGGATGTGGTTGGATGTTACATCACGTCGCGACTTGAAATTGGCTTTACCAAAAATGGGACAGTACTCGGTGAGTCTTCATTTATTTCTATCATATAGATATTAACCAACGGGTCCTTCAGGGGTGGTAGATGTGTGCTCTACGGGTATCTTTTATCCTGTCATAGGTATGAAAAGTCGCTGTGCTTGTGTTCGTGTGAACTTCGGACAGGACAAGTTTCGATATGATACCTTGACCTGGAACTCTGATGACAATAAATGATATCGCCATATCTCCAATGCTAGAATCTAGTTTTCAAAGACCACCCCAAACAGACACCCCGCAAGATAGCAAAAGAAACAATAGCCGCAAAGTAAAGCAGACCTCCGAAGATAATCAACCCACCATATTTCCCTCCATCCCGCTGCTGAATGGCACCGGCAATAGGGATCCCAATCAAAGTACCAATACTAACAATTGTCTATGAAGTCCCGATTCTCTTGCCGTAGTCTTGTGTCTCGTAGACGTGCGAGATACACACCGGAGCAAGACTGATGGATGCTCCACTCCAGAATCCAAACATGACAGCGTAGCAGATAATCGCAGCCAGGCTATCCGGTGAGATCATGTCCGCCGTTAACCAGATCGCCAATGTCAAAGCAAAACACATAAAAAGCGTGAGTGTCATGATATTGAACCGTCCGAACCGATCAGACAGCAAACCGGGAAGAAATCGACCGGGAATAGCACCGAGGTTCAGGAAGACGATGATAGCATATGACATCGTCTCGCTCATGCCGACGTGAACAGCGTATGATGCGATGTATGTGATGGGAATGAAGATGGCGAATTCAGTCAGGAAGACAGCAACAGTAGCGGATGCATACTTGATATCCCCCAAAGCCGTGAAATCAATCGATGCACTTCTGGTTTTATTTGGCGGGAGTCTTGTCTTGAGAAGCATACATGCCATCGATAGCAATACTACACAGAGGAGAGCGATGATCCGAATCGACCAATCAAACCCAATCCTCGGCGCTGCGAAGAGAATTATAACCGGGATTATTACTCCCCCAACCCCGCCAGCTGTGCAGGCGAGACCGGTTGCATATCCACGACGTATATTGAACCAATGACCGACTACGGCGACGGTGGGCGTGAAGAGGGTACAGGCTGATAGACCGCCAAGGACACTGAACGAGAGGAAGATCTGATAGTATTCTATGACGCGTTAGACTGCTCAAATAAGGATAGATATACCAACCGTGGCTGAAGCTGAAGCAGATGAGGGAGATGACCATCCCAATCGATCCGGGAAGGATGACATATTCCGGTCCGTATGTATCGAGAATAGGACCTAGATAGGCCAGTGGCCGTTAGACGTCTCTTTTATATTGCATGAACTACAGCAGCTCACCAAACTGTGCTCCCCCAAGAAAAAGGAAGAAGCCATAAGCACCGAAGATCCAGCCGACCTCTGATTCTGAGTAGTCCTTCAGCTGGTGCGTGCTAATCCAGGCTTGCAGAACACCGAGGCTATTCAGCAAGCCCATGGAGGGAATCATGGCACACCATGCTCCGAATACAACGGACCATGCTCGGAGCCCGCCTTCCGGGTGTACTGCGCTTGATACATTTCCTATACTGTTGTTTGGCATTGTCTGTGTCGTAGGATTGTTGGTAAGGGACCAGGTGAAGGATCTTTGGAGAAAAGTCGTCAAATGAGACAGGTTTGGGGTCTAATGTATTGGCATTCTGGCGGTACTTTCTCTTAAGCACAGAATTCACTCGGAGCGTACTACTGCCTAGCCGGGTGATGTGATATTCGTGTTCGAAAGGGAAATATAACCCATTCTTGATCTGTGGATGTGTATTTCAAGGGGGAATTATATGCTGTGGGCGTTCATACAAATCTAGCCTTTTTGATTGGTGGACTATGGCATTAAGCATGAATGAGTGGATCGGATTCAAGAATTCTTTTATGTGATAGGCTGGATGGCTGTCTCTTTTAGGAAGTTGAGGGGAGTGGGGCAAATCTCCCCTTCTGGAATTATTTCTTGTTCAATCGACAGTTTATTAATCATTTCTATCGTATGTTCTTGATCAATAAAAGCCACGCCCTTGATGCTGTTTGGTGGGCCACTGGAGTTGTACAGCTGCGGTGATGTAACCACGGAAAGATCCGGTTTCCATGACGTCCTTATAAACCGTCCCCCTCTTCATTCTTCATCTCTCATTCCACATCCAAGTACAATAGCACATCATGGCCAGCACCATCGATCCAGTCCGCGAATATGGCCTCACGGCCGTTTTATCATCCGCCGAGCAGCTTTTCGAACAAGCTGGACTGAAGAATAAGGCAACACCATCCGCCATTCCAGTTTCCGCTACACCCGTTCCTGATACGCCTCTCGCACGCCGCATCCAAGCATATGCTCGCGATCACCTTCCTGCGCCTACCTTCAACCATAGCATGCGCGTCTACCATTACGGACTGGCGATCAAGAAGTACCTATTCCCTAACTGGTCATTCTCCGACGAAACTTGGTTTTTGACTTGCATGCTGCATGATATCGGATCTACCCCGGACAATCTCAGAGCTACTCGTCTCAGTTTCGAGTTTTATGGCGGCTTCCTAGCTCTTGATGTTCTTCAGCGAGATCCTGATCATCCTGCCGGCACTGCGGGCGTGTCTCCCCAGGCTCAGGCGGAGAGCGTCGCTGAAGCCATCATTCGTCATCAGGATGAATGCAAGGTTGGAAATATTAGTGAAATAGGCCAGCTGATTCAACTGGCGACTTTGTTCGGTTTGTCTCTCCTTTTTATATCATAATGTCAATACTAACATACTATAGATAACACCGGAAGATTCTCAGAGCTGGTCCATCCAGATACCTCACGCGATGTGATTAAGAATCACCCTCGCCTCAATTGGAGTGGATGTTTCGCGTCCACTGTCCGTGAGGAAAATACCCTCAAGCCATGGGCGCATACCACTACGCTTGGCGATTTCGCTTCCAAAATTGAGGGGAATCCATTGGCTGCTGAGTGGGAACGGGAGTAGATATTTAGCCAGGGTCATTATATCCTACATCAGACTGATTCATCTATTTCTAATCTGGATACAACCAATGGAGACGTTAAATAATATTCCGACTCTGCCATTCTACATGAAGTAGAATCTTTAGCATTTAATAATCTAGATAAATATATATAAGAGAATTGACTTACCACTTTGTGCCGAGGGGCTATCATGTAGTTCTAATTGTTGAATTGGCGAATGAATAGACATAGCCCACAATAAAGTCTAGTAATGGACCATGTCCACTAATCGACCCTGGTATATCACTTAAAATTACCTATAGGAGTTGTGTAAAGGTGGCAATCCGGCATTAATTGAGTTGATCTAACTTGGAGAGACATAGAAACAGGGTGCAAAACGACCAGTAATAAACGAAGAGATATGCTTTTCCAGACAGGAAGACTGACCTGAAGTGTACATTATGAGAAATGAGCAGGGGAGAAGAAATAACCGAAGAGGCAAAACAGCGTAATTCACTGACACCTATGTATAAAATCTTCAGGTACCGGGATAACAAGAGGCTAGAAAGTGAACCGAAAAGTACGTGAAGATTATACTAAAAAATGGAGTCGAACTGCATATAGTGTATGATCTTTGTCGCTTAGACTCCTTGATGGCGATGATGCATTTCCCGATCTCGACAGTCTTGTCCTAAAGCACATCAGAAACGAGCGCAACCAGCATAGATGTTCGACTAAGCTTCCCGCATCACAACCCATTTCGCCGAGCCCGGTATTCCAATTTCCGTGTCCGGTTGTCGGCTCCTTCAGAGCTGTTTGGACCAGCTCGACCTGGGTACAAGGCCATCCCAGTAGCGATGTAAAGAATAGTGATGATAATTTCCTCCATGTTGGCAAGGAAGAGTTCCAGAATCTCCGCCGCAGGATTCGACACAAGAACACTGCCTGGAGCGTGACTTCCAAAGCACTCCAACAAGGAGTAAACCATTCGAATCAGCAGCAAAGGCAGTGATCCTCCCACTGCGACAACCAGCGGCCTCTCTCCTCGCCCTGTTTTATGATACCCGATATAAGAGCCTATATAGAGAATAAATAAGGCTCCTAGAACCACTGTGAATATGATCAGGCCAGCGCGAAGAGTGTCTTGTTGGAAAATATCCATGGGGCTGGATGCGTTGGTTGCCCCAACGATACAGAGTATGAGCCCGATGATACACGGTGTCTGAATGAGTCTGATGAGGTAAAAACATAAGGCTGAGTCCTGTGAGGAGCTTTGAATGGAGGATAGTCTAGATACGTGCGTGGTAAGCATCATGGTAATGATAGAGAATAATGACGATAGCTTACAATCTTGCAAGCAGGCCGAGTGATGCCAAGAGCAGCGGCGATAGGCCCAATGCTTGTGTGACCTCTGCAACCGTTACCGCTGTTTTAGATGCATGTGTGATAGTCACTAGCTGTGCACTGCAGCCGATTATTCTGAGAATAGAAAATATCGAGAGGAAAATCCAGCCTGAAGCCCTGGCTAACCCGTGCCGCAGACAGACAGCAATAGAGAATGGAAGGCAAAATATGTAGATTACCAACATGCCGATAGCGACACCATCTCCAAATGTGATTTGACCCATGCCTGATGGTCAATGGAGGAGTGCGGAAAGTGTCAATGTGGTAAAGTAACGTGTTGAGATTGAATACACAATGAATATGGAGATGTGAGTTAAACTGTGGCAGATTTAAAGTAATTAAAGCCCGGTAGTTTTTTGAGCGATCTTCTCTCGGGTATATTTTGGCACCATCTAGATGAATTGGGAAATAACTTCGAGCTCAAGACAAACCATGTCATGGTTCGTGATCTGCACTATTTGAAACATTGCTCTGCTGATCACGTACCTAGAAGAGGCGTTAGTGCACTATTAATGAAATCGCCCAGTCAATGTAAGCAATGAGAGTCGATGACAAAGTTTTGCTTTGGCTAGCGTGTCAGGTCTCCATATGCTGACAATTACAACAAGTCGTTACAGGATACGTGTAAATGATATGCTTGGGTTGAGTATTATATCAAATACTTACATTTAGTGCACGTAAAATAGCCACCTTTTCAAGGCCTGGAAAAATAGGATATACGGGTTCAGTACTAAAAATTTCACTATTCTGCTTATAAAGGATGTGGAATTGTGAGATTTTGTGTGTTATCGTTTATTATAAATATATGTATTTTTTCATTCGGGCTTTAGTACGTAATGATGGCTTACTAGTGGTTAGGGAAACAGGACCAATGGTAGCGCAACAGCGTCCAAGTTCACTAAACCCAACCCAGTAATAACTTCGACGCTCGACTAGGCGGCTAGGCTGCCATGGTTTGACCCCTACATCGAAGATTTAGTTCGTCTTGTCCCAAGTGACGCTTAATTTCGATATTTCGGCATCCAGTTACTGCGAGTGGAAAATCTAGAAAATCTATCGAGGGCTACAGTCCGCTATGGGTAGCCCAGCCATGCCATCTAAGGCCTGCCAGCCTTGCCGCGTGAAGAGACGGAAGGTATATCATCTCATTCTGCCATAAGGTCTACACGCCTAGCATCCCTCTGATAATCATCAATAGTGTGATAAGAAATTGCCAGGTTGCTCACAGTGCCGACGAGCCAAGGTTGTTTGCTTGGGATATAGAGACGATTTTTCCTCGCGCCTGCGAGACCAGACGGTCAGCACAGCCCACAAATTTCAAACCCTGGACAAAACTAGTGGATCTGTCTCTCCAATGGCGATGTCTCCAGTCATGAGGTCTAGGTCTGCCTCTGATATGCAACATGCGCAGACAACACCTGATGCCCTGGTTGTTCACAAACTATCAGCGAGTCCAGAGGATGTAGCTCTAGGCTATTTCCTAAATTTCTATGCCCCTGCAACCCAATTTGACTATCTATCTGAAGCGTCTACTGTGTTTCTCTGTCCAGGGCCCCTAAGAAGTGCACTGTTGGCACCATCTCTTCTTCTACTCTCCCAAAACTTCCAATCAACAGCACTTCAGGCTCTGGCACAAGATAATTATGCCAAAGCACTAAGGCTTACAAGCTCTGTTCTTTCAGGACAAGTACTAGTCACATGTGATAGCACCCTTTTGGCTGTGTTACTCCTAAGCGTGTATGAGGCTTTGGCCTTTCAGGGACGACAGGTCCCTTCTGCCTGGAGTGCTCACATACGAGGGGCTTTTCAATTATTACAAATGAGAGGAGAAACACAATTTGACAGCTCATTGGGCAGAAATCTTTTTTTACATGCATCCTGCAATATCCGAATTGATTGCACACAGAGGGGCATGAAAGCACCACCTGCCTTAGGCGCACTTCAGAGTAGTCTCGTTCGAAACATGGACCCGAGGGATCCAAATATTCGACTTGGGGCATTCCTAGATCAGTTCGCCAATCTGCGTTCCAGAATCTGTGACTTTCCTCCATTGAGTCGAACCCACAAAGCACTAGAGCTAGACAAAGAGCTAGTTACCTTGCTGGACGATCTTTGGAGGCTTGTACCATTCATATCTGTCGACGTTGCGACTCTCCCGGGACAAATTGATACATATGAAGATTGGGTTCATCGGTACACATCCCAGAGGATGTTAAAGTTATGGAACTCTGTTCGGATATTAAGGCTGTTTGTCAACGAGCACATACATCATTATTTGACAGCTCAGCACACGATAGAAAAATTCCAAACGGAAGAATGGACCCAAGCCCGAGAAAGCGCTATGGCAATTAGCGCAAAAATGATATCTGATGTGCTTGCGAGTGTCCCATTATGCCTTGAGTCCTCTATGAGTCCAATGGTTTCGGCAAGATCTCTTGTATACCCGTTGACTGGTGTTGCAGTGTCAAAGCTCGGGTCGCCCAGAGCGAAGAGATTTGCACACAATAGGCTTGCCTTTATAGGGAGTGAATATGGCTTGATACAGGCAGCTGAGTCAGCTCACATGGTTTCACAAACAAGGGATATGGAAGACTGGTAAGTATAGTGCATCAAGCTTACTATTGCCATATGTTGACCAGTATCTTTTATATGCACAGGATTCACCTTTTGCTTGTCTCTTGAACTAATAACAATAGATGGTTCTACAATTCTTTTCATTATTGTCAAGGACTTAATCGAGTAAATTTCATACCAAATCTATTGTTTCTATTCTGTTTCTATATTTAAAAATCATATCACTAAGCCTGAAGAGTAGTAACAAATTGATCAAATCCTGTGCAAGCCACGGTCTTACCATACAAGCTTAATCCAATAAGAGCCTGCTCATTGTCCGTAACGTATATATAGTTCACATGTTTTAATCAGATGTGCGTGCTTAATACTAGTAGGAAGTAGCCAGATAATGCCTGAAATTATTAATGGAAGTTGGAGTAGGGTTTGTTAAAATAGCCCAGAGCTATACATGTTGCAGAACATCCATGCACTTTATATATTTCACGATTAGAGAGTATATCTGTATGTATGAAGTCAAATAGTCGGAATCATGTTCCCACATGAACTAGCTTTTCAGTAGCGTCTAGTCTAGTCTTGTCTAAATCAAACTCTCAATGACAATGAAATCCATTCCCTTCAACTTCTTCTCGTCCTTCATCTGTTGCCGTTGTCCTGATCTCTGTGCCTTGTCCATCTTTGCTTCTATACTACCGTCAGAATCAATCGATCGATCCGCGTATTGGTGTGTCGTATAATTCTGGTAGTGGCGGTCACGCTCGTATGAACCAGCGTCGTCATAGCCCTTGTCGAGCCGCCTGTCACGCCTTTCCTGTTTCCCCATCGCACGCGCTTCACGCTTTTCCTGTCTGTGCTGGGTCCGTTGGTGCTTTCGGAGCTCCTTCGACTCTGTCTTCTGTGTTGTCTTCTCAAGCTGTTTTGCAGCGATCTTGTCCAGCATTCCAGTCTGCATCTTCGAAGGCGGTACGTCTGTAGTAAGGAGAGATACATATGGCGCAAGCGCAGCCATCCTCCGATCACACAGCGTGATGCAGCCGGTGTAATTATTTACGGGTGCGAGAGGCGTCGCATTTTTGGGGAATCCAACAACCGCAGCGACTTCTTCATTATTCTTAATTGAAGCGCGCAGCCCGCGTGGACCGAAATATCTCTCGTTCGCCATGTCCAGGTATTTCTTTGTGCGGATCCTGGATACGACAGCCGTTCCCACCCCCGCAGCAACCTGCATTCCTGTTCCAGCAATGGCTGCCCAGTGCGAGGGAATAAACCCAGCCGCCATCCCGGCCGCATTCACGGCTGAAAAGACCGGCGAGCCCGCCTGAGCCACAGACAGGTTGTCGATGAATTCCATGAAGTTAACGATTTGAATATCATGGGCACGCAAGACAGGACTATAGGCGCGGAGAAATGGAAAGGGGGGTTTCAGGGGGCTGTTGGGGGCGATCCGCGGGATCAGAACAGCTTTCTGTCATTCGTTAGACCGTTAGCCACCCCCAAACACAGAAGAGAGAGGGGATGAGCATGCCTGGAGGCGCGCAACGCGCAGCAAATGATAGGACGGTCGGGGTGGGATCCATTGCAGAGTCGACTCGACAAAGTGCTCCTCGTCACGTAGTTGGCTGTCAGAAATATGTTCTTCATCTGGTGTGGAAGGTGAGCTGTACGGGTGATAATACGGAGACGGTGGTGGTGGTTGTGGCTGATAGGAAGGATGGGATTCTTCGTACACAGTACTATAGCGAGGAGGGCTGTCCAGATAGTGGGTAGACATGGTTCCGAGGGTATAACGGCAGTAAACAACCCTAGAGAAATCTCGGGGCTCAATAAGCAGCAGAGGATAGGTTACTGACGGTCTTTTTATAAAACGTTATCTCTCCCAAGACTATACTGGTGGGTGCCTACTGGCCGTGACCATGCCAAATGGGGTAACTATAATCAGGCCTCTTAAGGCCCTTTGTCTTTACGTTGTACAATCGACAGCTCATTAGGCTGGACAGGAGAGGTAGTCAGTAGTAATTGTGTTACGGGTGGTCATCCGTTGCGATCGACAGGGTGACATTGCTGACTTTGACGACGTTCATTGGCTACTGATGTGAGACATAGAAACACCGTCACATTTACGAGGCTGAAGGAAAGGCTTTACGTTACCACGAGAATACAGAGTATCGAAGTCTCCATTGCGGATAGAACTAGCGGTGAATGTCCCTTAGCAAACGCCCCCGTCAACCGTTTGCTTTGACACTAGCTGTGCGTTCCACAGTCTCACGGGAACACCTCCCCCTGGTCTCAAGGAGATGTTCGTCTCCAAAACCGGCTCCAAGCTTTCCATACATCCCTCAATGCGCTCGAAACATTGCAACAGACGGACTATCAGGTATGCAATCTCTGTGAGCGCGAACTGCTGCCCGATACACATGCGTGGGCCGCCACTGAATGGAAGGTATGCCCACGAGGCGGGCTGCCATGTTTCCCAACGCTCAGGGCGAAACTCTTCAGGATTCGAGTCTTCGGGGTATAGGCTCTCGCGGCGTTGCATATACAGTGGGCTATAAAACACGCGGGTGCCTTTCAATATGCCGATGGGAGAGAGACCATCGGATCCACCACCTCGCGGAAGTTGGGTGTCCCGCAGGGCGATGCGAACATTGAACGGGATGATGGGATATAGACGGAGTGTCTCACGGATGACGTTCTAAATAAAACGAAAGTGAAAGAAAAGTCAGCCGCCGGTGCTATTACTCGGTTCCTTGGATAACATCTACCTGGAGATACTTCATGTCTTTCAGCTGGGAATAGGTTGGACGGTCTGAGTTGACACAGCCCAGAATCTCCTTGCGGAGCTTCATGACCACAAGAGGATGTTTTGATAATTCAAAAAGCACCCATGATAACGCAGATGCTGTGGTATCGCGGCCCGCAATCAAGATATTGACCAGCTGATCTCGAATGAGCTTCGGATCGCGGGTGTAGTGCGCTAGGGCGTGGAGGAATGTGTAGTCTGGTTCAGACCGTTCTGATATTTTCATGCTACCCTGCAGACCAAGGGCCCGATCGATATAGGGCTGGATAAAAGCGTCGATCGATTCAATGCTTTTGTTGAACGACCTTCGTGGGATCAGAACATGTGCATGTCTTAGCATGCTGTCAGCGACCAGGTTACGACATTAGAGGGGGAAACAAAACCTACCCAGCTCGCGCAATCATCATCTGGATATTCTGGGCATGGGAAAACGCCTTTTCAAAATCTTGGGCGGGATTCTCCAGACTTCGAATTGACTCCCCGAGAAGGAAGTCAGTTGCGACGTCCAGTGTGCATCGGAAGATCAGGTCACTTATATCCACCTTTTGCCCGTCCTGACCATCACCCGGAGTGATAATCCTCCGCAAGCACTGGAAGTGTCGTTCCAGGACGTCGAGGTCACTGACGCGATCCTTCACAAAGAGCGGACGTACCAAATGTCTACTGGCTTGCCATTGCGCCCCGTCGGTCGAGAAGATGCCGTCGCCAAGCAGCTGCTTCCATGTATCATGGAATAGCTGACCTTTGCCAAAATCCTCAAACTGGGTCGCCAGGACGGCTTTGATGTTGTGGGGGTCTGCTGTGAACAGACAGCGTTCGAACAAAACGTTCGCCTCGACCGTGCCGTGATTTGGAGCGATCGAGTGCCAGTCGCGCCATGTTTTGAGGCTTTCGTTGTTGAGAGCGTTCCGTATGGTTCTGATCAGAATATCCAGGCCTGGGAAGGAATTGTCAGGTCAGCATCAGGTGGTTACCAGATCCGGGGACGGTAGTGATACCCAGTGGTAAGTAAGATGGAACGCGTGGGGCGTAACAGCCCAAGCGAAGGATTTTTTGCCTCGTTTTCCACTGCCTCGCGATGTAGATGGCCGTAAAAGCTGCGACTAGCAATGCTCCGACGGTAGAAACGTCACAGACCTCTCCAAGCATGGTTTCCCTCAATTCTAGCGCTTGTGCACGCTTTGTTCTAGAAGTTGTGCCGGTGGTGGGGGAAGGGATATTGTGGATGGAGAGGTAAAGCAGAAATGCATCACTAATTTGGCAAAATAATTACAAAGGAAGAAAATAATGCATACTTCCTGTTTGGTTGCGCAAATTGTCAAATGTTGGCGGAAGCATTCCTAGAAGCGTGTGCACTGCTGACACCCAGGACAGCCTTGTCAGCGATGATCACCATGCGTGAAGACTGTCAGCAAACATTCTCAACCTTAACCCTCATGGGTTGATCAGCCCACTTAAATCATATAAGATTAGAAGGAGAATCAGTCCAATTGTCAGCGAATGGAAGAGTATCAGCCCAGATGATGCTGATGGTCGCCACCACGAGCTTCTGTCGTCAGAACCATCAAGCGCTGACAACGCTTCTGGTCAGCGGACCGAACATGTGTTTGACCTGTAGTACCGAGTCTAGTTTGCTCTGTATCTTCGCTGGAAGGCATAGCAGTGCAAAACATGATTACTGCTCGAGCGAAACACCATTTAAAAGTTCCCGGAAATAATGTCTGGTAGCATCTCCCTACTCGGAGTCAGTCAGCACAGATCGATTTTTGTTTACCGATCCTTTTTCATCACCAACTTCAACCCTATAGGGAATTAAACCCATCAAACACGATGGCAGACCCAATAGTGGCCACCAATTTCCGTTCGCTGCTTTGGAGAACTGGAATCTCTCAATCCGTATTCCTGGGGGTGTGCGTCTTGCTTGCACTGCCCCTGGTATATTTGGTCGCCACGAGATGGGCAAGGCATCATGCGTTGAAGAAGCTCCCGGGAACCTATGCTCCAGTAGTCCCTTCGCGTCTTCCGTTTGGTGGGTTTCTTCATTAGCAGAAACAGTATAGGGTGCCGTGGCTGATTCGAACACCCGTATTTTCGCACAGGGTTGGACGTGGCGTTCCGATGTGTCTATGAGCTGGCAACCGACGGGTTCCATGAATATACTCGGGATATTCTGGCGACCAGTCCAGGGCGGACGATTGAGTTCCACCTTCTAGACAAGCGCATGGTAGTCACGGATAACCCAGAAAACATCAAGGACATGATGTCGGTTCAGGTAGGGCACTTTTTCTGGTTGGGTTTAATTTTATCATGCAAAGTCATCTGATTATTGAGAAAGTTTGATACGTTTGGCAAAGGTGACCTTACGCACCACATTTTCAGGAATTGCTTTCGAGGGTCAATATTTGGCTGTAGGTGATATACCCGGAGAGAGCTGAGACTGGACCGAGTAGCATATACGGGGTTTGTCTGACAATTGAGCAGCAGAGGGTGCGGAGTGGGCAGCGCATAGGGCCCAGTTAAAGCCGTTTGTATGTTGTAGCCTCGATTTCCAAAACAAATATTCCGCTATGTGAGTGACTGACCCACGGAATATAGATTGCCGCAATGAGGCCTTCAGATCCCGAAAAGCTCGAAAATCATTTTCTAGAGATGCTGCAGAAGAACGTTCCCACCGATGGATCTCCCATCGAGGTGTACGATATGCTCGACATGATGCTGCTGGAGACGGTGATCGACATCTTTGTTGACCCCTCAAAGGACCCAGAATATAAACACATCAACCCAAGGCCATTTGTCAATGGGGTCAATGCGCTTCTCAAGATCAACACGTTCCGAGTGCTTCTTGGGTAAGTCGGTCCCTCACCTCTGTGTAAGAATTTGCGTTGTTCATGCTCTGCAGGAATATCAGCCGTCTGGTCTCAGACAAGCTCATTGCCAAACGATCCACACAAGCTCTGCATGAATATCTAAATCATCATGTTCGATGGGTTCATAAACTTCAGAACCACCGAGACGACAAAAGCCCGAGGAAGCCCGGGACTATGATGGAGGCTTTCGCAAGCGAATCACTCTCGGACAGTGTACGTTACTTATCTGGTAATTGCGTTCGTTTCACGTGCACGCGCTCATCAGAACTCTAGGCATACAGAAGCAAATTTGTCTCCCTTCTATCGGCTTCAAAGGTATCAACTCTCCCCGCGATTTCGAGCAATGGTTGTTCCTACTAACCATTCCGTAGGATCCCGTGGGTATGATAGTGGTATGGGTCATTTACGAGCTTGGCCGTAGACCCGAAATCGTGGATAAATTGCGTGAAGAAATCATTGCCGCGTAAGTGAGATTCGGACCAGTTGGTCTTGGCCCATCCCGAACTAACAGAGGATAGAATCGGAGACGATGTCAACACGCTGCCTACTGATGCCCAGTTGCGGAGCATAAAATACCTACAGAATATCATCAAGGAGGCAATGCGCATGTATCATCCCTGTGGGTTCCCTTAGACCCGTCGTTGCACGGTTGGATGTTTAACATTTGCAGTTGGATTCAATATTCGCTGCCCAAATAAAGACACTGTTCTTCCCACGGGCGGAGGTCCAAATGGGGACCAGCCAGTGCCCATCCTGCGCGAAACGTTCATTGGTCTGTTCCCACGGTGCTCTGGTCTACTTTAACGTACGCAGCTGACTTTGTCGCAGTCGTCAACATCATGGGCCTGCATCGCCGGGCAGACATTGTGGGAGAGGATACTGAAGTCTTCCGTCCAGAACGGTGGGATACCTTCAAACCGGGTCCGTGGGAGTATATGCCCTTCCATCGCGGTCCGCGGAACTGTCTGGGACAAGCATTCGGGCAATATGCCATGGGATATTTGATTGTACGGCTCTATCAGCTGTACGATATTATACCCGCGGATACCGTCGTTCAGCGTATCAAGGTGGAGATGAACACCAAAGTCTCGAGCCCGGTGAATATGCGGTTCTATCCTCGTCGCACGGTTAGCGATCCGAGACTGAAGAAACAATCCTAAAAATCATGGTATTCAGACTGTGACGTGTGATTTTCTGGACGTCTATCCTGTATGTATTCATATATATATATTGAAATCTTATTGAGTAGCTTTTATATGGCGTGAAAGAATAGTCCATGGCTGAAATTTCGGCAAAATCAAACTAATCGCACACCTCTGCTTGCTACCGTTACATTTATCTTCTCCCAAGTGCTGGAATACATGTACTGTTTACAGATGCGACTGTAGGCCAGCCTGGCGACCATATTCCCGAGTTGTCCTGTCAAATCGACGCCGAATAAGAGGCCAGACCAACCCCATGAACCAACCCAATAGATAGTCCATCAATGGTCTATCGCGGGGACTCGGCCCCCGCATGTTGTTCAGAAGCAATCGTGTATCCGCATCCATGGTAACAAAAAACTGCCCTTCGGAGACACCTTGGATCAACTTCTGGGAAATGCCTTCTGCCGTGCCGTAAGTTTTCTCCAGCTCGCTGATCGGTCGGTTGGTCTTCTCGAGCTCCTTTGTCAGGTTGGGTTTGGTAGCCTGCTCTGCAACAAACCCCTCCGATACAAAGGTTCCAGGAAAGCAGCAATGCACGCGGTATTTGTCATTTCCGCCGTACAGGAGCAGTTCTTGTCGAAGCGTGTCGGCTAGCGCCCTCACGGCCGCCTTTGCTGGAGCGTATGCATCATAGCCTGGGAGTCCGACAAAGGCCGCGGCGGACGAAGTCAAGACAATGGTGCGCGGAGACTCGCTGGGGGATCTTAACCACCGTCTGAGACAGCTCTGTGTAATAAAGGCTGCCGAATAGTAGTTGATCTCCATGCACGCCTTGAGATCGGTCGCAGAGATGTCCGCAAGAAATCCCAGCTGCGAGGATGTACCACCAGCCGTGCAAAACAACATGTCGGGTAGATTATCGCGGTAGCTATCAAACACCTCCTCAACCTGGATGTGTTAATTATATCTCTAACATGGAAGAAGGGATGAACTCGTATTACCTTTTCTGGTATGGTAAGGTCCACAGCAATCGTGTCAACTGTCTGTTGCTGTGAGCGCCGCGCGCCCAGGATTTCTACTTTCGCTTCTTCAAGTGTTGATATTGTTCTTGCCAGTATTACAATATTGGCCCCTGCATGGAGTTGAACAGGACGTTGGTGCCATGTGAGAACATCATTTCCGTCTCACCTTTTGATGCAAGCAACTTCGCCAGTGCCTTCCCCAGCCCTTTCGAGCCCCCGGTGACAAAAACCAGCTTCACATTTCAAACTCCAGTCAACGTTTGTTGCTCTAAACTTTACAGACTGACTTCCGCAGGGGCTCATAGTACAGACCTTATTCTCTATGGTGAAGTTGGCCATCTTCAATATTGTGAATAGTCGAGCTATCGAGGAAAAGGAGCTTGGTTTCCCACCAACTTGGGCAACACGAGTCTAGGTAGTCTACCGTTGTAAATAATGGACATCTCTCTAGTCCTTCACATAGCTAGGCCATGTGGTGGTACCTGTGTATCCAGGTGTTCTGCTGACATTCATGCCAGCGACCCATCTGGTTAATAAGCTGGTCAGCGTGACTTGCTGATCCTTATCTGTAATCATGCAGTCACCAAACATGAAACACGGCTAGAATGAGAAGCATCTGGGTCTTCACTAATGACTAGCTTATTGACTACGCATGTTAGATGGTCGTTGGGGCTGATAAATCACCCCAGAGTAACATGATGACAGATGATCCTGATTTTATAGAATCGAATATCTGTTAGTTTGATTTTTTCAAATTCAGGAACTAAAGCTTGACCGCGACTAAATGAAACACCCAGGCATTTAGACACGGCCCGTGCCAGTCATTTCGTGGAATGGGTAAAGGGACGATATCATGCACTGCGAGTGGTACCCCAGCTACGTAAGCCGGCGACTCACTGTATAATTGTGGGAAGAATTGGTCGCCACGCCTAGTGTGGCATTGATGTATAGGAGCATCGTAGAACAAACGGCAAAGATAGGAATTTTGTGGACTCCGATCGAATAAATAATCAATACGAAAAAAATGGGAGGATAGTCTGGTGGAAGCTGAAACTATGGACTCATTGGGTTATATATGGGTAAAGTTCATACTCGACATGTAGGCTAATTTCTGTCTTAACTCCTCAAAGCAGGCTCTTCTCAACATACTGATGTGTCTTGGACTCTACGATAAGAGGCCCCAAGACGTTCTTCAAATTCGACACCTTCCGATCCCTGCTTCCCTGTTTCGCCTCTTCCTCCAGCCTTTTTTGTTTCCGGACTTCTCCGGCCTGGATGATTTTCGCCCACGTACAGGAGAGCGGCACCTGCTTGGTTCGCGAATCGATCATCTCCTGCGCCCAGTCGCAGAGGATTTGAATCAACGTATCGATTTCCTTGGCCGTGTTTGCTGCATGGAAAACCAGGCGGATGCGCCCTTGGCCCTTGGGAACGACCGGGTAGCTGACCGGGAAGGCCTTGTAATCGGAAAGATGCAGGTGAGACGCAAGATGATGGTTATCGCGGGCTTGGGTCCAAAGGGGCACAATCTGGGTGAGCAGCGTCCTGTTCTCGTAATTTTCTGCCACGGGAATTTCCAGCAGATTAGCCTGTCGCGCCTGTTTCCAAACTGGGTGACTAAAGAGGCGGCGGAAAAAGTATCGGACATTGGATTGGAGCTTTGCCCTCATCTTGAGCACGGGGAAAAAGGGTAAACATCAGTATAGAGATTCAACCGGGAGGGGAGTGTGACTCACTGGTTCTGCTTTACCATCTTTTAGAACATTCACCGCAGCTCTCATGCAAGCAGCAAAGGGGAATGCAGGACCGGCGGTAAATATCAGACCAGTGGCAAAGTTCAGGAGCATATTGCGAATAGATTCACTGCCCAAGACAATCGCTATGGAAGCTTAGTGAGCTGCTCAAATGTTGTAGAAAGGCGATCAGTCACTCACCTCCATTGCATCCCATGGCTTTGCCAAATGTGTGCAAGCGACACGCAATCTTCTTTTCGATCCCAAGCTCGCAGGCCATTCCTCGGCCGAGTGGGCCCATCAGCCCGGTACTGTGAGCCTCGTCGAGGAAGATCTCCGTATTACCCAGGGGGAAAACCTCCTGGGCTATTTTCAGAATTTCCCCCACCGGGGACACATCTCCGTCCATGCTGTACACGGACTCAATGGCGATGATCACGGAGCCCTTACCTTGGGCAAGGTGTGGCTCGGACTTCCACAGCGACAATAGCATTTCACGAAGTGAGTTGAGATCGTTGTGGATGAAGGGCTTTCGAATTGTCGCTCGTGACCTGTCCAGTCCATCCAGGATGCTGGCGTGAACCAGTTCGTCGTAGAGGATGGCATCTCCCAACTGCGGCAGAACAGAAAAAATCGCACTGTTTGCATCGTATCCGGAATTGAAGATCAAGCACGTATCTGCTCGGAAAAAATCTGCCATCTCTTTCTCTAGGTTTTCGAGGTATTCGGTGTTGCCGTCCATGAGACGAGAGCCGGATTGGCCGACTTGGAAGTCCGGATTCCTCTCAAGCTCGTTGAGGAACTCGGTCTTCAGGAGACCAGAGGTAGCCAGAGATAGGAAGTCATTTGATGAGAAGTCCACTGTTTTTCGGGGAACGTTCATCACATGCATCCGGTTCGCCTTGCGTCGCTCGTCCAGACGAGCTTCCAGATTACGATGGAAGACTGGGGCATGCTTGAAGCGATGGCTCTGAGGTTCCTGGGCGGCTAACCGCTGCATCATGATCGGTTTGAACGACATCGTGAAAGGGGGTGGGCTAAATGAGCAACGAAAGTGGTATCGCAGTGAGAAAGGATAAGAATGGGGCATTCAATGGAGCTTTTAGACCTGGGACGCCGTCCCCCATGAGTTTCATCTTTGATTTCTGTTCTTTAGAGCTCACGCTGACGGGATGTTGACTACAGTGGGCCATATGGCATACATGTCAGGGGAGATGGTATGGCGATGGGGAAGTTTGCTGACAGCTCTCCACGAGGATGATTGCATTTACGTGTAGTTAAAAAAAATAAAAATAAAATTAAAATGAAATAAAGATTAGCATTGACGAATGCCAGTAATAGGCATCGGCAATTTGATGACGGAGATAAACATCGCTTACCCGCGGCATGACAGGCGGTTCAGGGCGATTCTGTTTCGGATTGCTGACAAGCGCTGTCATGGCGGGGACTGCAAAAGTCTGTCGCAATCATCATGAGTGGCTCAACTGATGCATAATTGGAGATGGAAATAAAGGGGTCGATGCATCCTCTGTCGGTTCCTGTCCTTGGGAGCAGTGCGCGTCGAACAGATCTACCATGTCATTCTTGAACAACACCATTGGAATGGGGGATGCACTCCCCCCGCTGCCCTCCTATACGCTGACGCCTCGCCCCAGTCTTATCCCGGGGCTGCCAGACGAATTGCTGAAGACATTCATCGTTCCAGCCCTGTATTGGATCTCGTCTGGACTTTTCCATCTCATCGATGCATTGGATCTTTTCCCACAATACCGGCTTCACGAACCGGAGGAGCTTCAAACGAGAAACCGCGTCACGATATGGCAATGCATCAAACAGGTTGTAATCCAGCAAGCCTCTCAGATCGCCCTGGGGTTATGGATTGCGCTCAAACAGCCCTCTATGCCGGTGGACTACATAGGCAAGGAGGACTACGACATTGCTTTCTGGGCCCAGAAACTGCGACTGGCACAGAGAATGATCCCGTCGCTTCTGGCCCTGGTCGGTATCGATTCGTTCAGCCTGGCAAGTAAGCTGCCCCTGGATCACAGTCTCGCCGGCCTCCTGTCAGGAGGCAAATATCCCTGGCTCACGCAAACGATGGTGAATAATGGTCTCTTGCAAACGGTCCCTGCATTCACTGGGTGGGAGCTCCTCCTTGCCAAAGTGATCTACTGGGCGATAGTACCCACGGCGCGGATGTTCATTGCCGTTGCCGCAATTGACCTTTGGCAATATGTTGTGCATCGAACCTTACACAGAAACAAGTGGCTGTACTGTGAGTTGTTCCGTATCCGGTTTTAAAAAAGAAAAGACATAGGAGTCCCCAGCTGATAGCTTATTCCCAGCACGTATTCATGCTGTCCACCACAGACTCTACGTACCCTATGCCTTAGGAGCTCTCTACAACCATCCCCTAGAGGGTTTCTTCCTTGATACTGTGGGGGCGATTCTGTCCCAGGCGCTGGTCAAACAGTCCATCCGCGAGCGGATATTCTTCTATTCCCTGACCACGGTGAAGTCTGTGGGTGACCACTCCGGCTACCTCTTCCCCTTTGATCCCCTCCAGATGTTCACACCAAACAATACCAGATACCACGATATCCATCACCAGAGCTGGGGGATCAAGCACAACTTCTCACAGCCATACCTGGTCTTCTGGGACCGCTACATGGGGACTGAGTGGAAGGGTGACGCTACCGCGCTCTACGAGAAGGGCGTCGAGAGGGCAAAATCAGAGCTCCGCCAAAGACAGAATCAGGAAAAAGAGCTATGAGGCTCGGATTGATATCAATTTCAGTTCCTGGACCAACGACGACTGAATGAGTGTCAATCTATCAGCTCAGAGCTTTCCTAACGACTGACATGTGGCTACGATTGCTCATTTGCTGTTCACAAATGATTAATAACCACCTGGGGATACCATCTCTCTCTCTCTTGTGAGCTGGTGTTAGAACCTTTTACTTAGCTACTGTATGATAATTGTTATGTTTCCTCGGGATATTTGATACGCGGACCAATGTTAATATACATCTTGATTGTGCATAATCAGGCCAAACCATTCAGATTTGTAGCATTTCCTTGCAAGTATAAACCATATTGAAACCCGGCATGAGCTACGGTATAGCTACCCTCTTACCACATGCATGGGCATGCTTGTAGGATTGACTATCATCACACTGAGAAAAGCTTCTGCCTGGCTCGAGCCGAGGATCGCCTTGCCGGTTGGGGGCTGGTATATTTCGTATTGTCATGATACCCGTCGAGTATTTTTTCAAAAGCTTGTATGGTTCATCTCTGAAACGGGAGACCCACTTGATGGGAACCCAATCAAGCATTATCTCGTCACCCAATAGGATCTTAACGCTGATCATCCCCGAACGGCTCAGCGACCAGGATCAGTAGGCAGCCATTGTACGAGTCCATGATCATCCCGAAGTGTAGTCACAACCCCTTTTAGGTGGGTCAGCAGTAGCTCTCACTGTTGAAACGACAGATCGCCAAGCCGAATTCTTTCTCGGCTGATCCTGTCAGTTCCCCGCTACGCATCATGACAAATGTAATTGTGGCATAGGTCAGCACCTATGCCACTGCGCGTGGAACATGCCGGCACTATAGACCCGATGCTATGTTCGTATTCGCAACGTCCCTTTGGTGTCGAGTGCTATCTGTAAAGTAGGTCTCAGTTTGCGCAAGCTCATTAAACTTGGATGTGGAGGTAAACAACCCGCTTCGAGACCCCTGCCCCTCCAATCTCGACTTTGATTACATTGATAAACTCACTTTGATGGCCTTGCCCTGTTGTGGGTTTACCGCCCCCGGAACCCAACAGCCCAGGGAAGACGTCAAGACCAAAGCCATGAAAGGGAGAAAACCAGGGTACGAAAACAGCGAGAACGGCGAGGCCAAGGACCCTTTCTCCCATCTTCCTCCACCGGAAAGACAGATCCTACGGGATCAAGTCTACCTGGCCGAAAGCCAGACCGGATACTGGACGTTATTCCGCTACGCCACAAAATGGGATCTAGTCATCATGGTGATCAGTGGCAGCTGCGCAGTCGTAGCAGGCGTCGCCCTGCCCATGGTAGCGGTAAGCGTCTCCTTTGGCCATTCAACAGGGAGACATGCTGTCTGACCATCTTGGTTACCCCCGGCAGGTCCTCTTCGGCAGCATCACAAACACCTTCCGGGACTTTTACGTGGGCAGCCTGACACAAGCCGAGTTCAACCACAAACTGGGTTCCGTGGTGATTTACTATGTCTACTTGAGCATTGTGGAGTTTGTAAGCCATCGTCTCTAGCCAAGCTGCAAAGAGGAAAAACAAATCTAACCACGTTCTGTCATGTCGGTGGTAGTTCTCTTCCTACGCCCAGACCGTCGGCTTCCTGTACACGGGCGATCGCCTTACCACCAGAATCAGGACCAACTACCTGGCTGCCTGCCTGCGCCAGAATATGGGATTCTTCGACAAGACAGGCTCCGGCGAAATCACGACGCGAATCACCGCCGACACCAACTTGATCCAGAACGGCATCTCCGACAAGCTGGGCACTAGCCTGACCGCCATGGCGACGTTCGTCACGGCGTTGATGATCGGGTTTGTTTCCTTTTGGAAATTGGCCCTCATCATGATCGGCGGGGTGTTGGTGATCATCGGCATCATGGCGATCTGCGGCGTCTTGATTACGAGATATCAGAAGCAGGCCTTGCATGTGTATGCCGAGGGCGGAACCTTTGTGGAAGAGACCCTCGGTGCCATCCGTGCCGCAACGGCGTTCAATACGCAAGAGAAGCTGGCGCGGCACTACGATCGCTATCTGCACGCCGCCCAGCGGTGGGACCAACGGGCCAAGCTGATGGTTGCCCTGAGCATCGGGGCGATGTTTAGCACCATCTACCTCAACTACGCCCTTGCATTCTGGGTGGGAGGGAGATTTGTCGCCTCCGCCGAGACGACCGTCGGCCACGTCCTGACGATCTTGATGTCGACCATGACCGGAGCCTTTGCGCTGGGGAGTATTGCCCCCAACCTGCAGGCCTTCGCGACAGCCTCGTCGGCCGGGCTAAAAATCTTCAGCGTGATTGATCGATCGCCACCGGTCGATTCCGCCTCTGCCTCGGGACACACCCTGGATGACGTGCGCGGTGAGATTGAGTTTCGTGGCATCCGGCACATCTACCCCTCCAGGCCAGATGTTGTTGTTCTCCCCGACTTCAGTTTGACGGTCCCGGCTGGCAAAATGACGGCTCTGGTGGGCGCGTCGGGGTCCGGGAAGAGCACGATTGTCGGCTTGCTGGAGCGGTTCTATAATCCCGTGAGGGGACAGATCCTCCTCGATGGTGTCGACATTGCGGAATTGAACGTCGGATGGCTGCGCCGCCAGATCGCCCTGGTCAGCCAGGAACCGACTCTATTCGGCGGCACGGTGTATGAGAACATCCGCCTGGGCCTGGCTGGCACAGAATTGGAAACGGCGGACGAGGAGGAGGTGAGAAGACGGATCTATGATGCTGCGACCCTCGCCAACGCCCATGGCTTCATTGTACGGCTTCCCGAGGGCTATCAGACCAACGTGGGGGAACGGGGCTTTCTCCTGTCGGGGGGGCAGAAACAGAGAATTGCCATTGCTCGCGCCTTGATCAGCAACCCGAGGATTCTTCTGTTGGACGAGCCGACCTCTGCCCTCGACATGAAGTCTGAAGCCGCCGTCAGCAGAGCCTTGGACGCTGGCGCTGCGGGGAGAACCACGATTGTGATTGCGCACCGGCTGACCACTATCAAGAAGGCCGACAATATCGTACTCATGGACCGTGGGCGCATCGTGGAACAGGGCACGCACCAACGCCTGCTTCAAAACCCGGAGTCGATCTATCGCCGCATGTTCAACGCGCAAAGGATCTCCCGCACGGCCCGCCTCAGACTCAGCGTCTTCGACGACCCCTTCTGGCTGGAGCAGGCTGACGATGGCAAGGCCGAGCTGCAGTTGGGCGTCAAGGTCTTTGCATCTGCCGTGGCACCGGCTGTCAGTGACATTCAGCCGCCTTCGCCGTCGTACTCTATCTGGAGCCTAGGGAAAATGATCCTCGCCTTCAACCGCCGCGATTGGCAGCTGATGGTGCTGGGCCTGGGTGCCGCGGCGATGTGCGGGACAGGAAACCCCGTTCAGTCTGTCTTCTTCGCCAAGGAGGTTGTCAGCCTCGCGCAGCCTCCGTCCGAGGCCGCAGCCATCCGGTCCGACTCCCGGTTTTGGAGTCTGATGTACGTCTTGCTGGCCGGGACGCTGTTCGGGGCGTTTTGCGCCCAAGGGCTCGCCTTTGCCGTGTGCTCCGCCCGGCTCGTCCGCCGCGTGCGCGATCGGGCATTCCGGGCCTTGCTGCGGCAGGATCTTGAGTACTTCGACCGCGCCGACGTGGGCAGTCTCACCTCGTTGCTGTCCACCGAGGCGACCTTTGTCGCGGGATTGAGCGGAGCCACCCTCGGCACGATCCTCACGGTGAAGACCACGCTGCTCGCGGCCATTGTGGTTTCCTGTGCACTGGGGTGGAAGTTGGCCCTGGTGTGCACTGCCACCATGCCCGTCCTGTTGGCCTGTGGTTTTTTCCGGTTCGAGGTTCTTTTCAAACTACACAAGCGAGCCGCAAAGGCGTATGAAAGCTCCGCCGGCTATGCCTGTGAAGCCATTGCCGCCATCGAGACCGTTGCCTCTCTGACCTGCGAGAATGTGATCCTATCACAGTTCCAAGCCCAACTGGACGCACAGGGCCGTCGATCTGTCCGCCTGTACTACAGGTCCGCGGCGCTGTACGCCTTTTCCCAGGCCGCGGTGCTCCTGGTCATCGGTCTGGGCTTCTGGTATGGGGGCACCTTGATCGGCAAACGGGAGTACAGCCTGCTCCATTTTTTCATCTGCTTTTCCGCCATCATCTTTGGGACGCAGTCCGCCGGCAGTCTGTTCTCCTTTGCCCCCGATATGGGTAAAGCCAGGGCCGCTGCGGCTGTCCTCCGGCAGCTTTTCGATCGTGTCCCGTCGATTGACTCCTGGTCGACCGGGGGAGACCGGCTTCCCTCCGTCGAGGGCGAAATCGAGTTTCGCGACGTCCAGTTTGCCTATGCCACGCGGCCCAATCGCCAGGTACTGCGCGGGCTGAACCTCACGATCAAACCAGGCCAGTGGGTGGCGCTCGTTGGCTCATCGGGATCCGGGAAAAGCACGGTGGTGTCACTGCTGGAGCGCTTCTACGATCCGCAGTCGGGTGGGATCTATGTCGACGGGAGGGACATTCGATCTCTCAATGTCAGCAACTACAGGTTCTTTCTCACACTGGTTGGGCAGGAACCGACCATCTACAGCGGCAGCATCAGAGAGAATATTCTGCACGGCACGATGCGGACCGATGTGACCGAGGAGGAAATCCTGACGATCCTCCAGCAGGCCAATATCCACGACTTTATCATGTCTCTTCCGTAAGCCACCCATTGTCCGCTCCAATCTAATCACTATCCATTCTTGAGCTAACAAAGTTACCTCTTTTTTCCTGATTAGAGACGGACTAGACACCATTGTCGGAAGTCGAGGGAGCATGCTTTCCGGGGGTCAGAAACAGCGTGTAGCCATCGCACGCGCGCTCATTCGGGATCCTCGGATCCTGCTCTTCGATGAAGCCACGTCAGCCCTGGATCCAGAGTCAGAAGCAGCCGTTCAACGGGCGCTGGAGACGGCCATGAAAGGCAGAACGACGATCACCGTGGCCCATCGACTGAGCACCATCCGAAAAGCCGACACCATCTACGTCTTTCATGAAGGCCGGGTTGTGGAGACAGGAACGCATCAGGAGCTTATGGATCTGAGAGGGAGATATTTTGATCTTGTGTCGTCGCAAGATTGAGGGTTTCGATCTGTCCATGAAGTTGGTAGATACATATATATATGCACCTGTGGCCAAACTGCTCCACAGCCAAGTACGTAACAGTAACCCAAAAAATATATGTATATATTAATATATATATATGTGCATGGTATTTAGTTGATTGAAGCACATCGGCTAGCTTTCATGTATTTCTTTCCTTTTATAACAAGACAGATAGTAAACATCTGCTATATCCCCGGCCCAGCCTTTATCGCGTGCGGGGCGAAAGTTTTAGAGTTTTGGCGTAGAATCTTTGCGTAAACTTGATCAAACATAAACACTCGATTTCCGGTACAAAAATATAGATTCTATAAAGGTCATAGCCTGAACCACAGAGGACAATACACTGATAGTAATGGCTATGTGTTCTCCGCTATATTTATTTTCTTGCTCTCCCTCGTAAACTCAACTCGGATGGCGTAAGTCAACAAAATAAAATATGCATTGAATACCAAAGCTAATATCAAATCAATACACAACATACTAGTCAAACGAAAAACAACAGTATTGAAACAAGACCGCATGCCGCCAGCGTGTATCCAAGAGTCTTATGGGGCCTTCATGTTCAAGAACGATTCGCGCACATGTTCTTCGCCGCCCCCGAACTTCGAGAATAGACGTTGCGCAGCAGCCTCACCAAAGGCCTTCAAAGTGGGCAGGTCAAGAATCTCCAAGACAGTAATCTCCAGCCCCATCTTGTGTCGGCACCAGTTGCGCAGCTCGATCGCCACGAGCGAATCCACGCCCATACTGGAGATGGACCGGGAGATGTCGACTTCCTCCTCTGCGAGCAGCAGGAATCCATGCAGGGTCTTCCCCAACTCCGTCGCGAGAAAGTCGACACTGCTGGCTTCTTTGAGCATGGAAGGATTGGCCTCGGCTTCGGCGAGGAATTGCCGCAGTCCCACCCCCGTCGCACTGGAGCCAGTGGATTCTCCCACTTGCTCGATGTTGCGGTAGATTGCCATGCGCCGGTCGCGTTTCCAGATGCATCTATACGGTAGCCCAGGGGTTAGTTTGGAAGTACTGTGATGCCTTGGAGGTGGGGTTTGCTTACCGGTTGTTCGGGGCTTGGGATGGCACCGTCATCCGGAGACCAAGGCCGATTTGGCTCTCATTGACGAAACCATCGACAAACGGTATGGATGGTATGGGCGAGGAGGATAAGATGGCCACATGCAGAGAGTCAAGGAGGTCTCTCTCTTGCAGCACGTGCAGATTCGTGGCCTTGAATTGATCGAGAACCATTTTGTTCGTACTGACATAGCCAATCTAGCCGCGCGTGCCAGGTTAGTGGGTGACACAGGGCCTTAGAGCGATGGGGATCCAATGGGCGATGACTTACATCTTCGACGGGGCCAATATCGAGGACCGATGCCGGCAAACCGTGGGCATGGCGATACTGAACGAAGGCGTCCAGGAACGTGTTGGCGGAAGCGTAATTGGACTGTCCGCGTTGTCCAACCAGACCGGAGAATGAGCTGAACATCACCATAAAGTCCAATGGCATCGACTGGGTCGCGTTGTGAAGATTCCAGGTTCCGTCCACCTTGGGTTTGGTGGCCGCTTCCCAGTCGTTGATACCCATCTGGCCGAGTTTTCCATCCTGGTTCACACCAAGTCAGTTTCTCGTTGCGAACGGATAGAGAGTATTCGAAACCTACCCTTAGCACCATAGACATTTGCAGGATCCCTGCGACGGGCAGCCGGGCACCCTGAATCGCTCGCTCGACATCGCCGAGGACGGAGACACTGCCTGGGAATGCCTGGACAGAGCAGCCCTGAGCTTGCAGCTCTAAAAAGAACAGCTGGTCCTGGGTGGACTGGCCTGCTGAACGGGAGAGATAGACTAGATGCTCGGCCCCATTCTCAACGAGCCAAGTAGAGATAGCACGACCTAGGCCACCCAGGCCGCCGACAAGCAGGTAAGAAGCATCTGATCGCAAGGCTAGTTTGTTCTGCTTCCCCGTCGTGGGTAGAATCTCTGGGTCATCTGGCATGGTCACGACAATCTTGCCGATGTGAGACCCCTTCTGCATGAATCGGAACGCCTCTTGGATCCTGTCGGCAGGGAAGTACGTCACCGGGCTGATAGGGCGTATCGATCCCTGGGTGTAGTATCCAACGCATTCTTCCAAGATGCTTGGTGTTGTTAGCTGATGCGTAACGGGTAATAGGAGCTGAAGCGGATACTTACGCTTGAGTGATATCAGGTCTCTCGGCACAGATCTGAGCAAAGTCCACCCCGAAGAAGGCCCGGTTGGCTTCGAACATGTCCATATTCAGCCTGGCATGACCGATGAAGTCCCGTTTTCCGATCTCGACCATTGATCCGTACGCTGCGACGCACTTCCACGATGCGTGTAGTAGGTCTCCGGAAAGCGAGTTGAGGACCAGATCAACGCCGCGTCCGCTCGTGGCATGGAGAACATCGGGAAGAAAGGTGGCGTTGCGCGAGTTGAATATATGGCTGCGAGGGATGCCATACGTGTCCACCAGATGTTGGGCCTTGGCTTCCGTTCCCACCGTTGCGAAAATCTGGAGCATGTTAGTTCATCTGGCAAAGTCCGTGGATGATATGGAGCTCACCGTCGCGCCGATCATCTGGCAGATCTGAATTGCAGCAAGTCCAATACCACCACAAGCGGATTGGATCAGCACACTCTGAATCACAGACGGTTAGCAGGGGCATCGCAGAAGAGTCAGTAATCAACATCAATACGGGGAGAATTACCTGTCCCCTTCGCAGTCTGCCCAGGTGGATGACACTGTGAACCACAGTGCTATAGACACAGGGCATGGTCGCCGCCTCCTCGAACGACAGGTCTGCTGGGATTCTGGCACACAGTGATGCGCGGGTGACGAGTGATGTCGCGTAAGACCCCCCGGCAAAGACCATCACTCTGTCTCCCACGGAGACGTTCTCCACGCCGGGCCCGATCTGGCGGACGATGCCGGCACACTCGCAGCCCAGGCCGTTGCCCTCACTGGGGTGGCCGTCAACAATGCCCTGAGCAATCAGAACATCCTGTACACAGGTTAGGTGTTTGCACTATACAACGAGGGAGGACGCATACCTTGAAGTTCATGCCCACTGCACGAACCTCAATCTCCACTTGACCCTCAATCAGGACACGCGTGGGTTGCTGGACCCATCCGAGGGTCCCCAGAAAGCCTCGCTTGCCGATCTCCAGTCTCTTTGGTAGCGCGCAACTCGGCCTGGTGCGAGACAGCGTGTCGCTCACGGAGAACCAATGGAACCGGCCAATGTGAATCTTGCCGTTGTCGAGGACCCATTCATAGTCAGGATCGTAGTCCTCGGAATTTCCACGGCGCTGGAATTTATGCAACACCTGGGCGACTGCCGCGCTGGCTTCGCGCCCAAGGCTGTCCAGCTCCAGGGTGGCCATATCGACCGCGAGCTCGTTCCGAACGGTGCGGGCAAGACCCAGCGACTGGGCCCATCTGGGGTCCTTGCAGTTCATCTGTCCCGCTCGGGTGAGCCACAGGATACCAGAGTCAGTGTCAACCGCATGGAGAAACCGGACCAGGTCCTGGAACTCTTTCTCGGATATGTTCTCTAGGAATGGTTCTGGCATGTCGAGCAGACACACAATGTCCTGTCCCGGCTTCGGTGGCTCATCCAATGTCGACCGTTCGACGGCGTAACCCACCTCTCGCAGCTGATCCTCCACCTCATCGACGAAGAGAGGTTGATGGGTATTGTTGCAGAGTAGGGAGATCGTTCTCGAGGATTTACTCTCCCCGACAGGCTTGGGAGATGCAACAATGAGAGCGTTGGCCTGGTATGGAGCCACATCGTCATACACGACCGTTGCCTCCCCAAATCCCACCGCTTCCATCTCCCGCACCCATCTCTCGGGAGAGACATATGGCTCCCACACACGGCCGTCATCCTGACCGAGCCACCAGCCAGAGAGCGTACCCATGATATAGTTCAACCAATTGGCAGTGGAGCACAGTTCATCCAGGAAGAGACAGCCATCCGGTTGGAGAAGCTTCTTAACATTGGCCAGTGTCTCACCAAGCTGTGGGGTGGCATGGAGGACATTTGTCGCAATGATAATATCGTAGGAGCCCAGCTCGAATCCTTGCTCGGCGGGGTCCTTGGTGATATCCAACACGGAATATTCGACGTTGGCGTGGTTGGCAAATCGATTCTTCGCTTCAATAAAGAAGCCCGCGGAGATGTCGGTGTACGAATACAGGACATACATGCGCTCTCCGTGAGAGCTCAAGTGGTCGAGCACTTTGGCCGTGGTGCCACCCGTACCAGCACCGATTTCCAGAATCCGCAGCCAGGGTTTGGCATGGCAGTGAGCATGGAAAAAGTCTGCGTGTTGCCATCGGTCTCCCATATCATACACCTGGGCGAGGATATTATCTGCCAGCAACAGTTCCAGGGGATCAGCGGTTCCCTGGAAGATCTCCTTGTTGGCGTCAAAGATCCTCCGAACCGCAATGGCAGCTGCCCCGGCTGGGGTGGACACGATTTGCTCCGTGAGCCGTTCTATTTCAGCCACCCGCGCTACCGAATCCATGGCGACAATCGCCTGTGGCCCCTCGACTAGCACATTATATCCTTCCGCTGCACGAGATGCTTCATGCTCCAACCAGGACTGGTACTTGGTGAGGTGACCCGCTGGGGTCTGGAGAGACCTCAGCTGGTGGCTGCTCTCAATCATGCACATTAGCGCCAATCTCTCGACGGGGAGATACCACTGGCGTTGGCTTCCCGCGTTGGCCGGCCGAATGAGGTCAGCAGGGTCAAGGAAGTCAATATCTGGCTTCCAGTGAAGGTGGCACGCTGCATGGGGGTCTGCACCGCGCAGGACGCCACTATCTTCCAGCGGATGCAGCTTGAGCCCTGTGATCTCAAGCACCACCTTTCCACCCGACGATGCAAGTCCATTGCCTATAATCAAGCCCCGGGGAGTAGCAGATGCCTTGACGGCCAAGTCTATCTTGCCCTCGGGTCGCGCGATATAAAGGTGGTCGATAGCACTGGGCACAGAAAGCAGGGTGAGGTTGCGCGACTGGCCACATGCGGCTGCTGCGCTGAATAGCTGGATGCATATGTCAATAGTGGACGGGTGCAAGGCGTGAATGCCTTCGTTGGCGTCCACTTCATTGCACACGGAAGCATTTGCGACCATCTCGTTCGTGCCCGTGGAGATCTCATCCAAACCCTGGAATCGGGGCCCGTAGTTCAGTCCAACATTTCGCATGGTCTGATACCATTTCGCGGACGAGACGGGCCTGGGCAGTGCTTGATATGCGGGGGCCTGCAATTCGTGATCCGCCCCGGGTCGGACCTGCCCCGAGCAGTGCTTGGTCCAGGACGTGCCGTTGTACGACGAGATGTAGAATTCGTGCCACACCGAGTCGAGGGAGTCGGTCAGACGGAGTGGCCTCAGCGAGGTGATGATTTCGGTGGCTTGCGACTCGCTGATCACCATGGCTGAAGCGATGATTACCTCGCGACACGTAAAGTCCTCCGCCCCCGTTAACTGCCGAATCGCCTCACCCGCCATGGCAATGTACCCTGCACCGGGGAAGATGATGTCGCTGGAGATCTGGTGGTCTCGCACCCAGGGACATTCTTCCGTCCGCAGCATATTTCGCCAGGTCGGCTCCAGCCCCGAGCCGTCCGTGATGCGGCTGCCGAGAATCTCGTGGTGGGGGAATTGGCGCAGACGCCAGTCCTTGGAAATGCGGCTTTCGTCCCAGTACTCGGCTTCGTGGTGCCACGGGTATGGCTGCAGATTGGTGAGAACGTTGCCTGGCGCCATGGCGTGGAAGTCAATGGCGATCCCTCGCATAAACAGTTGTCCGACACATTGCAAGATGCTCGTGGTGCTCCTGACGTTCCGAACTAATGCAGAGCAGGACATCGAGTTCGAGGCATTGCACGCTTTGAAGATCTGACGCAGAGGGCCCAGGAGGGCGGCGTGCGGACCAATTTCAACAAAGACCTGGTCCCCGGCGCTGCCCTCCAGAAGAGCGCTGACGGCCGTGGAGAACCGCACGGGCGATTCCAGGTTGGCACGCCAGTACGCAGGGCCCAAGAATCCTGCCTGGTCCACCAGCTCCCCCGTGACGCTGGAATAGAATTTGATCTCGGGTTTCCTCGCGTCGATCAAGTGGTCGATCGACGCCTGATATTCCCCGCCAATCTCCTGCATATGGTCTGCGGTATGTCGCGGTCAGCACGGTCAGGTTTATATCAGTGAGAGTCAACTAAATGGCGAGTGACTCACGAGAATGATACGCCATTTCAACCTTCAACGCTCTAGCAAACGTGCCTGGCCGCTCTTGTTTGATGTGCTCGAGGACCGTCTCCAACGGTTCCACATCGCCGGACAGGGTCACACTGCTGGGACTGTTCTCGCAGGCCACCACCACCCCGTCCACCAGGAAGGGCATCACGTCCTCCTTCCCAAGGCCAACGGCAGCCATTCCACCCCGCTTGGTCTGCAACCGGGTATTCAGCCCGCGGTAAAAGGCAGCAATGATCGCCTCCTCTTGGGTGATGGCATGTGCGGCGAATGCAGCCGCAATCTCTCCACTAGAGTGGCCGACCACAGCGTGCGGAGTGATTCCCCACGACTGGAAAAGGTTCACAATGGCAATCTGCAGGGCCGTACAGAGAGGCTGTGCGAATTCCGCCTTTCCAAAATTGATGGTCCTCTTTTCACCCTCGGCTCCAGAGTCGTTGGCTAGAAGCTCCGTTTCCATGGACCATGACGGGCCATCTGGAAGTCGCTGTAGGGTCTGGTCGAGTTGCCGGATGGTCTCTAGAGCAAGGGGATAATTAGTTAGTAGCTCCCTGCCCATTCCAACCCACTGAGCCCCTTGGCCCGTGAACACAAAGTTCACGGTCTGTTCACCGTTGCGTTTCACTCCCAGGGGTGCCTCAGTGGTGCTGTCACCGGTAACCATGAATGTTCGGAAGGGCAAATGCTCTCGACGCGCACCAAGAGTGTACGCAAGATCGGCGATGGCATCTGGATTCCTTTTGAGGTATTCCGTCGAGTTCGCAACCAGTTGCTTCAAGGAGTTGGCATGGTTTGCCGAGAAAACGAGAAGCTGTTCTGTTTTCGATGCTGCCACTAGCTGTTTGTTCCCAACGCCATGCGACGCAGCCGAATCCAGAATGACCTACTTGGCGTTAGCAGTCGTGACATACAAAATGCGTAAATGGCACAGTTGTTTCGCAGCACTTACCGTCGCATTAGCTCCACCCAGGCCGAAGGAATTGACACAGACTCTTTCGGCACTGTATTCAGGCCATGAAATGGGTTCCAATGGCACCTTGAGCTTATCGAACGGAACTGAGCGAGCGATCCTATCAGCACACGCAATCACGGCAGGTTCCATGGGGGGCATACGTTTGGGGTTAGGAGTTTGAAAGTTGATATTCGGGGGAATGGTCTTGTGTTGCAACGCAAGCACTCCTTTAATGACTCCCGTGACGCCAGATGCACCCTCAGAGTGGCCAACATTTGGTTTACACTGTGAGGTATCAGCTCTATTGCCGAACACGCTTTCCACTAAAGCCTTACCGAACCAATGTATATTCCTCGTTCTCCAAAAACATTCGCGACGGCCTGTGCCTCCAACGGATCCCCTATGGACAGAGTTAGCACAGTCAAACTGGTAACCAGAGATCTTCGCACCGATTGAGGTGCCTGTGCCGTGGCATTCAACAAATCCCACTTTCGAGTAATCATCGAGGCCGGCCGCGGTATAGGCTGCTCGCATCAAGGCTTCGTGGCTTTCACTGCTGGGATGCGAGATGCCCGGCGTTCGGCCATCACAGTTGCTGGCCGTAGCCCGAATCACTGCTTGAATAGGGTTTCCATCTCTGACTGCGTCACTGAGTCGTTTAATGTATAAGGCATTGATGGCTTGAGCAACCTGTTAGCCGGATATCTGAATCGAAATTGAACAGCCGGGGAATAAAAACCTTCTCCGCGAGCATAGCCATTAGCTCGCGCATCGAATGATTTACAGGCCGCGTCTGGCGAGAGGACGCCTTGCTCAGACATGGCGATGGTCATCGTGGGTGACATGATCAAGTTGGTACCCGCCACGATGGCCCCATTGCACTCGCTATTCGCAATTGCTTTACACGCCATATGCAGGCAGATGAGCGACGAGGAACAGCCGGTCTTAATAGTCACACTAAGTTACGAAACCATTAGTATAAGTGGTCATCTCATCTTGGTAGTAGCGCATACCTGGGGCCTTTCATGTCGTATTCATAAGAGATACGGTTGGCTAATAGGAACTGTGGGCAACGATCATGTTAGCTTAGATGCCCAACACCGAATAGGATAGCAGGGAGAGCGTACATCGCCATATCCCGTGACACGGTACATGCCCGCATCCTGGCTATCCTTCAGGTGAATATCCTGCCAGTCCTCTCCGAACACACCAACATAGCATCCAATGCCTTGCCCTCGCCAGTGCATCTCCCCAGCGTTCTCAAAGGCTTCTCGGCTGACCTCCAGAAGCAACCTTGCCTGCGGATCAAGCTTTTCAGTCTCGGACCGCGTCATTGAGAAAAAGGATGTGTCAAGGTGTTTAAGATTGTCTTGCAGGAAATTCCCATACTGCGTACGGACGGTCCCCGGCTTTCCGCTTTCGTCGTAAAACGCATCCACATTGTAGCGGTCTTCAGGAACGCGTATACGCCCATCCCGCTTCTCCATTAATAAGTCCCAGAAACCAGAGCCGTCTTTGACGCCGCCAGGAAGGCGCATGGCCATACCCACAATGGCAATGGATTCGGCAACAGCATCATGGGGAACTATACCTTCGTCGTTTGTAAGGCCTTTGCTAGTCCCATCTCCATGACTAACTCCATTAGTGTGGTTGGCCCCATTGGTCAGGCTATGTGTGTGATTACTAGCATCGGTAAGGACATCCTGTTTATTGACATCCCCAAGGCTGTCGATTGAGCTGTACCCGCTAGCACTGTCGTTGATCGTCATGGTGAGGTAACTGATCTGATGAATATAATATGCACAAGTTGGAATGAGTAGCAAAAAGAAACAAACCCAGAAAATTGTAACATGAAAAGAAAACTTGCGAATTGAAGTGATTCTCCGTTCCCTGCGGACTGTTTTATGTCCTCATACTTCCTGGCCTCGTATAGTATTCAGGGGGTTTCAGACCCTCGTGGGAACTCACACGTGGTTACCAGCCTCCAGTATGAAGGTCATTGTCCCGGTATCTCTATGAGCACCCACACCCCTCCCTTTTCCAGGAACGAGATAGAACTGATTGGAGAGCAGGGAGATTGGGCCCTGACCCCCCTGCACATTCATTTCGACAGCCATTCGATGTTCGGTTACTTGCAGACGATCCCAATGACAAGACAAGATTTCTTCACACTTTGGCTCCAATCTAGCGTCGTCCTGACATCCACCATTACAAGCCAATATTCTACCAGTTACCCACAGTCCAAACGCTAAAGGACCATGTGTCGTCCAACGTAATAATCATCACTTGATTGGACTTGCTGACGGAAGAACCGAGTCCATGAGCGTGTTCCCTCGAGAGAACAGGGATTATGGTGAGCCATAGGTGAGTCACCAAGCTGGCTATTAAGCTGGAGAGCTGACACCATCACCTCATTGGCGTAATGATTCCCCACAATCGGTCATATGATCAGAGCGCCGATCTCCGTCCATTCACCACTTCAAACCATCGCAGCCTTGTCGACCCTAACGAAACGTCCGTTGTCGCGCAATGGGGTTAAGTTCGACTATCTGGCCGGAACACGTCCCTCCGTAGATTTGACGCCAAAAGATAACAAAAAAGTTTAAGTTGCTGACGTCTTTTGGATTTCATTATGAGCGATCGACGGAAGATCATTTCCATGCTGACTCGGTTTGTTCCTTGCTGACATTTCCGTTCGATGGGGCATGAAGATCACTGCTAAATGCTTGTTTTGCTTGGCAACGCTCGGGAGATAAATGAGCCGAACTCTATCGTGGTCACCGGCAGAAATTTGTAAAATACACGGCTGTATCCACAATCCCGTTGCTTCCCGCTAGTAACTTTTAAAATACCGTATTCCACAACGTACCAAATGTTTTTATTGTATACTTGATTTGCAATTAGAGAACTGATATTCGGGCCCAGGGTCTGCAGCCCAATGAAAAGAACCGGATATGCTCAGACCGGGGAATCGGATTCAATCACCCATGTCAGGAGCTAGGCCAGGAAATTCAGGGTCTTCATCTTCCCCATGGTTGACTGGCCTGGACGTGGCAAGTCAGGGATTATTTTCTCAACGCATACCCGCCTGTCGTTACACACTCTGACTGAGAAATGTTAGTTAATCACTGCGACCTGATTAACCCAGGTGTGTAAAGAGTATACAAGAAATGCGGATGCAAGATATCACTATGGGAAGAACAAAAAGAAAAACCCCCTATGAAAAGTTAGACATGTCTATTTTGAGATCCGCGTTCAGAGCAAACCTCAAATGTTGCATCGTTTACAGGCGTAAAACGCTGCCATTCTTGGTCATACTGTTAATAAGCATAATGAATGGTGAACAGTGCAATGCCGCTTATCAAGATGATGTCTTCTTGCTCCGTGCTGTGAAGAATTAGACTATGCTATGGCCCAGGGATGGTCTGGGTGGAATCTCAGCAGCAGCAAATGTGGGTTGTCATTGGAGCCATTGCTCAACCCTCAAACATGCTATGCGTCTGGTTAAACCGGATATCAGTTATCACAGTTCAAGTAATACTGGCTATTTGACTAGGTGGTTCCCAAATACCTCATACGCACTTCCCAAGTTAGGTACATACTGGTTTGTCGAGAAGGAGATGTGCACAAGGATATCAGGTTTTCTATTCCAATGCAAGCAGACGGTATTATCATGATCATACATGTAAACGGTATTGTAACAGACTGTAATAAACTATTGGAATGGCACAAATTGGTATCATTAAACAATAGGTGTGATCAAAAGCATGTCAGTTTACAAGCACCATGTGCATTGCAGAACCTCAAACGGTAGTTATTTAACTTTGGAATTTTAATTAGCCGACAGCTCAGAGCAGCCTATCAACTAGGTTTATAATCGTCTCCCTGAGATTGAGCTCGGGATTTGTGTTTATCGAGTGGAGTAAGGTGAGACTTAGGATGGTGGCGTCTTCGGTATGCGGGCTGGATGCTCCGGCGAGCTCCGTAAACAGAGCCCATAGGTTGGGAACCTGCAGGTAATCCGTCAGTAAAGATAGGAATGGCTGTGAAAGTACACTATAACCTGCAGCAATATTCTGCGGCGCGTACCACGCATATGACTGCACGCACCTTGTTTTCATATTGTCTCTGTAAATTCTGCAACACCTGCGATTTCTGTATTTCAATGGGCGGAAGATCATCCACAGTACCATAGATGTTGACATCGCTGTCTAGCTGTAGCTCTCCCAGCTCTGCAACATAAATACCTTCCGCTGCCTGCACGGTCTGCTCTTGGAATCCGCGAGCCTCCCACTTTGTCCACTCTTTTGAGTGTTTGTGGAGACTTTCCAGCACAGAACGAAGCCGTTTCGCCCGGCTGGCCTTTTGTGCGCGATCTGCCGTTGAATTCCTGGTAAACGATAATGTGTAATAACCAGACACCAGAGCATCGAAGCTCTCGAATCCTGCTCGCTTCACATGGTCTATCACATACTGATAATGGTGTGATATGCTTTCATTGCCCACTGTTTCATGGTATTGCGTCTATCCTTTAATTAGTAACAGGATAGTATGTCAAGTATGTTCATGGGAACATGCTTGTGTGCCATAGAGATCATTCTTCTCCGTTCTTACCACTGGTATGTGATGCGCAGTACCATTCGAGCTGGCTGGCCATGTGCTGGCGGCTGCTGGTGGGAGACCGGGGTTTACGTCTGGTAAACTCTGTGGTGTTCGGAATTGATTGTGTGTGACATTGTCTTCCGTGAGAGCTGTTGTTGAAATTTGAGAAGCAAGTAGTGGCATGCGTGGTGAACTGTTGCAAGGTTGACTCAAGCCACAGCATGACCAGCGAGGGAGATTGTCTGCATAAAAGTACGCAACGATAAGTTACCTGTCCCGGTCAAAGTCGAGTAATAGTGAGCAAGGCAGGTTACCTGACGGATCTGGATTTGACCGCAAGAAGCTCTTCTGACCAGATGATGTATCCTGCGTTTGTAGCCTCTGATGTATAGTCTTGTGCGGTGGTATGCTGGTGCAATAGACACCCAAGTCCTTGAGGAGAGTATTGTCCAGCATCATCTCATTGTCCCTATGCAGATCCATGTCCGATTGTGATAATAGAGGACTTTCCCCCATGGCGAGACTTTGACTACCAGTCTCTTCTCTGCTCATGAGAAGCTGCGATCCCTCATTTCTGGCTGGCAAACTGCCGGACGAATTTTGGTTCAGCAGGCCACTATTCTCCGATATCAGATTGAATGATGTTATTCCGTGCTGTTTGACTTCATGTCGTGTATTGCTGCCTTTACCCGTGGGTATTCTCAGCATATTTTCCTTTGCTCTCTGGCCTAAGAAAAGGAAAGGGGAGGGGGCAGGCGTTAGAGAAGTACAACTGGTGGGACTGGGGTCTTCCAGCAGTGCACATACGGTGGTTCCTTTGGGCAATTCGATTTTGCATCCTCCTCTTCTCGATTGGATCCATTCCCGGCGAATTGGTCATTCTGGCTGTGAGTTACTATGAAGAAGAAATAACCTTCAGTTCAAATAAGAGACAATCTCGAACAATATATAGAGGAAGTAAAGAAAGGGGTGTGTCTGGATATGGTTTGCTATCAAACACTTCGTGATCTACAACTTCTTATTCGAGACAATTACAACTCAGCTGGAGTAAAACAAAAGGTTATTCAGCCGGGGAATATCGATTCTAAGATAGATTCAGGCCATGTGAGCAAGTGGCCATGTCATATACGGGCAACTAAACCCTAAATTGTGGACCTCGACGTTATAGAAGGAAAATACCCTGCCTTATCGACTTGCATGTGGATCGCAGGTGATCAATTGATGAACTGGCCCCTGTTTCAGTCAACCCCACAGCGTATGGCAGATCTACTGACGTGCTCCCGATAATTCTCCGAGACCAGGACTACGCAAGGCACCGCGGGGCTTGTCGATTTTGAAGCCAAATTTCTGGATCCACTTTGTTATTGCAGGGGCTCATAATGCAAATCAATTTGGCGCGATGGAATTAGATTCCAGATACTTGATTGAATCACCAGATCCTCCAGCCGTGTGGGAATTGCCAAGTGGAAGAGGTTTGGGGTTATGAAAAAAGTACACTGTATTTATGACAGGGATGCATTATTAGGCTTCGAATTTACGTCAATACCCACCCCAGGTCAAAACGGTACGTTGATCAATCTGCCCATCTATTAGTCTGTCTGTCTGTCTGTCTGTCTACCAACCCTGCCTGAGCGGTTGTCAGTCCCGGCCATTCCGGCCATTCATGTCAAATCTTACTACAGGAACATAATACAACGTGACGGATACTGTTTCCCCCCAACCCGTGAGCTGGAACTCGATCTAGCTTGGCTGGTGGAACAGGGAAAATGCTCGTGGTATGTCCATGGATACTATTTTCTGACATCCACCTTGTAATGAACATATAGACTATATTGTATCCTACAACTGTGTCGCTCAACAATGAATGTCTGTATTTAATGTTACACCGTCCTTCGTCCCCACCATTCCAATTCAGGACCAGACTGGAAATGCTGCCGCCGTAGTGGGTATTTAACTTCTTTGGCTCTTAGGGCGTGATCCGCCATAGTTCTGTCTGTAGATCCGCTTTGTCAGAATTCAACGGGTGAGAGAACAATGTACGAAACCGAGATACGGTGCTCAGATATATGTATTTTATAGCATAGTAAAATTAAGCATATGTAAAAGACTGACAGAGGCTCATTTACGGTGATATAAGACTATGTGTAAGAAACCATGAATCCAGTATTACGTTTAACGGGGGTTCATTTTATACTGTGAGGAGCATGCGTGCTGTGAGTGGGTATAATAAATATTCGAACGTCAGATTCGTATTGATCGTAAGATAGCCTGCATCTTGAGCGATCTGTTTCTGCAATTTCTACAGGGGGTATAAACGGGTTCCCTAGTGTCAACTCGTTGGCGGTTCGCCAGTTGTGACACTAGCCTCGGAGCACTTACTCTACAGAGCAGACCTCCTCTAGTCTCCACAAGTTTTGAATACATGTCCAGTTATTCTTTCCTTAAATCACTAATTCAAATGTCAAGTTGACCTGCAATCAATCCTTTAGTTTTCAAAGACAAGATTATTTAACAATTTTATAAATGCTTTTCAATGTGTTATGCTTCATTAACATTATCTGGGAATAATATAAGATCATACTACAGCACAGAAAATGCAAAGCCGTTTATTCAATGTAACTGTCTCTTTGTACTAAGCATCTCCTTCTGGCGTGTTGGTCTACCACACCTCAACAACGGTTTTCATCTGATTAATTATTTTTCAATTCGCATTTTTTTTTTTTTTTTTTCATTTTAATAATGAAGATCATACAATTAGAGCCTGTAAATCACCCACCTGACTATAAAATAAAATAAACTTAAAAAAAAAACTAAATTTTCTAGTATCACAACATAAAATTAATATATATATTTAATCAATTAAAGTTTAGTTTAGTATGTCCTAAGTTCAAGTGCCTATTGTACCTGTAATACTATTTTCTAAATCTAAAAAGAAAAAAATAAAAAATCTCTGAGATAATAATACCTAGGAATAGTTAGATCCTAGGACTACTACGCTCTAGGATAACAATGAATCTAGAAAGAACAATGATAAAAAAATTAACTTAGAATTAAGAAAATAATAGAATTAGCTACCTAGGAACCACCTTAATATTAAGATGTTCAGACAAAGATAACGACACCTCCAATGTTGTCGGAACATTCCGAATACAGCGCTACTTCGGCTACTTCTGATCAACAGGATCGGAGCCGGCTCATTTCCGCTATTCCCAGTCTCTATGACCATGCCCCCTATTTCTTCTCACATTCTGGGCCCTGTCCAGTTAAAGGTTTATGGGGGACCTTTCTGCGCGTTTTTCACAACCAATAATGTACTTGCTTACCGGGGAATGTGGATCTGTCTAGTGCTTAACTCTTCTACCGCGATACCAAGCACTGTTCTTGAGAACGGTCAAACTCTAACTCTCCGAGGAGAAGCCGATGAACAATCAAGATGACCAGATCAATATACTGACCGATGTTAGCTCAGTTTATTATCAGTGAACTCATTCCGAGTCATCACCATCTTGATAGAAAGGGTTGCACTCTGAAACTCTGCTATCCAAGCGAGAACATAGAATCTCTCATTTGTTTAGTTAGTTTACTGATAGTAGTTACTTCCCTTGGAGATCGTCACCATCAGGCCTGTTCCTCTATAATCATCCTCCTTCTCACTTTTTTCATCAATTCCAACTGATCCCATGCTATTGCTTGACCCATTTACAATAGGAACCAACACCAACGGGGATGTCTCAATTTCAAACTCTCCATGGTCTTTCTCACCAGGATTCCAGGTTAATAAATGAACTGTTGATCATCATTGGCCTGATTTCTAGCACATTCGCAATGGCTATTAATACCTATACAAGCATACATATAATGCATCAGTTTAAGATACAAAATAGTGAGTTTCTCTTTACTTTACTGATAGCCTGCTAACAAAGACTAGTCCTAAATATCTGCACATGGGTAAGTATCCCAGAGATATACATTATAATAGGGTACTTACCTCGTAATAGTTATTTGCTGTTGCACTATACGGAATATATCAATGTTTATAACCCTTCCTCAACTGCGAAATAGCCCTTGCTGATTATATTTCTTCGTGACAACAGTTAGCTTCACCAAAGCAGGATTTGGAAAACACGAAATGGATCTCTCTAAAGATGAGCTGCATGCCTTCACCTGGGTAAGAGCTTCTTGGACAATAGTTAACTACCTTCCTGGGTAGCTTAAATCACTGACCAACTCAGGCTCTTCTTACTACTGTGGTTATTTTCATTGTCATGATGTGCATGGGTAAGCTAGGGGTTATCACCCTCTACTATGGCCTCGACCCAATTAGCAAAGTCTGGAGAATCTCTGTCTACGCCATTGCCGTCATGATCGTGATCCCTACCCCGGTTTTGGTTCTCACATATATCTTCGGCTGCCAACCGCTTTCCATGGCATGGAACATGGGCTTTGTCGAAGGGCACTGTATTAGTCGTGTTGGTATCATGTTCACCAGTTCAGTGTTGAATGCTACCATAGACATTTTGATGGTCCTAATCCCAATTCCTTTGATTATTCGGTTGCAAATGCCAGTAATCCACAAGTTAGGAGCACTAGCAATGTTGTCTCTGGGTTGCCTGTATGCATGTCTCATATCCTATCCATTTATTTGTGATATCTATAACTGACCCATGTATAACACATAGTACGATAATCACCAGCATCTGCCGCGCAATCGCTCTCAGTCGTCTTTTGCATCTGTCAGATCAACCATACAATATTGTCATTCCCATCCTCTGGGCGTTAGTTTCGCCCCGTTTACAATATGAGAATATATACTTACACGGCATATCAGGAATGCGGAAACTACCCTAGTCATTATCTGCAACTGTCTGCCGGCCTTCCGTCGCTTTATACAGTACCATTTCACGAGTACTGCCTCAACCGGATCGAAAAATCCCACTATCCTCCCCGCTAGTGCTGGGGCTGGTATCACAGAACAGCGTGGCCTAGAACATGAATACAGTGATGATGTGGAATTGATCTACCGCGATGATAGCAACCGTCTGAGCATAGTCAGAACGGTTGAGCTGAATATGACATATCATCCAAAGGGGGCTGAACCTGAGTGTGGATTGTATCCTGTGGGATCAGGCCCACTATAGTTCTGAGAATTATTCTCTATACCACAGTACGTCACCAGCATGTACATACTCATACGCTGTTGCTTGTTTCGCCCGCTCATTAGGCCCCGTCAGGACCCCATACGTGCTTCTGTCATGGCATCTGACTCTGATGGTTGATTTGGGTGTGGGGGAAGGGACACCATATTTTTTTAAAAAAAAAAAAAATAAAGCTCCCATACCTCAATCTTGGAAGCACCTGTGGCACGAAGAACAATTTATGTTTATAAGTCAGAGTTAGAAGATAGAACTAATGATACTAATGACAAGTGCATTGCTGCATGCCCGTTTCATCTTGATTACCCCATTATATGTCCTATGAGCTTAACAATCAGTGAATTGCTTTTCCATTAGATGGGTTATTGAAGATCGCCCGGGCCACCCGCGGGTCGGCCCCATAGGCAGAATGCCCAACTGCGCGGAACCAGAGGGTAAAAACGCCCGTGCAATCAGTGGTACGGGCAGAAAAGTATGGTTATTCTGCATAGGTCACAAAGCAATACCTACTCATGGGCACTTGTTTAATTGGAATATACATTCTAGAACATTGTAGAATATACTCAACTAGACGACTAATAGCGATGGATATGTTGATTATAGTTATCCTATTCCAATTGTTCTAAGCCGCTTAGGACAACGGTTATTCTCTTTTAGGAAGTTGGCGGGAGTGGAGATAGAATTTGCCACCATCAAAGTACAGATCACCATATACCTTATTTATCGATCTACTGAAATTAATTAAGTCACTCACAATTCTTCTTTGGGAAGTTGATTCGAGTGATTGAAAATAGTCATTGTAAGATAATCGGCACAATATCCCTGCAGAGGGTCAATCATGCGAAGGGCGTGGTCTAGTCAGACTGGGCTTATATTGCCAACTATAAGATGAGCCATCCTGCGGGTGATCGTTACTTTAATTACACATCAGACTGACACGTTGGTATAGCTATGGCAGCTGCAGCGGCTCTTTTCACTTCTGGGTCATTTTTCTTGAATCAAATCACCAGGAAATCTCGGTCGGAGATTGTTATTGACATATCAAACACCAATTCAAAGTGTTTGCCCTGTTTTACGACTGCGGATCAAATAGAAGGCACAGTTACTATCACACCAGATCATGATATCTCCTTTGATGAAGTGAGGATTTCATTTCAAGGTGAGATTTATCCCACTTGCTCAGTATCAAACTGACCAAACGCAGGGTCATCCAAAGCATCCGTCGAAAGCGAATCGCCGATCCGGACTGTGCGAAGTACTCAGCACACCTTTCTGAGCCTCCATCAACCTATCGAAGAGACGGCATACCCAAAAGCACGAGTATTCAAAAGTGGCCATGTTTATCGATTCCCTTTTATATTTGTCATTCCCGAGTACCTCCTCCCTCAAGCATGTAGCCATACGAAGGACAGCCTCCATGTCGAGAATGCGCACCTGTCGCTGCCGTCGACAATAGGAGACTCGATAGTTGGTGCTGATGGTAAACGTCTTGATGACATGTGCCCTGATACGTGTCAGATTGCATATTATATCCGAGCTTCTATCATGGGAAGGTCGCTTGCTCATAACGCCTCAACTACGGTACTCTCGTCAGTTACCACGAAGATACGAATCATGCCAGCAGTCGATGAGGAGCCACCTTGGGAGGATCCGTGGATACGCAAGGAGCAAGACGTGAGAAAGGGTTTGATGAGAGGAAAGCTCGGTCGGCTGCAAGTGGCTGCCTCTCAATCGAAGCCACTGCAGCTATCCCTGGAATCGGATACAAACATGAGCACAATGGCAACTGTCCATCTTCGATTCGACCCTGTGGAAAATGAACAGCCTCCCCGCCTTGACACTCTACAAATCAAGCTCAAAGCGTCTACATACTTTGCTGTCGTGCCATGGAATGGGTTTCCAACAGACCACAACACTCTCATCACGGGGTCTCTAGGAAGAGGTGTTTATACGGAGACAGTCCCCATTTCATCCCCCTGCATCAGCTCAGTAAAGTGGGCCAAATATTCGTCTGCAACAAGCATCTGTCGAGAAACATTGCCCACCTCAACTGGATCAATAACCACACCATATTATACGGCATCCATCGTTGTTCCGATAACCATTCCAAAAGGAAAGGCGTTCTTACCAACATTCCATTCTTGTCTGATCTCGAGAGTGTATTTCCTAGACTTTAATATCTCCTACCAGACTCCCAACGCGAATATTCTCACACCATCAACTTCATTGAGGGTTCCGATTCAAATAGCATGTCAGCGTCAGATGGATAAAGCCTATTGACTACTTGTTTAATACATTCTGCTTTTTCTATCATATATATATTGCTTTTTTTATGTAATTCACCATGATATCCAGTGTATAAATGTACCAAGCTACTATATTATCCGCCACCATATTCCAATTCAGAATTTGACTTTTTTTCCGGTTCGAGTGGAGACAGCCGTAGTTAAGATTTCCCCATCCAGCAAACCTTACGATGAGACAGCCAATCATTCAAACCCATCCCAAGCCAATTTGACAAAGTTTTCAGCGACAGTTTTTGCTCCACGCCTCCCGGATTCCGAAAGGAGTTCCATTTACACTGCCTGGAGGGCTTGTTTTGGTTTGGGAGATCCACCTAAGTCGATTGCTGGATAGTTTTGTCTTTACATAGAGAAGCATTATGTGTGAACTGCTGGCTGGTCCAAAGGCTTGATATTTCTTGCAGGAATGAAAGCATCGAGGGCCCCCGAAGATAAGGGAATGCGGAAATGAAATGTCTATTCCAGACGTTGATTCAATTCAATATAATTACATCTCACACACAGCTGTACATTTAATCTCCACCAACAGTCTCACATTTGGCAACTCCTTGACGCCAATTGTCGTTCTGGCCGGTGCATCCTTTCGATCAGGCCACACCCGATTCCACTCCTCATTCATCCCCGCATAATTCTCCTCCAGATCAATCAGAAACACCGTCGCATCCACCACATTCTGCAACCCGCCTTTTCCCTCGGTCGCGCCGTGGATGATCGTGTCGATATTCCGTAGTACGGCAGCAGTTTGCTGGCGAATGTCCAAATTGAAACTTCCGTCTGCGTTTTCCGTCACGCCATCCCAGGTTCCGTCCCCACGGCGGGAAGATGTACCCGACACGTAGATGGTGCGGTAGGAAGAGGGGGCAATTCGTGCATGGGGGTAGTTTGCCAGCCCTTGGGCTTTGTTGGCATCAAGGAAGTAGGGGGTTCCGTTGGTCATTTTAGACAGTGTATGTTTTATGGATGTTGATGATGGGAAGATGGCGTTTTTATGGAGGGGAAGTGCGGAATCCGGTCCGAGCATTCGGGTCAGCATCCGGATAGTATAACATACCATTATGACTTAGATATAACAATATAAAAGAGCGTAGTAATAAACTTACAATTAAGACAAATTGTTCTATGTAACATTAGTTTAATTTTCATCTCTAGGATAATAAGCTATATTGTGTGTTATATCAGTTGGTGTAGATATATATTTGTGTTCAGATGCAACACTTCAACGACTTATTCTTATTACCACAACGTACTCCTAGATGTCTCAGCAATTTTTAGATAGATGATAATGAAATAATACTTTCAATGACCGCTCATTTCCTGGTGACGTCTTTTTAGAACCAATAGTAAATCTAGAAATGACACGCATGATGACATCAAGTACCGATCTGATGTGTTGTCTGTATCTGCCACAGACCAACCTACAACTACACTTATGCGTTGACATGCATTGATACCAATGAATTTTAGAATGATGAAAAAATCAAACTAATATGCAAGGGGCAAGACAAGTATTTGATACTCAGTGTTGCGACATCAACTTGCATGTATACTGACATCATTATATCTTGAATCACCTCATCCAGACATGTATCAGCCACGAAAAAGAAATAATTAATAATGAGTCTGATATCATTAATCACAACAGCAGCTCGTATCCACAAACATTATGGGGATTACGGGGATGACAGGGACGCCATCGGCTAGAATGATAGAATTTATCCGTCCGGTCTGGAGATGAAGCTATCCGTGACTGCCGAACACGTTGGGTAAGAGAAATGAAATGCGGATGTATGATTGATCGAGGAGTTGCTATGACTAACAGCGCCCTACTAGATTGCCCTAAGAGCAATACGAGATCGGCATACTCCATGTCACCTTGCCATCTCTCTTATCGGAGGTCTGTTCGAAGCGATGGCATGATGACTGCATAAGTATTTGAGATTCATTGCCATACTTGAGATGAACCGTCAGAGTTGTATGCTTTTTGTAAGAAGGAAGGATTGTTGAACTGCATTAAATCGCATGGATGAGTGCCACGTATTCAGTCAAAGTGTTTATTTACTTTCAACTTTAAAAGTAAATGTAGTTATCTGTTTGTCTGAGCCATTCATTGAGTCAAAGTTTTAGAATTGAAATGAGTCTTTTTTTCCCATGGACATGGTAATCAAATTGAAGTCTGTTTCAGATTAATGCAGTATGTATGTAGGTGAGCAATGATCAATCAACAACCACCTGTCAATTCAATTATTAATCCCATCATCATATTCTCTGGTAGCAAATGTATACATGATCTCAGAGTGAGATCGAGTATGTACAATGCAAGGGATTGGATGCCTCGTGTAACTTGACACGGGAATTCATGCGGCGGTCTGACGGCGGCAATTCAGCCCGAAATACGGCATCAACGAATCTAACGCGGAGCGATAATCGGAGATTTGTATGTATTTGAGGGATTTATTATTCAGTTTATTCACAACTCCTATCCATGAATAATGAGATATCAAAAGGGGAGGATTTGAGCAGGCTGGGGTTGGGGTAATATGGAGAACTCCACATCTGCAAGTTGCTTGGAGAAGAGAACATGGGGAAGTGGGCGCATGGGCGAGACCAGCCCCGACTCTGGGCCCTAAGCCCTAGCCAAGCAGAGGGTTTGATTATTTTGTCTTGGTGAAGCTTGAGCTGAAGCTTAACTGGAGACAGATGATCTGATATGATGGATGATGTTGGCAGCACGTGGTTTGATATTGTAGACAGGCAGAATTGGAGGGAAAAGGCCAATGAGAGCAGGAATTGTCAATGCACGACTCTCTTATCTTTGGATTACAGATAGAATAATGTAAAGAATAGAAAGATATCGATGGGTGGGACAGGGCCTGGCATGGCGGTGGGGACTGGAGTGCAGCACACCGAGATGGCCGAATGTCCGAGCTGCCAGTGGGGAGGTCTGCTTGATGATACATAGTTTGGATCATCAGTCAACATGTATGTCGACATACTTTGTCATTCTCTAGTTTCTATACACCGCATGTCTGATACAACCAGCTACTCTGTCAGAATGACCCTTACAACAGGAACAGGTGACTGTCCTGTCCCTGATGCTTTCGGGATTCCATCGCATCCATGGCTGCTGTTCTCGACGGAAACAGGCCGAACGTGCGCTGGACCCACTAGGGCCAATCAGAGGGCGTGCCGCAACCGGCTACAGTCGGTCAGGCGAAAAAGGTTATCCAGTGGGGCAATTACTTTTACCTAATCTCTTAATGCCGAGGCGCTGATTGGCTGATCTCAGCGGTTAGTCATGGAAAACGCCACGGACTCAACGGGTGGGGCGGAGGAGCTTGACTGGATTTTGCATGCAACGTGAGAAGACAGAAGACCATCACAATTGAGATGGGATAAATGATATGTAGACAGATAGATATAGAGAAAGAGGATATAGAAGAGTGAAATAGACAGATAGATGAGATCTATATAAGACAAGACTTGGATAAAAATGGTGAGATGAAACCGTGGATGCAAGGCTGGGATTCAGTGCTACGCCCCACCCCGACGGCCGTTCGGGAAATTTCTGCACATTTAATACTTCGTCCTGCTCTCTCTTTCTCTCTTCTCCATCTTCATCTCCGGGGGTTTCTTGTCCATCTGTCCTCCTCCTGTCGTCACATCCGCCATAATGATCATCCAAGGCGTCAACCCCCCGGCTGAACCTATCGAGAACAAGTATGAGCACGAAAAGATAGACCCCGAAGAGGGCGACCTGAAGAAGTTCGACAACAATGACACTGTCGACCCGTTTGGAAATGAGGAAACTGCGGAGGTCAAGTACAAGACGCTGAAGTGGTGGTATGTATCTGTATCGCGGTGTGATGTGCATCGGATGATTCTAACGGCACCAGGCAATGCGGTATGTTCATGATTGCCGAATCCGTCTCGCTCGGAGTTTTGTCGCTGCCTGCCACCTTGGCTGCTCTGGGTTTGGTGCCGTAAGTCTTCTCAATCTCTGGAATATGGACATATCTGACCGATCAGAGCGATTATCCTCATTGTCGGACTCGGTATCCTCGCCACCTACACCGGCTATGTCATCGGCCAGTTCCGTGAGCGATACCCTCACATTCACAATCTCTCGGACGCCGGTGAGATCGTCATGGGCAGCTTTGGCCGCGAATTGTTTGGACTCGGCCAGATTCTGTTCTCCATCTTCATCATGGGCAGCCACATTCTCACCTTCACCACCATGATGAACACTATCACCGACCACGGTACCTGCTCGATTGTCTTTAGTATTGTCGGCATGGTCATCTGCATGGCTCTGTCTTTGCCCCGAACCATCAAGAACCTGACCTACATTTCGACTTGCTGTATGTTTTATAATATCTGAGATAATAGGCTCAACTAACGGTATACAGCCTTCGTCAGTATCTTCACAGCCGTCATGATCACCATGATCGGTGTCGGTGTGCAGTACAAGGGCGGCACCAACATGAATGTCACCAATGAGACCAATCTCTACCACGCCTTCAGCGCCGTCACCAATATCGTTTTCGCCTACTGCGCTCACGTCGCCTTCTTCGGTCTGATCGCCGAGATGGAAAAGCCCGAGGACTTCCCCAAGGCGCTGGTCATGCTGCAGACCTTTGAAATATGCTTCTACGTCGTTGCTGCCGTCGTCATCTACTACTACGTCGGAAACACCGTCGAATCGCCCGCTCTGGGATCTGCAGGCCCCGTTCTGAAAAAGGTCGCATACGGTATCGCCATCCCTACCATCGTCGGTGCCGGTGTCGTCAACGGCCACGTTGGTCTGAAGTATATCTACGTCCGTCTCTTCCGTAACTCTGGCCGCATGCACAAGACCGACTGGGTGTCTGTCAGCTACTGGGTTGCCATTGGATTGACCTGCTGGGTGATTGCCTGGATTATCGCCGAGGGTATCCCCACCTTCAGCAACCTGCTCAGTTTGATCAGTTCCCTCTTTGCCAGTTGGTTCAGTTGTACGTTCTATCCCCATCATTATATCTATCTTATCATGATGCTAATTCCAACAGACGGACTCAGCGGTGTCTATTGGCTCCACCTCAACCGCGGACAGTGGTTCTCTTCTCCCCGCAAGATCGCCCTCACCATCATTAACGTGCTCATCGTGCTCATCGGTGGCTGCATGTGTGGCTTGGGTCTGTATGTCTCCGGCAAGGCGATCCACGACGACAGCTCTGGCAGCAGCTTCTCGTGCGCCAACACGGCTTAGTTTATTTGTTTCTTTCGATGTTCTATGAGCGTTGCTTGGTGTTATAGATGTATGGTTTGGCTGGGTTGATTGGGTTTGCATTTACATTGTATATATAGACTAGCGTGAATATTACAGTCTGGATCCTTGTCATGTGCTATTTTAAATCGCATCATCATGCAGGAAAAGCCGATCTTGCTATTCGTTCGTCATAGGTCGTCTATCACAAAAGCAAACATGGCCCGAATAGGAAATGACATGCTCTGAAGAGCACCTGGAGAGCTGTCACCGCTATTCTTCAAGCATGGTTACACAAAACTATACTTCAATATCTGCAACATATCTTTAGCATGGTTGCTTTGTTCACATGTATTTTAGTTCTGCCCTCCCCAGCTGCCTTGACAGTTTTTATTTCATTCACTCCCTCGTCTCGCAATGGATATCAAATCGCCCTTTCCAGATGTTCAGATCCCAGATGTCGATCTGTGGACGTTTCTATTCGAGCGTCAGGACCGGAAGTACTCCGATCACAAAGGTATCAACACCACGATAGGTAATAGATAATAAACTAACTTGATCAGTCCTCTTCACAGACGTCGACACCGGCCGGAACTACACGTTCAAAGACATGCGCACTCTAGCCCTTAACTTCGGCCACTCTCTTCGCCAGCAATGGAACTGGCAACCAGGTGATGTCCTGGCCGTCTTTGCTTCGAATTCCATCGATCTACCACCCATTATCTGGGGTGCATTAGCCGTAGGAGGTGTTGTCTGTCCGATCAACCCAAACTACAAGGTGGATGAATTGCTGCATCCGCTAAGGGATTCGCAGTCGAAAGCCATCGTCACTGGCAAGGCACAGTTACCGACTGTTCTTCAGGCTGCCGAAAGAGCTGGAATCAGTAATGACAGAGTGATCGTTGTTGATGAAGCGGACAGAATTGGATTCTGGGAGAGTGACCCGGCAGTGATAGGTGATGTATTCGACGGGCCATTTACGCCGCCGATTCGGGACCCTGCAAGTGAGCTGGCATATCTGGTTTATTCTTCAGGGACGACTGGATTACCCAAAGCGGTCATGCTGTCGCATCGTAATATGGTGGGCAGTCTTCTTCAGCTGGAGCCTGTCGAAGATGGGCAGCTGGGCTTCACTCGAGGCTTAGCGGGAGAGGGCGACAGAGGGCTGGCTTTTCTTCCTTTCTTCCATATCTACGGTATAGCTTTAGTCTGCGTTTATCACAAAAGCTAAAGTAAGAACCAGGAATCACTTTCATCCTCAACGACACCGTCCATCTCGGTCTGTCAACATTCATCATGCCCCGCTTCAGCCTGGAGAAGTTCTGCTCGACGGTCCAAAAACACCAGGTCACCTACGTCTGGACCGTTCCTCCCGTCGTCCTCGAGCTCGTCCAAAATAACAAAACAAGCGAGTACGACCTCACTTCAATCCGGATGGCTATCTCCGGTGCTGCCCCGCTGGCTGCTGAGTTGATTCATGCTCTATACGACAAGTTGAAGATTCCCATTCGACAGGGCTATGGGATGACAGAATGCTCTCCATGTACTCATATGCAGGTATGTTCTATCCCTCCATCTGTAAATTGATAAATCTGACTGTCTAGACCTGGGACGAAGCCCGCACACACATTGGCTCCGTCGGCCGTCTCCTCCCCAACATGACAGCCAGATTTACCCCGATCGACGACGAGCAAGACGAAAGATCAGGTGAACTCTGGGTCAAAGAGCCAAACGTGTTCCCTGGATACTTGGGTAATGCGAGCGCCAACGCGGACGCCTTCTCAGAAGACGGATTCTACAAAACCGGTGATGTGGGATATCAAGATGAGAATGGATATCTGTACATCACCGACCGCGTCAAGGAGTTGATCAAATATAACGGATTTCAGGTTGCACCGGTTGAACTGGAAGGGATCATCATCGCTCACCCGGCTGTCAGTGATGTTGCGGTGGTTGGTCTGCCCAGTGGCCAGGATGGATCTGAATTACCTCGTGCATATGTCGTTCCAGTAGGGAAATGTGAGGATGAAGCGATGGCAGAGAGTATCATCAATTATGTAGCAGACAGGGCGGTCGGTTATAAGAAGCTGAGAGGAGGCGTTTGTTTCGTCCAAGATATCCCGCGTAATCCGACTGGGAAGATTCTGCGACGCAAGTTGAAGCAGATGTCTTGACTGATTATATACCCTGATCCTTTAGCAAAAAAGTCTACTATTTTAATCATATATTGCACTGCCTGAATGGTGATCGGTACATACCGCATCTCATGGCCATAATCAAGTTGGATAATCATAATGCTACCAACATTGTTTCAAATTCATTACTGGAAGCCAGCCTCAGTGCAACAGTGTCCGCTATGCACAGCCTCTATGACGCTACTCAGATGAGTGCCATCTCAGAAAACTAAACCACCTTATCTCCTGATACCCATTCTAATCGACAGAGGGCTGGAATACGCTTTTCTTAGACTTTGGGACTTTGTAAGCCAGCAACTACTTTACAAGTCTAAGAACCATACTCTTGGCTGGGGTTCAGAGATCATGGTCCTTATATAATATAGACGGAAGAGAACTAGCCATGGCCCCTATACAGGCCTTATACAACCTACAACTGACAGAACCATAGCACAACTCTCATTGCCAACTTCCTTTTCTCCCAGCTAATAAAATAATATATGGCTCTGCAATGGATTCCTCATGAGGATAAACGCTGCGCTGGCTTATTTCTGACAACGTCAACTGCAATGCTGGCAGCCCAAACAACCGCTGTATATTCCCCATCGGCTCGACTACATCAATTCTACGTCCACGTTCGTCCAATAATAATACAGTTTCCTGCTATTGCAAAATATCAGGCACCCCACACAGATGACTCGAACCGACTGATCGGCACGCCACATGGGTTTGATTCGATCTTTGATCGGCGGCCATGCGGAATACGGGAATAGCCTCATGCATGCCCAGTTTGTATGCTGGCTGATTACGTGAGATGCAGGGCGCCTAGTTATACGATAACCCCGTATTTTTGTCCGTGCCTGAGCATCAGCCTTGTTGCGAATATGGCGCCACTGTGAAGAATTATTGTTCAATTGTGTCTATATTGTAGGCGTATTGATCTCATATTAAATTATGCCAAGCTCATGATTGCAAAGCTGACGGGATTTATTCTATACAACCACCACAAGAAAACTCTTGGTGATTTCTTGAAATTAATCCAGATGTGGCAACCTAATATCCAAAATGAAAGTATTTTTATCCTAGGATGCTAGTCATTTGTTGGCAGTGCAGCAGTATATCACCGGAACGCTCCCTGGTGCATGGTGGTGACAGAAAATCCAATCAGAACAGATTCAGGCTCGTATGAGACTAATCTCCTGGGTGGCCAAGACAATGACCAAGATAATGACCAAGACGAAAGGGGATAAACATAGCGCTCAGTATCATTCCATTTGGCACAGTAGATGCTTGGAATTCTATTCTGGTCCCTCGATGGCAGTATAGCGCTCAACTGGGCTATATAAGAGTCTTGAATCCCATAGATTTGGACTCATCCAGGAACGCAATCATCTCAACAATCTCAACTATCTCAATCAGTTCTAGTATCTCAATACTCAAGTCTTCAATCTTCACTCTCAAAATGCAGTTCAACGGCATCCTCCTCGCCCTTGTGGCCAGCTCTGCCATGGCCATGGCTGCTCCTGCGGAAGACAGTGCCAGCGGTACTCTCAGCGCGAATTGGTCTTGCCCCAGTGGGTGGAAGGTTTGTGGAGTGAGTATACACAGATGTCCAGATGGCTGTATCAGTATATCTTACATGCTATAGGAGTGCAACGGCACATCCTGCAAGGTGGCAGGAACCAACCGGTAAGTCTCGAGTTCTGCATTCTACCATATGTATACTGATGAGATGATTAGTGGATGCGACACTGGCAGTGTAAGACTCATATCTATATATATGGATGAGGGATACTAACGGGATCAAGTGCACCAAGCAAAGCGGAGCTGGCGATGGAGCTATCTGTGGTTCGAAATGGGCTGGAAACTGGAACATGGACTGCCCCGGAAAGGCCTAAGCATGTCAACATTCGGCTCAAAAGAGCTATTCACTCATTCCCTTTATAGCAGTATTGGGAGGATTTGTGATGAAGTATGATGGGTGTCATTCCCATAATGCCCTTGATGATAGGTTATTTTGTTTATACAGTTGAATGTGATAATTATATCAGAGTTTGTATACTTTGAAGCCACGATCTAGCCTATTTCTTGTTTCATGAACTGCGCTAGCCGCTTTTAGCTAGACCGAAATTGATCGCCCCCAAAGCCCCTCTAGATGACAGTTGTATTTCCATAGCGGTGGTCTTGAAGCTCATAACTTGCCAGTCATGTCGACAATCACCAAGCGCAAGCGTGCCAGGAAGGCATGTATCCCATGCCATCAGCGCAAGCGAAAATGCGACACCATGTATCCTTGCGACATGTGCACCACCTACGGATACAACTGCAAATACACCGACGACAGCACAACTGGTGCTATACCCACTCCGCCCCCAGCCAAGCGCGTAAGCCTCGACAGTGAAAGTCGTCTGACGAGCCGGTCTCATATGGAGCGAGACCGCCGCGAAGGCGACGGCTCGTCGACGAAGAGTCCCCTGGCCGGCGCGTCCCCGGGCATCTTCGACGCGCAGAAGTTCAGATACTCCGGGGCATCGGCAGCCATGGCGTTCCCGCACATTCTGGGTGTGGCTCTCGGTTCCGACAGCCCTCCAAAGACGCGGTCGTTTGCTTACAACTTTGGCATTCGCCCCGAGGAGGCATCAAACACTCACTGCTTTCTGGGAGATCTCATCTCGGTGGAAGACCTGGGCTTTTTCTCGGGTGTGTACTTCGCAGTATTGGGTCCCATCGGCGATGTGATGGACCCTAGGATCTATGGTCAGCGATGTCAAGATTATTACCACGGTTCGGGCAGCAACGGGGTGGCCTTTGCCGCCGTGGCCGCTGGTGTCGCTGCTCTCGGGTCATTCCTCTCTGATAAAAGACACCCGCGGGAGTCTGACTTGGTGCAGTACGCCAAAGCCATCCTCGATGATCCGTCCTCAATGCGTTTGCATGGTATCGACCACATCGTTGCGTGGGGCATGAGGGTGCTTTATCTCCGAGCCACCACCCGGCCCAGCAATGCTTGGATCGCTTCGTGCACGCAAATGCACCTCTGTGAAGCAATAGGCCTGCATGAGGAGGAGAACGTCAAGAAGATAGCATCTATCTCTAGCGCCGCTGCCCTTGGGCATGATGAGGACCGACTGAGGAGAATTTTTTGGATCTCATGGGCCGGACATAACATGCTGTCCTATGAGTACGACCTTTCTCCTGTAGCATTTCGGACCGTGACTTGCCAGCCGATCATCGCGAAACCAAATTCCGTGGCCGATCAGTTTGTTCAATTGATCCAGATCATTCCATCGCCCAATTCTCCGTTCCAGCACGAATTGCAGCACCCAAGTCCGAGTGAGGGGCTATTTCAGCGTCTCAAGGCGCTGGACGAGCTCAACTTCACCCATCCGTTCCTGGTGGTGACCAAGGCAGACATTGCGTTTTGCTTCTATCGACGCCTTTACCAGCTCAAGATCCGCCTACCGGACGAAATCATTCAGCTCATCATAGATAGCGGCAACGCCGCAATAGAAGCGGCCGAGCAGCAGGCTAGCAAGGGTCATCTGTTCTGGAACGTCATCGGCAGCGTCTTCCAGTATACCTGCATCCTGCTGGCCATCGACACGCCCGCGGCCTCCGCCCACCTCGGCGCTGCATTCAAGGGTTTGGAGAACCTGGTCAAGGCTGCCGATACAGGACTGACCCGTGAGGCGTTGTCGATGGCGCGCCACTTACTCAGCCTTAATATGGCAAAGAAGCGAAAGGAACTTGCTCAGCTGGAAGCTGTCGAGGCGGGCTATGAATTCTTTCAGGAACCGGCATCTGAGGTCAATACTGCGGTCCCAGACATGGACTGGGGAGTGAACTGGGATCAATTCTTCATCGAGCCGTATTTGTCCATGCTTGGTGCTGATATCTAGTTGTAGGGAGATTGATTCACTCTAGTCAACTGTAATTCAATGTGAATTATCAATCAAATTCGGTTGTACCTATGATAAGATAATGCTTATCTAACCTTGAAAAGTAAGCTTACTTCATGTGACTTGTAGGTGAATCATCCTGTGCGGCTTTATCTGCGGCTATTGCGGAGTTCGTCTATACTGCCGCACCAGCCAATCAGACAGCGTGAATGCTGCGGCTTCTGCGGCGGAGATAGCTGTCGAGGCTGTGTTTGAAATGTATAAATAGATGGAGATTCTCTGAACAGAGGAATAGCCAGACACTTATCATTCTCTTACACACTCAATCGCAGCGTTTAATCCATTCCCAACCACAATGCCTGAGTACGCCAAAAACCAGCCTGTCGGCTTCAAAAACGCCATCGAAAGAGTCGCCATTGTTGGGGTAAGTAATCCAATCAACAACAATACGCATAAAGGAAACTAACACACTTAGGCTGGAGGCACTATTGGATCGCACATTGCCAAGGCCCTCCTAGAAACCGGAAGACACACAGTCACGGCTCTTTCCCGCAAAGACAGCGGCAACAAACTCCCCGAGGGCGTTCTAGTCGCTCCAGTCAACTACGATGATGAGGCCACTCTTGTTGCCGCTCTTCAAGGCCAGCAGTTTTTGATCATCACCATGGCTCCTACTGCGCCCCGGGACACCCACAGCAAGCTTGTCCAGGCGGCCGCCAAGGCTGGCATTCCCTACGTCATGCCTAATGGGTACGCCGGCGACATTGACAACATTAAACTCGGCGAAGACACATTTTTGGGACCTGTAGCCAAGGCCAACAGGGACGAAATCGAGAGGCTCGGCATGCAGTGGATCACCGTGTGCTGTGGGTTCTGGTACGACTACAGCTTGGCGGGTGGTGATGCGCGCTTTGGGTTCGATTTTGACAAGCGTTCTTTGACACTCTATGACGATGGCAACACCGGGATCTCGACGTCGACTTTATCGCAGGTTGGGCGCGCCGTGGCCAGGGTGCTGAGCCTCAATGAGCTTCCTGAGGATGAGAACGATTCCGGCCTTACTGTTTCGGCCTTCCTCAACAAGGGCGTGTACATTAAGAGCTTTGTGGTCAGCCAGAACGACATGTTTGAAAGCGTCAAGCGTGTCACCGGCACCACCAACGCCGATTGGACGATTACTCACGAGGATACCAAGAAGCGATACGAGGATGGCCTGACGCAGGTGAAAGTGGGTAACATGGCTGGGTTTAGCAAGATGCTGTACGCAAGGACGTTTTACCCGGATGGTTCGAGTGATCTCTCGGACAAAGTGCAGAATGAGGTTCTTGGATTGCCTGATGAGAGCCTGGATGAGGCCACCAAGGTGGGAATCGACTTGGTCAAGGAGCTGCAGCTTCGTGTTGAGCGTATGGCGGCCTAGAAATTAGTACATCTACAAAGTTAAACCAATGAATGTATAAATATTATTTAATAAGCTGTTCAATTAGTGTCTGATGGCAAGTGTAACTGATAAGAATACCGTAACTATTTCCAAAATAGTCCGACTGCAGTGCTGGGATTGTCCAACATGTTTGATTTGATAGAGCCTCCAACAGTCTAATAGCTGACTGCATCTCCAAGAAGGCACAGATGACCTTTATACAGGGATCTGTGGTCATGAATGATCAACAACCATATGGAAAATGGAATAGCCTCAGTTTGTTTCCAATTGATTACGTGGGGTGCAGCGCATCCGACGTCACCAATATCTATCAGATTGCCCCACATTTGTATAGTTCGCTGAGGTGGGATCATGGCTTCACCAGCATCAGCCAGTACCCCGTATCATATTCTCTTGAGAGGCCTGATTTTAATTCCAACTGGGTAGCATCCAGGAGTCCCTCAACAAGACCACCTCTTCCATGAGAACGAAGGAGGATATACGAAATGAATCCGAGACAATCCGAGCCATTGCCATTTTATCTATACATATCAGGCTGTATAATATATAGTAGACTGACTTTGGCTAGAAATCGGGGTATATAAAGCCCTTGATCTCCGCTGAGTTTGTTCTTCATCCAGATCAACAATCACATCTTTCTATCTTCACATCCCACCTACGCTGAAAATGCAGTTTACCAACATCATCCTCGCCCTGATGGCCAGTTCTATGGTCATGGCTGCTCCTGCTCAAGACAGTGGCAGTAGTACTGATAGTGCTGCTGTGTCTTGCCCTAGTGGATGGATTCAGTGTGGGGTAAGTCTTTTAGACATATCATCTATCATCTCTAATACAGTATAGGAATGCAATGGCACATCGTGCAAAGTCGCAGGAACCAACCGGTAGGTCTTTCTCATACACCATTATCTACTATGTACTGATGAGATGGTATAGCAAATGCCGAACTGGGAGTGTAAGCCTATATCTACATCCACTGATATCACGAGACTAACTATCGCAGTGCACCAAGCAGAGCGGTGCTGGAGATGGAGCTATCTGTGGCTCGTCCGATCTTTCTATCGACATGGACTGCCCTGGAGGAAGGAACTAAACGTGTTTATCAACTCTAGGAGGGAGGAATTATGGATGATCGCAGAACTATCATTCCCACAATGGTCTTCATTTTGTGATTACTTTTGTTGCAGTCGAATGCCATTTTAACCTTATATTAAGTATAAACCAAGAATAGTTTTGATTTTCCTGCATGGCACAAATTGTGATTATGTCTTCACGAGGCTGTGCTTGCCCCATCTTCCTGTCGATCAGTTCTCAACATCCAGTAATATTCCCCAAAACACAGCCTCGTGTTCAAGTAGCTATAATAACCCCTCAGAGCGTCGACTCCTTCAGCTGATATCTTGACATTTGCGAAAAATGACAATAAGAAAAAGCGCCCAAGCACTCGAGAAAACTTACCACCCAAATCTTTGGCAACAGGCATGGGATAGTCTCGACAACGAGGTCAAAGCGGGCATCACCCTCAGAGGCAACAGCCGGCGCGTCGTCGATTCGGTCCTCCACACTGCCAAGGAGAAACAGCAACTCTGCTTGCGAAAGAAATGGAGATTCCGCAAGTCGAATGGAGAAGAGATTATCGTTCGCGATGTCCTGGATAAAATTGTCTCGTGGCTGGATAAATTCAAGGCAATTGGGGATGTCGCGACACAGTATGACCCAGTCCATACATCGCTGCCCTGGGCCGGAGTACGCTTTGTTTTGCAGGTAGTACCCTCCTAATGCATGGATTATTCTATCAACTGATTGATGGCCCTGAAGATGGCAGTCAGTGACCAGCACGTGTTCGGAGCGACCGTGGAGGGAATAGAGACCATCTCCCAGCTCATCACACGGTATACCATCTTCGAGACACTGTATCTCGATTGTAACTCCCCGATCCGTGCTGAGCTGGAATCTGCTCTGGTGCGGCTGTACAAGAAAGTGCTGGCATACCTGGTCAAGGCAAAGCGCTACTTCCAAACCAGTACTACAAGTGAGGCGAAATGTCGTTCTTTCCACTCCTACCAGAGACTAATATAGAGTAGAGCGGGTTTTAAAAAGTGCATTCTACACAGCAGAAGACAATCAAATGAAGGCGATCGAAGCGGAAGAAAAGCGTGTCGCGGCCTTGACGACGTTGGCTGACATGGAAGAGCTCAAACGTACTGGAGAAAACGTTGCAGCCACGCAGTCTCTAGTCAAGTTATTGGAGCAACCTATCCTGCGAATGGCAGACGAGACAACTACTGCCATGCGAAGATTGGAGATCAACAAACAGTCTGCATTGCTGCAGTGGTTGTCCTCGGTTCCTTTCATCCAACATCACAAGGACCACATCCGGAAGAATATCCCAGGATGCGGACATTGGTTTCTGAATCACCCAGAGTATCAGAACTGGAAATCCTCTAGCTCATCTTCTATTCTTCTACTCCATGGTATCCCGGGATCGGGAAAGACATCCATCACTGCCAACGTCATCGACTCATTCTTGCAAAACAGATCTGGGCCAAATGGCTCCGTCGCAGCACCCGTGGCCTACTTTTACTGCACCAGAAACTCCTTTGAGCCGCAGAGATCAGATCCAGAAGACATAATGCAAAGCCTTCTTCGGCAGCTGGCCTTTAGTCAAAACAACCAAAGGGACATCCACGAAGCAGTGTTGAACGACTACCAGCGACGAGAGGATGAGGCAAAGCTCAACGGATGGGATATCCCGAAATTATGCATATCAGAGTGCGTGAGGCTGATTTTGGATATTACCTTGTCTTATCCTGTCACCATCATTATAGATGCCATGGATGAAGTTCAAGAAACCCGTTGGCATGAGCTGGTGACAGCCCTCGACAGGATAGTCAAGGAATCCACAAATGTTGCCAAGATTCTCATTTCCAGCCGAGACCACTTTGTCAAGAACATCCGAAGTGATCATCGGGTTCAAATTCAAAGCTCGGATTGTTATCAGGATATGGCTATATTTGTCCGCCATCACGTCACTGAAGCTATTCACAATCGGAGGCTTCTCGGGGGTGATGTATCAGATGGTCTTCGAGAAGAATTAGTACAGACACTCCTTACTGCTGCCAAAGAGATGTAAGTTCTGACTATGTATGGTATGATCGTTGCTAAACGCGCAGGTTCCTTTGGGTTGTATTGCAAATCAACAGCCTCTGCCAAATGAAGCTCGAAGCGGATGTCAAGGCAGCAATGGCAAGATTGCCCAGTGATACTCTGGACCTTGTGTATGCAGATACATTCACGAGAATATCCGCTGGTGCTAGTGCTGCCCGTGACACTGCAATGCGTGCATTTTCATGGCTACTATGTCTCCAGCAGCCATTGTCACCAGCAGCCTTTCTCACAGCTCTTTCAATGGCGGATCCAGACAATTCGAATACACAGCTATCTCTTGTGGAGGTTCTGGGCACGTGCTTTAATCTTATTACCGTGGACTCAGAGTTGGATGTCCTTCGATTCGCACATGTTTCTGTCCAGGAATTCCTTGAATCGAAACCTGAATTTACCTCAGCCGATAATCACAGAGTGGCTGCCATTAGCTGTCTCAACGTCTGCACATCCTATATCCCAACAGATATCGGTGCCCCTCTCAGCATCCAAGGTCTTTTCTATCACTATGGCGTCCTGTACTGGGCAGAGCATGTCAGACTCGCAGATGGAACCAACGGCGACCTCCTCCAACGAATGATGGAGTTTGTCTTTTGCGAGAAAGAGATCAGTCTTGCATTCATAGGCTGGGTTGATGAAGTCAAGGAGCTTTCTAAGAATATCCCCCGTGAGAATCGCCTTGCCATCTCAATGAATGCTGCTCCCAGCCCAAATTATAGCCCATTATACGTCGCTTCAGTATTTGGTCTTTCTGACATTCTTGAAGAACTTGCCAATATACCGGGCACTGACTGGAACCAGAAAAATGATACTGGTCATACCGGAATCTACCTTGCTTCTGCTTTTGGTCGAGCGCATATCATAGACTCTTTGATACAGTTTGGCGCTGATGTCAATATGTCTGGGGGGAAGTATGGAAATCCTTTGCAGGCCGCCTGCTTCTCCGGACACACTGCAATTGTACAGAAATTGATCGATCATGGCGCAGATCCCCAATTAACTGGACTGTTCGATAATGCACTGGCTGCTGCCTGCGTAGGGAACCGTGAGGAGGTCGCTCTGATGCTTCTGAGAGAATCTGTCATTTCCACCCAAGATGAATATGACTACGCTTTGAAAAACGTCGCTGAAGCTGGATTTGTCGAGGCCATTCAACATCTGCAACATGGACTCTCCACATCTTTTGGTAACTCAACCTCTGGTCATTATCGAGCTCTCGAGAAAGCGCTCATGAAGGGACAGGAGGGAGTCGTGACACGGTTCCTGCGGAGTCCACAACTAATCCAAGGAATTCCCCCGGATGCCATTTCTCTGGCAGCTTTAGGTGGAGCTAATGGCCCGATACATCTAATGCTAAGCAGAGGCTTGGATATAGAGAAAGAAGGCCAATTTGGGACACCTCTTCGAGCAGCTAGTTTGATGGGTCACCAGTCCACTGTTCAACTTCTGCTCGACTCTGGCGCAGACGTCAACAGACTTGGGTCGTTCGGAGATGCTCTTCAGGCTTCAGCAATGAAGGGGCACACACTCATCACCAAGATCCTATTACAGGCAGGGGCTCGAATCGACAACGACGGTGGGATGTATGGCAATGCATTGCATGCTGCTGTATACAATGGGCACGTTCAGGTCGTGGAGACACTGCTTGACGCTGGCGCCAGTATATATCAGAAAGGGATTGATGGTGACGCTTTCAATGCTGCTGTAGTAGCGGGCTGTGAGGAGATCGTCGGTCTTTTCCTCAAGCGAGGATATGAGCTGATTCGTCCATGGTCGTGGGGCATCCCCCTGTACTTTCGCGAGTATGAGAAATACCCGGATATCCTGCGCCAGTCGTCAGGCCATTTGGGCGACTACCAAGTGCAGGACGCAGACGACGGAAGCGATGACCTATCACACGTGCCTGCTTTCACATGGAATAAATCTACTGCCCGTACTCTACTCAGGCATCGTCATTCAGTGCAAATCTCAGACGATGAAATTGGCCAAGCTTTCCCAAAATTATGTGCGAGCGGTGATGAGGAACTGGTCGATCTCTTCATTGCCACTGGTCTGAAAATGACACCGTATATCGACCAGGCGATTGAAGAGGCGGCATTCCATGGACATTTGACTACTGTGGAAACCCTCTTGTCATACAAACAAAGGGGTCGATCAATGGAGATGAGACCAATCCAAGATATCCACTCACACATACCAAAGCTCTTGATCGGTGGATGTGCTGGAGGCCAATCGGCCATGGTGACCAAAGCGTTCTCCTTGATAAACCATGATCTACTGGGCTCGGACATGACCACTTCGCTGGAATCCCTGCCTAGTGAAAATGAAAATTATACCATTTTTATCCGCGACATGTTATTCAAGGCTCTCAAAGCTGCCGTCAATTCGGGCCATCAGCCAGTGGCGAGATATCTGATTGACAATGACAGACAACACCTGCTGGCTGGCGATTATTGGAACGATGTATTGGAAGCCGCTAACAAGGGAGAGCATGCCCTAGTCCAGCTTTTTCTTTCGTATGATCTTGGAAATTCAAGGATTTCTCACAGGGTGTGCCACAAGGGTCTCCTGCTTGCCTGTGCAGGGGGCCATGAAGAAACTGTGCGCCTCCTTCTAATGCATGTCAAGAATGATTATTCCTACACCACTTTGCTCTCTCGCTGTCTGGTCATGGCATGTAAGCATGGTCATTCACGACTTGCAGAACTGTTGATAACTTCAGGGGCAGATGTCAATAGAGCTATCAGCGTACCAGATCGCAGAGCCATGCTCAGGGACAGTAATGACGGATGGATCCTCCATCAACTGAAGGAGACACTGTTTTCTATTCTAGGCAGTCTGAAAAGCATCCCAGAGTTGAAGCGACCCCTACCAATGAGCCCCCTTCAAGCAGCCTTGAGCTGGTATGAAAATCTTCTTAGTTGGACTTCCGACCCCGAGCAAAGAAGGAATCAAGAGGAAACGATCAAAGTATTGCTAAGCCACGATGCAGATGCCAATGCACTGGGAGGCCATACAGTTCCTCCACTGTTTTTGGCCGTCTCCCACTGCTCTGCTGCTGTCATACGATTGTTCATTCGCAAGGGGGCCACAATACCCTCGGGCGAAACCAAGAACTTTTTCCATGCTGCTGCTCGTCGAGAGAGTGGTGCAGGGCCTGCCCTGCAAGTCCTCTATGAAGCCGGCGCCAAAATGCCTGAGAGCAGCGGTGATGAATTCATTGAGAGCACAGCTCTCCCATTCTTTGGTTCGTTGTGTGGCCGATTCACCACGTCGACTTCCGTCCAAGAGGTACTCGATGAAGGCCCTGGTGCAGCGATCAAAATATTACTCCAGAGGTTCCCTCAAGCAAGAGCGACAAGGGATGAGTACGGCATGTTGTTGCAGATGGCTGCAGTGGCTGGTGACCGTCAGTGTGTTGATCTGCTCGTCCAGCGACAAGTCGATGTAAATGCAGTTGGCTACCACTACGGGTCTGCTCTGCAGGCTGCTGCTTTCCATGGCCATGAAGAGGTGGTCAAGCAGCTACTATTAGCTGGGGCAGATCCAAACATTGTCAATGGTGATTACGGAACCCCTCTAGCAGCTGCCGTTATTCGAGGCCACGCAGAGGCTCTGGATATTGTACGACTCTTGCTAGCTGCTGGAGCGAATCCCAATAACAAAGTAGTGAATGACTCGGCATTAACTAAGGCTTGCGAGCTGGGAAACATTCAAATAGTCCAGGAGTTGATTTTCGCCGGGGCTGAAATCAATACATCGGGGGCACCATTGCTGGTTGCGGCACGTACTGGCAATTTAGAAGCCATTCAGGTCCTTCTTAATTCTGGGGCCAACCCGAATTACTGTTCTGGCGATTCTCCTTTGGCAATAGCTGCATTGAATGGACACCGATTAGTTGCTCAGGAACTGCTCAATGCCGGGGCAATCATAGGTGATCCCCCTGAGATCCCCAACGCGTTGGAATCAGCCTGCTGGAGTGGAGATCGCTTCATTATCGAGATGTTCTTGGATGAGCTGGCTGGTGATGGCAAGGAGGAATATCTGCGAGCCGACGCTTTGCCTGCAGCATGTTCCCGGCAAGACACTGACATATGCGACTTGCTGCTGGATGGAGTCCAGGATACTCTTGCCATTCTTCCAACACTTGCCAACGCAGGCTTCACGCATGCGGTCCAAGATGTGCTGAATACTGGTGTCGCAATCAACGATGACACCAGCGACAACCACCCACTTCTTGTTGCATCTGCATCATTCCACCCACAAGGCGATATTGTTGCTCTCCTTCTACACCACGGTGCTGATGTCCATATCAAGCATTCGCAGTATGGTGGCCCTCTACTCACGGCCCTATCCAGACATGCAATCCCATTCATTCAGGACCTGGCAAGGGTTGAGCGAGGATTCTCAGGTGACTATCCAAGGTTTCTGACGTCCGTTCGTGTTCATCCTGGCACATGGTCTTGCGAATCCTTTGAACGTGCGAGGTCAGAATGTCAGAAAGTGGCACAGGCTTTGCTAGTCCACGGCGTAGATATTCACGCCAGAACAGACAGCATGGGCAATGCTTTGCATCTCGCATCGTTTCTGGGTCATGAAAATACAGTCCAGCTTCTGATAGAGCGTGGTGCCGATGTAAACTCCGTGGATGGCTGCTTTGAAACTCCTCTTCTAGCAGCCATCGCTGGGAATCGCAGAGAGGCGGTTGAAATATTGCTGAGCAATGGGGCCGATGTCAACTACTGCTCTGTCGAACACGGTAGCGCTTTGCACATCGGACGTGGAGTTGCGTCTCGGGAAGTAGTTGAATTGCTCATGCAGCATGGGGCATGTTAGAGTATGTATTTCTATTGCAATTTTTCTTATAGACTAGTCACTCCATGGTACACAACTTGGCAAATTCAAGATAGCCGATCGTAATTTTGATATTCTTTTATGCATTGACTATGCTGTTGTAAGTGGCATCATGCCCTTATATAAATAATACTATTATTAGAAGTGATATCGGAGTAACCATCACTATAACTAATATCTATTATATCTTATCTTAAACATATTATAAGATCGATGAATATATGGGATGTTTCTAATCCCTATTTATATAGCCACTGTCAAATAGATTCAGAATGCAATGTTGCTATACCACTCATGTGCCCATCCAGCATTGGTTAATTTAATTTCAGCCTATATAGCCGCATTCTATGGTGTTCACCCAGATAAACGCCCACGAACCATGTGACTACCTACTCCCATAGTGACTTCCTGAGTATCCCACCATCTAAAGGATGATTGGATTGACTCTAGATACCCCTAGGAGTAGACTAGGAGTATATTAACGTATAGATATATAAGGATATTGTAGACTTAGATGATTGTTTAATTAATAATAGTTATATTTGTAGCTTCATCCGTTTGCTGCATTAACTGTTCTCAATACTTCATCCTTCAAAATTTGTTGCGTTCCCTTCACTGCTACCAGTTAGTCATCTCGTGACACATCATGCCCACTGGCTATGCTTCAACATAGTACAACAGACTTAATTTTTTTCGTTGCTAACTTAAACTTAATGCTTCATAAAATACATGATAAAGCCCTTAGGTTTGACCATTCAAATTCACAGTGATCAGATGAGTCTGCACCCAGAACGTATTATATTAGCTGGTCATTAGGATCAGCAGTTGACCAAGTTATCTGCATTTCATGGATGCAGAGGGCGACAAAAACACTTCCCTCTCTCCGTATACGCCTTAAGTGGCCTTTAATCCATTTACTCCAATATTCCGCTATGCCTGTGGACAATCGTCCCTTTTAGGCGTGTTAACCCAAGCCTTGTCATCGAGCTTCAGCTCGTCCTTGATATTATTAGTGGTCATGACTAGATTATCATGGATATTATTAATGTTAAGGTAAGAATAGTCATTGATGACCGTGCGAATGCTAACAAGTCCTTTATTCCACTAACTGCAATCACTATTCACACGCATTTACACTCTTAGTTCTACTGGGTTGTTCCCTTCCTAAAGCTATAGAGCATCTGTCAGCTGCTAATATAGTTCTGGGGCTCTGTACATATACTTATCCTTTCCTTAAATGAATTTATATGTTTCTCTAAATGAATAAAATGCTTCCAGTTCTCATCTGAGCCATGGAGCTGCATCAGGCAGACTATAGGGACATCAATATTAGTTGTGCTTCCTAGCGTCGTTAGGGGATTATTCAGTGAGTGTATGATCAAGCTTTTTATGAAGTTACAGTAGATCTGATCAAAACCTGAGTTTAATCCGTTAGGCAATTTGTTTGCAGCGACATCATTGAAGAATAGCTTTAATGTTCACAGCTCCATGATGTGTTTAGCTGGAAGGTTTGGTCAGACTCTATCAACTTTCCTGCTTGGCATCAGACTACTTACTAACATAGTCCTGACTATTAGTACCAGTCTAGGGAAGGACATTTCTGCTTATAGTTCCACCTATGTAATTATTCTAGTTTGTGAAATCTAATAAATATTATAGTTCCAATCATCTTTACTCTAATCTGACTGGGATAGGTATATAAGGTTTTCATAGGACTATCTATATATATAACTAGTATCTTCCCCTAAGCAGTCTAACCTATATAGGGGTCAAACACCCCCTGTGAAACTGACTAGATCATGATTTTATTAACTTAATCTATGTCTATGGTGCCACTAGCCAGCTCAGTTTTATAATTCTTACTTATAATAACTCTAGCTTTGCATAAATCAATATTATTATAATAGGGCATTTTATTATCATCCTCTTTACCTAGGCAGGTAAGGATATCTAATTTGAACATTCTCTGTAGAGCGACGCGGTCCTAGTAGGCTAGAATCTAGCCAGTCTTCATATTTCTAGCTTATGTAGGCGGACTTTTTCCTGGTTAGTCACTAATTAATTCTCCTAGACTGATGAGTCCATCCTATCCTGCATTCTTTCCATCACTAAAATCTATTAGAGAGTAATAAAATAAATTAATTAAAAGATCCACGCCACTTATACCATAAGTAACCTTATTAGGAGAGAAGATGTTGAATAGATAACCAACCCCAGAATCACTACTCTTGCGAGCCTGGATGTCACTTCTTTCTCATTTATTGATCGCCGTTAAGCTTCACTGGTCGAACTTGATCTCCATCGTGATTTTGGGGTTTAGGGTAACTTCTACATCACCCTTCGAGTTGTTGATTTCCAACATAGACAAGTCATTACAACACTGCTTGAAACACTGCTGAAGCATTTCTAAGACAAATGCACATGAGATTCATTTCCGCAATAGTCCCATTCAGTCGTTAATAGGATGAAGATCCGCCATGGCACCAGCATTTGCACGAATCATCACTTCAGTATAGAACTCCACCAACCCTGATATATCCAGCTGGCCAACTCCGCGATAGCTCTCCTGGTTCTTCTGTCTCAATCGATCCCAGAAGCCATCCACAATCGTTATGGTCTTATTTTTAAAAATCCGCAGAAACTCTAGAAGGTCATCTGGAATATTGCTAATATCAGCTAGGATATTAATGGCAGCCTCATCAAGTAGAAAACATGCCAGGTTCCGTGCAGGCGGTAGAAAAGCAGATATTCCAGTGGGATCATCTTGATCTTCATCATCACCATTCTTTTCGCGCAAGCGTAACCCCTTGATCTGTGCATGAAATTCACCGCGTACTCGATCTACAGGTGCACCATCCAGAGCATCCTGGTCCTGGATAACATTGAATTTGAAACGACGAAGAGCTTCAGTGGAGTAGATAGGGAATGTTTCAATGGTTAGGCTCTTCTCAACCACCTTGACCCAGTTAGCCATTGCCTGAGACAATTTGTTCCGTGCATTGTCAGAGTACGCTGTGACACACCTAAATCCAGTTAGCTATTGCCTGTGACAATTTATTCTGTGCGTTATCAGAGTATGCTGTGACAAAGACATAGTAACCCCAAGTAGGATCATTTTCGGTAGATTGCCATTGTTCAGTTTCTGTCAAAAGCCTAAGAATGGCGTCCATTGTGGGGCTGTAAAAATCTATGTTCCCAGTATAAGTTGAACGGTCTGCTTGATGCTCCAGCTCATGTACAGACTGTGTCACTTGGGCATCGCTGGTAGCGGCTGGGCCAAATGATCGGAAGGCGTAATTTCTCGTCTCAGGGACTGGCCTTGTCGCAAGGCTGGGGTCGGGAGGAGTGATCGGGCGGGCTTCCGCCTAGTTTAAAAGTCCTCGGCCGGTCATTCTGGGTTTTGCAAGAGTTGCTAGAAAGAAGGTGAAACGGTGAAAGTCTATGGATAAGATCATCTCTATTACGGGGATCACACGCCACGTGACTGGATAGTACCCCGCTTCAGCCCATGATCTTTATTATTACTTCTTGTCCATGAACTTAATATCTGTTTATCGTGTATTGTATGAAAATAATCTGGCAGCTGCCATCTCCCGAAAGCCACCGGGTCCTCGAATGATTAAGGTTCTGCGATCTAGAGAGCCAATCTCGATCATCGAGTCCGACATGCTGGGCGCAGCCAAGGTGCTGATGAATGCCACGCAGCCAAAGCATATGAGACAGCGGCAGAGCCGTACGCAGATCTGTCCAATAACTCCAGAGATCATCGATTCCCATGGTTGGGATCAGCGATATGGCGATGAGCTTATTGACATGCTGATACAGGTTAATCGCAAGGGTCGGAGGTCATTCAGCTTTTATTGAACGATGTAGATCATCTCTTGGTGATGCCCGCATTGATTCAAATGGCTGTCGAGGGAGCATGGCCGCGGCATTTGTTGGTCCAAATGCTGTTCGAGTATAATCCGTGTGCCATCATCACGGACGATGTTCTGCTGGCTGAAGGATATGTGTTACGCGTTGGAAGATAATTCATGATTTCTAATGTCGTACTTTTGATAGCCTTTTTATGCATCGACTATGCTGTGACAAGGGACATAACACCATTGTGTAGATAATGCTATTATTAGAAGTGACATCGGAGCAACTATCACCATGACTGACATATCATATCGCGGTTTTGACATGTGGTGAGAAGGATAAATATAGGGGATGTCTCTAATCCTATTTATCGACATATAGCTACCGTCAAATAGATTAGCATGCAATGTTCTTATACTATTCATACGTCCATCCAAAGTTCGTTAATTTAACCTCGGCCGCAATAGCCGGTGAAGAAAGACAAGCCAAGTGGAGCTAGCTATACAGGTTGTCGCTCACCCGAGGCAACCGACGATCGGTGCGGGGAAGGAATCACTTTTGTTGACTGTCTGCCATCGAATTCCATCCCATATTCTATTCATCATCAAAATGGCCAACGAAAAGTTTACCAGTGCACCGGTGGTGATTATCGGGGCGGGATTTTCAGGTATGTTTCGTATAAATGTAGGAAACACCTCTAACAGCAGCAGGAATATGCATGGCCATTGACTTGATCAAGCGGAATCACTGTCGTGATTTTGTGATTCTGGAGAAGAGCAGCGGCGTTGGAGGGACGTGGAATGATAATAAATATCCAGGATGCTGCTGTGATGGTAAGACATCCATACACCAGAGGAGATGGATGGCTGACCAAACAGTCTTGAGTGCTTTGTATAGTTACTCGTTTGAGCAGAATCCGCACTGGTCGAGAGAATATCCTGGACAGGAAGAGCTTCTGGTATGTTCTGTCCATCCAAAAGCATCAATACTGTCTAACTAGATAGGCATATCTCATCAACATCGCCGAGAAATACGGTCTATACAAACACATCCGATTCAACTCGGCTGTCGAAGAGGCTCGATGGGATGACGAGAACAGCAAATGGAAAGTCAGCGTCAACGTGACCGGTGTGAAAGACAGAGAATACATCGATTCATACACCATCGAGTGCGACTTTCTGGCTTCTGCCGTCGGACAGTTGAATGAGCCTCGATTCCCGGATATGCCTGGATTGGACGACTTTGAGGGGAAGCTCATGCACTCTGCAAGATGGGATTGGAGTTATGATATGGCTGGGAAGAGAGTGGCTATTATTGGCAATGGTAATCCATCTCTGATAATATCTTCAATTCAAACCTAACAATGCAGGTGCCACCGCCGCTCAGATCGTCCCCGAAGTCGCAAAGGCAGTCTCCCATCTGGCCGTCTACCAGCGAAGTCCCAACTGGGTGATTCCTCGTCTTGATAGACCTGTTTCGTCGTTGCAACAGACTTTGCTCAAGTATGTTCCACCGCTCAGATGGCGGAAACGCGGACTGCAGATGGACTTTCGTGAATCTTTCCACGATGTCATAGCAGATAGCAACTCGTCGTTTGCCAATATAGTCCGTCAGGCTAGTGCGACAATGATGAAGATTCAGATCAAGGATAAACCAAACTTGTGGGAGAGCCTGACTCCAAACTACGCGCCTGGGTGTAAGAGACTCATCATATCGGATGATTACTACCCAGCACTGAACCAGGAGAATGTCGACTTGGAAACGAGACGAATTGCCCAGATAACCCCCAGGGGAATCGAAACCGAGGATGATGAAGTGCAGGAATACGACTGCATCATCCTGGCGACTGGATTTAGAACAGTTGAATTCATGCATCCCATCAAGGTGTATGGTCGCAACGGCCGTGCATTATCTGACATTTGGCAAGACGGTGCCACGGCATACCAAGGAGTGACGGTCGAGGATCTGCCTAATTTTGGCATGTTCTACGGCCCAAATACGAATCTTGGTGAGTACCACACATTGCTATATCAATCACGCTGACAGCATAGGTCACAACTCGATCATCCTCATGATCGAAGCACAGTCACGATATCTCAATACCATCGTCGGTGAGGTTCTAAGAGCACGCCGGAATGGTAAATCCCTTGCATTCTGTCCAACACCAGACGCAATGCACGAGTTCAATGACCGCATCCAGCTTGCATTGGCTCAGAGTAGCTTTGCCGATCCCAACTGCAACAGTTGGTACAAGCAGGCGAATGGCAAAATCACCAACAACTGGCCGGGGACTGTGGTGGACTATCAGACTGAGCTGGCCAAAGTGAAGTGGACAGACTATACTGTAGAGGGGAGTGGAAGGGAGGATATTCAGAGAAAGAAGACGACGAACATCGGGCGTGTTCGAGAGGAGACGGTGTTGAGCAATACTTCGTTACTGCTGGGGGCATTGGGTGTTGCTGCGATAGCTGGATACTACTTGAAGCGTTCGAAGCTGTGATGATTAGTGGATATATTCGATATGTTCGATGTGAATATCTTTGACCGCTATTTGGCACATGGACCAATCATCTGGTCCATCACCAGCAAGGCGTGATATTGAAGTTAAACATGCCGATCTTCTACTTAGACTAGTTTACATGAATATAAATACCTCTCCTGCTCCATCTCTGTTGATCAAACTATACAAAATGACACGTTTAGATGCATTGTTGAGGCCTCACGATAGCAATATACTGCAGAACCACTCCACTTCTCTCTCAACCTACATAAAAAATAACCCAACACCATTATCTCCAGTGATAGAAGAATTCAAAGACTTGATCGAGTCTGACTCTAACCTCTTCCAACTATGCTGTGCCACCTTTGAGGAAGTCCCGACGAAATACAGACACGACCCTCTCGGCCATCCCCAAATCCGCCATTACACTCACTTCCTGCAATTACTAAACCACGTTATCCAAAACGCTCCTCGATGGGATCCATCTGAATACGACGCTGGATATGTTGGATTTCCGATTCTGGCCGCCCTCAACTGGGCCATGGCGACTCCAGCCGGAAGAGCGTTGTTCATCCACGACGGTTTCAATCAGCAGTTGAAAAAGGTCTTGAACGCATGGGCTCAACTTCTAGCAAACGAAGATTCAACAAATGTCCTCACCACAGACCCATCTGGCTGGTTATCACCAACTGCCCTCCAAGCCATGGAGGATGTCGCCAACTGCGATGGACACAAACGCAGTTTCACCGAACTATTCGTGTGTGACCCATCACAGTCTCATTTTGGCTTCACCTGCTGGGATGAATTTTTCACCCGTCGATTCCGCGAGGATGTCCGTCCGGTTGCATCGCCTGGCTCAGATGATGTTATCGTGAATGCGTGCGAGTCGGAAACATATCAGATTGCAGATAAGGTTGCCCTCCGTGATCGATTCTGGGTGAAACATCAGCCATATTCGCTCGTTGATCTGCTGGCACACGATCCCCTCACGGACCATTTCGTGGGAGGAACCATCTACCAGGCGTATCTGAGCACGGTCAGCTACCATCGCTGGCATAGTCCGGTGAGTGGGACGGTAGTTCGTGCTACCATCGTGCCGGGGACATACTACGCCAAAGCACCGTATGAAGGCTACGGTGATGGTCATTCGGCACTGGTCTCCTCGCAGGCATATCTATGCGAAGTGGCCACGAGAGGACTACTCTTTATCCAAGCGGATAACCCTGATATCGGCCTTGTTTGTGTGGTCTTTGTGGGGATGGCAGAGGTGTCTACGTGTGATTTCCAAGTTCATGTAGGGCAGCATGTTTCCAAGGGAGATGAGATTGGCATGTTCCACTTTGGGGGATCCAGTTATTCTCTTCTTTTCGGCCCGGAAGTGCAGTTGGAATGGGCAGATAGAGTCAAGAAAGGAGGGGATGGTAATAGCCCAGTCAGGAGTGAGCTGGCAGTCGTACGATGATAGTTTATTTGGTAGAGCAGATCACATGAAGTTATACTTGCCATTTTTACATGTCGCATACATTCTCATCCTGTCTGTATCTTTCGATCTGACAGCTCTGACAGGTTATGCAAGCTACCTGGACATGTGGCATGATCTATATCCAACATTGCAGTGGTGTAGATTAGCTAAAGACTTTGCCATTATGTGCCATCTGGCATACCCCCACCTTGTGGACTACTATGTAAGGCTGTGAGCACTAACACACTCGGAATTAAGATCTTCTTTCTATTTCATAAAACACATTATTAATGTAGAACAATGGCGTAGTAAAAGCGGTCGCATATAATCTTTGGGACTTGTTCCCAATTCAAACTGACTCGAGCATCTATCATCTATCATCTACATCTTCATGGCTTCCAACGTCGCCCTCATCTTCGGTGCCAGTGGCATCTCCAGATGGGCACTCACCAACAGTCTCCGCTCCTACCCTTCTCCAACAACTTTCTCACAAATAATCGCCCTCATCAATCATCCTCTATCACTTGAATCCAGCAGACTGTCAGCAGACCCGAGAATCGAGCTATACTCAGGCACCAATCTACAGGGGACTCTCCAGGATGTTGTCAGCCAGATGCAGAAGATCCCCAATCTCAATCAAGTCATTCACATGTATTACTGCCTACTCGAATGCTACGGCCTACACGCAGAGAGTATGTTACACCTTTATAAATACGGACAATAGATGGATAATTTGAATGTAGGCTTTGTCCCAAACTCCACCACGATGAACTACGTCGAAGCTATCGCTCTCTATCTTGCCCTATATCGATACGTCAATGGGGCAGGCGCAACAGTCCCCTTCCCCGGATGAAAGCCATGTATCCTTATTCATGAACATCCAGAACATGTCAAGAAGACCAAAGGTGAACCAGCTGGCAAAGAGGGCAGCCTATCTTGTCAGTTTGTCCTCCAGTTGGGACGATAGCCTACCACCAAACTCAGCAGATTGTTAAACACTGGAATGGCCGATGCAATAATCCAGGCAACAATCCACAGTCCCAGGCCAATTCCAATCCACGAACTCACGGCCGCCCAGTCTCGATTGTGCATTCGATCTGTGCCGGCAAAGATACGGAGATACGCTCGCTTGAATGCCACATGGCCGTTGATGACACCGGCGCCGATGATCTATTCGTGAGCTTCTTCCTTCTATCTTAGGCTGAACACTTACAGTTCGTAAAGCAATGCCACATGTAATTTTGGAAATCAATGGGCTGGCTGGTCCTGGTGCTGGAGACGCAACATCGGCACCAGCATAGCAGCAATGACAGATAGACGCATCGATGCACTGCAGCAGAGCAAGTGCTTTAGGAAAGTCTCTCGGGTCTTCCAATTCGGAGATCATCGTGAAAAAGGTGTTATGGCTTACTGCACTCTGTCAGTGCGGTTCATGTTATATCGCACTGACCCACCATATGAAAATACAGTATTGGATATCGAAGTAAGCCAATGATCAAATCCACATCGACCGTGGCTTTTGCTGCAACCCCTGGGTTCTGGACAACAACACCAATCATTGTGACCAAAACAGCAGCGAGAATACTGACAAAGGCTACAATTGTCACACAAGTCAATCTAGGAAGGCCCACTTACAATCAATAGACAGCCACGACATCCTATCTACAGCTCGAGGCAGAACACAACACACGAGACGACCATACCAACAATCGAAAATATCATTGAACATGTTCCATGTCATGGTGTTCATGACCATTCTGAAGGTCAAAAGATGGCTGGCCATGCTAAAGACGAGAAATAGTATTTGGCCCATTGACAGCAACCCCCGTCCGAACCGTCCCATGATGACTTCTCCAGCATCGGCCGCGTTGGAAATATGAGGATATCGCCATTCAAACTGTCCAATCACGTATCCTGTATACGAAGCGAGAACACCCAGTCCGATCAGAACAATGAGAGCCGGGACCAGTCCAAGTCCTGCAACGGCAGCTGGTAGAGAAAGAACACCTAGAGAGACGGTTTCGGCAACCATAAGTAGGCCACATTGCCTGGGGAGTTAGCAATTGAAAATTAAGAATCTATTGCCTCATACCACCACTTTAGGACTTTGTACTTGATCTCTGCGAATTCTTCATTTACAAAAGCATCCTGGTGTGGGTCAGGTGCGACTTCATTTTTCTTTGTGTCCATATCGAGGTAGCTTTGGTCTATAATCGCAGGATTTCTCTGGTCTTCCACTGTGGGGGGAGTGATATCAACATTTTGGGTGCGCATGTCGTGTGCTATACTTCAATGATTGAGTATTGATCCCAATTGGCAAAAAGCGAAAAAAGAGCAACATTTTCAATGCAACACCGAGATGCGGGGAGAACAGGTAATTGCGACTTCATCTGCTGCCATTGTGGACCTAATAATTAGTTAAACGAATGACAATCAGTATCGTAGCAGGAAACACCAAGCGAGTAGCATCTAGCCTACGAAAACTACTGAGGGGCTACAGGGTGATACTGTTTGATACTGTTTCATATGCCATTGTATGTATGAGATAGGAGATAGAGTGGTTGGTTGATATATCTAGATAGTATCATGATAGCATTGGTATACTGTGTTTAATGATGGTGATATCCCGGAGTCTACCCCAGATTCCACATCCCCAGGTTGAGAAATCGATGTAGAACATGCCATATGGGGGATACTTTTACGAATGCCATGGATGAACATATATCCATTTCATCATAGACGGACTTTCTGGAGGTAGATCGCTGTACCTTCCTATTTAACACATTGCGTATGATGTATCTAGTATTTGATACCTCCGATATCTCCTTGACTGAACATGCCGAAAAGGGCAGTCTAGATATAAACATAGAGTGTTACATCTGTTCTGCTATGTTAGGATGGCATCTGCACTATGCAAAAGCCATGAATTGTCTCTGCATGTATCATAATATAATAATACACCCCAGAATGGTTTAATCATCGGCAGTGGTGGGTTGATGATATATATATATCTATCTCTCTCTCCGCATACAGCCAGTGTAGAACTGGCAGCTGGCAATGGGATTTCCAGTGCAAGTCAGAATAAAATACTTTTATCATGAATTAAATATCAACAAAACCCCTTAAATGGTTTTTAGAGGTGATGTTTGATTGTATACGGAATTACTTTCCCGATTCTATCCCTTGATCAAAATAGTGCTGAAACATTTAAGAACCAACAGAGTCCACACCTTTGAACAAAAATAAAGCAAAATAAGAGCATCATGATGAAGACATGCTGCATATTTATACGATCATATTGATTGGCCAGGAACTAACGGCCCTGTGTGGAAGAGTGGTAGGTTGAAACCTTCAGGGAGAGAGTTCCAGGAACTCGAATTGAATTATGAAAAGAGTTTGGCTTAAAAGGGGTTACTTGGCTTGGACTTATACTATTTACTCATATTTTATAATATAATCATCACAACACATGACTCACTCAACCAAATCTATCATATCCATGCCTTATTTTTGTTATGATGTTTGATGCCCCAGGCATAAAATGTCCGATTAGATGATAGGCATAAGGCTGACCTTCGCTTATGTATTTGAACCGCCGTGAGTCTTGGTATTCAGCCCAGCACAGCTAGTCTCGTGCGGTCTTACTGTTTCCGGTTGCCGGATACGAGGCTATGTTGCCAAGCGATTACGGAGTTGAGCTGTCCATTATGTCGTCTACAGTTCCTTCTTGGTCATACAGGTCGACTGGTCATAGTCAATCATTGTATGATGATATGATATATTTTAATTTTTCAAATGGGACGACTAGACCGTTGAATTCTCGAGTGAAAGAATCTAGATCCGGTGGTACGCTACGGAATGCGGAGAACAGGGTACTGACGACCGGAAATGCGGTTGCATCAAAGGGTGGCTTATTTAGTGGACTGACAAACCAGGATGATGATTGGATTTCTTGATTTGCGTTGTTGCAATTCTGTCATCCTGATTTATTGTAGACGTGACTTGCTTTTGATGTGGCTTTGGGCGGCTGTGTCGGATATATATATTCTGCTTACGGGAAGCCAAGAAGCATTAACTAGGTACCAGCATTAACTGCTGACTGTGTATGCATTGGATGACAGGCCACTGGAAATGATGAAATGTACGATTCACTATTCTGTCAACTGTAGAGTGGTATTGATTTCTTCAGTCGAGCAGATCATCAACTCGATACACTCCACAGCTGTAAATAAGCTTGATTTGGATACCTGTCTCGTGCTCTATTTCCATGAATGAAACATTGATTCAGCATCCACGGAACAGGAAACTCGCCCTGACAGGGTAAAATCCCGGCGACTCCGGATGACGTATTACTAATGCCACAGTCTCGAAATGCGGGGTGAACAGGCTGCGATATTCTATTTCCAACCTCCAAAAACGAAAAAAGCCAGAGATAACAGGTCTAAAATCTAAATGCTGATCAGGGTCTACACAGCCATAACGATAAAAAGCGGTGGCCACAGGATCAGGTACGGCAGTTGAGAATGAAGCCTTTGGCCCCGAAAAGTCAGCGACCAAGGATCGACTCGCGGATAATCCTTGGAACTGACTCGTGGCACTGGGCTGAAGCGTTAAGCGGGCGTCATTGATAGGATGGATGCAACACCACTGCCACACCTTGAGATGCGAAAAGTCAAAGAGAAAGAAAACTGGAAGTAAGAATCTGCATGGGATGGCGTGGCTTTGATCACGCCTTCGGCACGTGTAATTGGTGCGACGGGCTGAAACTCCTATCTCCCTAGGGCTGAAGCAGGCTGCCAAGACGCCATGCTGGCTTTCAGATGTTCGTTATAGAAATAGGAGCGGAATCCTGGCGGCAGCAACAGCGCGAAAGGGCGCAGTGGCAGCCCAAACTCTACCCCGGACAGTTGGAGAGCAGAGTTGGGATGCTTGGCGTCAAGGTGAGAGTGAGACAAGGCGGACTCATCGTGGCCATGGAACGTCTTGGCGCCCAAGAATAACCCAGATTTGAGGGAATTTAAAGGGGTAGGATTGGCCTACGCCAGGAAAGGAAAGTGCACACCTGACGAGGCAGTCCCTGATTGGGGGGCGACCCACCGGGGGGGCGTTTATTGGGGCCATTGCTCCAAGGAGCGCTCCTACTGGTGGCTGTAGTCTTGGCGGGCCCGTAAGGCTGCCTGATTGGGCATAGGGCCGGTGGTTTGCCGCCGATCGAGCCTCGGCATGGATGGGGGTCTATTTTGGTCGCGTGCCTACTGTCTCACTGTCGGGCGACTATTTGCTGATTATTGTTGACGGCAGTTTTCGGAATTACCCTAAATGCTATCAGGTCTACCCCGTACTGTTGTACTGGCCAGCGTGATATCGTAACTGGTTGGGGAGTAGAGTCGTATGTAGTACTCAGACTCCGACTCCGTAGCAAACCCTGGATCGACGCCCCTCTTTTCCGGCGTGAGGTCATCACCAGCCTGTCAGGACGAAGGAAAAGAGTGGGAAAGATGGAAAAGATGGAAAAGAAGAAAAGAAGAAAAAGAAGACAGACGAGCTGACATGGCGCCATTCCCGATCGGGGGCTGCGATGCCAGTGAGACCCTGACGCTTGGCTTGTTTCGGGTGGAGCCTCATTGGAATCTCTGCTTGCACCGTCTCATCCTGTCGGCCATGAACCGCTGTCTGCTTCTTATTTCTCGCCTTCCCCCTCTCCTGCCCTCCTCTCCCATCTATCTGATCTTCCTTCCCTTCGATCTCTTCCCCTCTGAAGATCTGCCTCGTCCTATGATTTGACTTGGTGTCGCGTGCTCGAGGTCCGTGGGGTGTTGTCTGTCTCCCTTGCCTCTCAACGTGATCTTTTTTTTCTTTTTTTTGAGGGTGGAACATACTTGGGAATACAATTCATTAACCATCACTGTCTCCGGCCATGAGGCTCGCCGGTAGACTTCACGCCTGCGCCCAGGCGGCTGGCCGTGTCGTCAAATCGCCCAGCCAGTACTTCGACGTGCTCTGGGGCGCTTCCCGCAGATACTGGTTCTCCCTCATCTTCATCTCCATCATCACCGCAAAGCTCCTCCACATCTACTCCCATCTCAACTCTCTCCCAGTCCGGCGATTGCTTCTCTGGGGTCCTACCTTCTTTTTCCAGGATGCCGTGGCCATCTTCATCGTGCGAGGTTTGACCCGCAGCTTCAAGCAAAAATGGGCGAGCATCGCATCGTGCGTGGTGGTTGTGCTTATGGGGTACGTTCGTCAACAACCCATCCCAATCAGCTCAATTAGCAGTCACTAATATCTCATTTCTCTCTAGTTTGATCATCTCCTCGATGGCAGCCGCCAACACTTCCTTCTACGTTGTTACGGGTGCCGAAATTCACTGGAAACAGGCCAACACCTTCCACGCCGATTCCGCCGCCATCCGAACCCTGCTCACCGGTTTGACCGGATTTATAATCGTCGATGCTCTGTTCCTGGTTATCTCGTGGTTCGCCACTCCCCACTTGTACAATGCTGCTGGTGCTGTGTTGCAGATCTGGAGCTCCTCCATTGCTGCCGTCTGCTGCTGTCTCCGCAAGCGGAAGCCCCTTCCCGACCCCGAGGTCTACGAACAGGTTGCACGTGACGACTACGACGATGACAAGAGCGATGATGGTGGTGCTTCGGATATGCTACTGGTTTCCCCTAAGCCCGCCGCCAAAGAAACCGGTCGGTCGCTGTTGAAGCGTTTCTTGATCCTTGTTCCCACCCTGTTCATCATCATCCTCCGCATCGCCCGTCCGCCCGACCCGTCGTACTGGTTCCTTTCCAAGACTCTTATCATCACTCCATTTTCGTTGAAATCTGGCAAAGCCGGACTTTTCGCCCACAGTGAGGACGGTGGATACGAATGGCTCGGCAACCACACCGCTCTCGATAAGCCACAGCCTTTCAGCTGGCTGCCGAACAAGAACCTCGCTGGCTTTTTGGACTGGCATGCCAAGGACCGTGTCCACTACAACCCCGAAAATGACCCGCTGCGCATTTCCAACCTCGACCAACAAGTCCTCGAGCCTCTGCGTGATGCCTTGAAGGGAGGCAATGTCAACATCAAGCACATCATTTTCCTCAAGCTGGAAAGTACCCGACAGGATGTTTTCCCTGTCCGCAACGAATCCGCCGTCCTCGACCGCATTCGCTCCTCGTACAAGAATGACAAGATTCCCAAGGAGGTTGAAGAGCGCTTGGCTAACTTAACCCGTACTGCGGAGCGTTTGACTGGACGCCCATCTGGTTTCGAATACTTTGACCCTCCCAAGCCATATGGCGGAATCAGTGCCAACAACTCCCACACCTCTGGAACTTACACCCTCAAGAGTATTACTGGCTCTTTGTGTGGTGTTGTTCCCTTGGCTGCTGACTTCAACCGTGAATACAAGCAGCACATCTACCAGCCTTGCCTCCCGCACATCATGGACGCCCTTGATAGTCGATCGAACAAGCCTGAGAGGACCGAGGACTATACTACATGGCCGTGGCATACTACTTTCATGCAGTCCGTGACCGAGGGATATGACAACCAGAATCTGCTCACGCCTGCCCTGGGTTTCAAAACCTCGATCAACCAGGAATCGATGAACGTCGACCGTGCAAACCGAACCTTCAAGGGAGAGCAGGTCAACTACTATGGTTACCCCGACACTGAGCTGCGTGAGTATGTCCTAAATGCGATCAAGCAGGCCGAATCGCAGAAAGAGCGCATGTTCATCACCCATCTGACCGGTATCACCCACCACCCTTGGGGTATGCCGGGCCAGGTGTATGAAGAAATGATTGGTCAGACCTGGTACGGATTGAACAACAACCTGAACCACTACCTCAACACCATTGGATTTGTGGACCGCTGGATCGCCATGATTCTCGATCTCCTTCAAGAGACTGGAATTGCGGATGACACCCTGCTTGTCTTCACTGGTGACCAGTAAGTTCCTTGCCCTCTTGACCATTATGACATTAGACTAACTGGAACAAAGCGGTGTTTCTCTTCCCAACGATGGTGGTGTTACCCCCTATGACAACCCCCATGTCGGCAACTTCCACGTCCCCTTGGTTCTCTCTCACCCTAAGCTCCCTCAAGTCAACCTCGACAACTCTGTGACTTCGATCCAGATTCTCCCTACCATTCTTGACTTGCTTATCGAGTCTGGATCTTTGGACGACCACTCCTTGAAGGCCCTCAAGGATCTCCTTCCTTTGTACGAGGGTCAGTCTCTGATCCGCCCTCTGATCGCAGAGCAGGATGGAAGAGAGGAGTGGCAGTTCACTATTATGAACACTGGAGGTACTTGGCTCGCCGTCCGATCCGCCGCAAAGCCTTACCGTCTTGTCATTCCCCTTCTTCCCGATGTCGAATGGCGATTCACCGATCTCAGCACCGACCCGTACGAGTTGCACCACGTGATGGAATTCGACCTCGACACTCTGTCTGAGATGGTGGGTGCCAGCTACGGCGAAGTGGCTGTTAAGTTCATCCAGGATGCCGCCCACGTTAGTGAATGGTGGCTCCGGGAGAACTGGCGTCGCTACGAATGGGGCCCCGGGTTCGACGTTAAGGATGACTCGGCCGACCACCCTTACTCCCATGGCCACGGTACCTACAACGGACCGGACATGGGCCCCCAACCTGATGAAGAGAAGCCCGAAGGCGAACAGTGAACGAGTCTGCGATATATGACTATTTAGACGTTCTACAATAATATTGAATGATACCCTCCGCGATTCCCCCATGGGGCTGGAGCTCTATGGAGGAAAGGCCGGTTTATGGAGGCACGCGCCGCTTTCAGTTGCAACTGACTCTGGATGAACACCGGAGTCAGTGTGAGATAGCCGGAAGGAGGCATAATAAACACGCGGGCAGGTCAGGGCAGACATTAACCGCGACCGGCAGTGGTATTTATGATAGCCTGATGGCCTATTCTCCATCTGCTTCTGCTGCCCATTACGGCCGCATCAGTACATAGCGCTTGTAAATATTTTCATTGGACATAGCATTGTTTGGTTTAATTTGTTACAATATCATACAATCTGAATTTTCTGGATCATTTATCTTCTCATCGATACTCGTGTTGGACTTGCACATTGCAGTAAGCCTTGAGGCCTTGTAGACCCCATTCGCCACCGACGCCACTGCTCTTCCAACCAACGAGATGACACTGTGGGAGAGGGTTTGGGAAGCTGTTGATCCATACGGATCCAGCTTCAATGCGACCAGCCATTCCTCGTGCTTTTGGAATATCCGTAGACCAAACCGAACCACCGAGTCCGTTGTCCGAATTGTTAACTCGAGAGATGAGGTCTTCTTCGTCCGACCAGGTAAAAACAGGGAGAATTGGTCCTGATCTCCTTAGCCATGTTCTATATTTACTGGATCAATCTTACCGAATTGTTCTTCCGTGGCAATCCTCGAAGTCTCTGGGGGATTATCAACGATGACCGGATCGAAGAAATACCCTGGACCAGCACGAGGTCCACCTTCGAGAGCAAAGGCATATCCATGATCCTTGCAGTCTTCCCAGATCTCCTTGACTTTATTGAACTGCATTTCATTCTGTAACGGACCCAGCATGACATCTTCCTTTGCAGGACCAACTTTGCATTCACGGACTGCGTCCACAAGTGCCTGCACAAACTCAGTGTAAATATCCTCGTGGATGTAAATCCGTTTACTAGCGAGACAATACTGTCCGCTGTTATACAGGGACCCGATGATGACCTGTCCTGCAGTGTGTTTGATAACCACATCTGGATAGATGATTGCTGCATCGTTTCCTCCGAGTTCAAGGGTGCATGCCTTCAAGGTCGAGCTGGCGGATGCGAGTACCTTTTTCCCTGTCGCTGTCGACCTGCTGAATGATACTTTATCAATACCCGGATGAGCTGTCATTGCTGGACCGGTGGTTTCGTCTCCGTTCAGGGCCTGAAAGACACCAGGAGGGAAGACTGGAACGGCCATCTCAGCCAGCTTCAAGGCGGAATACGGCGTAAATGGGGACGGCTTGACGATGGCGCAGTTTCCTGTGACGAGGGCGGCGGCGATCTTGGCCACGACCTGCAGAAGAGGGAAGTTCCAGGGAATGATGGCAGCGATGATACCGCGTGGTTTGTAGTGGGTGGTTAGAAGGCGGTTGGTGTCTTCTTGGATGACCTCCGGGATGAGTTTTTGTTGTGCTGATCTGTTAGCTGTGTCTATATTAAGGTTGATGAGACATACCGTTACACAACAAGAAGTCAGCGGACAAATCTACCTCTGCAGCAGCAAACTGTTGCTGTTCTCATCAGTTGCAGTAGAGAACATATAGAAAGAGACAAACCGGTCTCCCAACTTCAGTCATAACCAACTCGGTCATTTCCTCCTTGTAGGAGAGCAGGACCCTTCGCAGCTCCAGCAAACACGCCTGACGCTCTTCCCAGGGCGTAGTGGACCATGATTTGAAGGCTTCACGGGCAGATGTCACGGCATCTTCGAGATCCTCGTTCGAAGCTACTGGGACATCCCAGAGGGGATTTCCTGTCGAAGGGTCGATGGCATTGTGGATGATTGGGCTGGATCGAGGTTTCCCATTAATGATGTTGGAAAAGGCATTGGTGCACTGAGGGGTAGATGGGAGTGCCATTTTGATGATTATGATGATGATGCTAGGAATAGAGACTATTAGATAGGATATTTATACCCTGGTGTTTATTTCTACATTGTTGAATTCATGGAGTTCCACAAGGCGTGTACGTAGTCGACATGAAAAACGCGAGAACGAGTATAATTCGCTATAGAAAACCGAATATTGCGTTGAATGGAAACAACAGATATTTGTGTATCACAGATAGCTTTACTACCTTGATAGTAGGTCAGGTGGATCAAAATGAAGCCTAATTTGCTCTCGTACGACGCAAGGGCTGTATAGATGAGGTCATACAGACACCAAGATTGACAACGCACATTTACGCCATTGAATGAAACATCATCTATCAATCTGTCAATCCTTCTATCCATCCAACTATCTATCTTGCTTTGTAAACATCGGTGTTAACGGTATTAACGTATCAAGCTGTGCTTATCGCCGTTGTCTCCGTCTATAGCAAGTTAAATATGGCTTCATACCAGCAACTCCTGTCAGGCATCATCATGGCCGAAAAGACACTCGTCCTCATCACTGGTATGTCTGTCTTCATGTCTTGTATACTCTATTCTAACAATATCAGGTGCCAACCAAGGCATTGGCTTTGAAACTGCCAAAAACCTCATCCTCGCCGACAACTACCATGTCATCCTGGGCTGTCGCGATCCCGTCAAAGGGGGTGACGCAGTGAAGACTCTACAGTCTCTTCCTGAACCCAAAGGATCAGCTTCTTACACTCAGATCGACGTGACTGATGACAAGTCGGTCGACGAAGCAGCAGTTCGCATTGCAGCTGAATACGGACGACTTGATATCCTCGTCAACAACGCCGGAATTATAGCTCTGACGAATCCGCCAAATCGTGATGCCTTTCGCAAAGTCCTCGATGTCAACGTAGTCGGTGCTTTGAGTGTCACTGAAGCCTTTTTGCATCTTCTCCGTGAATCGTCCGAGCCTCGTCTGGTCTTTGTGAGCTCGAGCATGGGCTCCATCACCCACGCAGCAGATCCCAATTCCCCGTATTACAACCCGAATGGAACGGAATACCGCACGAGCAAAGCGGCCGTCAACATGCTGATGGTCATGTACTGGGCTCGACTGAAGGATGAGGGGTTCAAGGTCTTTGCCGCCGATCCCGGGTTATGCGCCACGAATTTCACAGGCGACGCCGAGTCATTGAGGAGGAGAAAGGCAGCAGAGCCGGAAGATGGAGGGCGACGAGTGGCTGTCGTGGTGAGGGGAGAGAAAGATGGCGAGGCTGGAAAGGTGCTCGGTGACTATGGGGTTTCGCCCTTTTGACGCGGTCTGAATTGCGGTGAGGCATGATCCTTGTATAGCATCTTGGTATAGACGCCTATCAATGGCGAAACAAGTCACGATCCATGAATGGGGACGATCACTGGCCTTTTGGTGCTCTGAGATCGAACACGACATCGTCTGCCTGAACACAATGATTGGTGGTATGCATCTCAGCCTTAACCACGATAACAATCTGGCCAACACGAGGCCATTCAGCTCCACGCGATGACTTGTCGTGCATCAAAGGCGATGCATATCGTGTTTCGGTCTCTATTATTGTACCACGACAGACGGAGTTTATCTATGCATAGAGTTATAAGTTTGATTTAAGCCAGAGTTTAATCCCCGAATTTCTATCAACGAAAACATGGATATTGAAGGTTTTCACCCACCGAATTCTATATCTGACCAAGAGAAAAGCGCCCAACAAGGTCAGCATGAAGTCGATAAAGGAGGATACATTCTGGATACTTCAATTGCAGACGAGAATCTACAGACTACTTCTGATGGCAGCAAAGTCCTAATTCCACAGCCCAGCAGTTCTCCATATGATCCTCTCAACTGGTCCTGGCATAAGAAACACCTCATTCTGTTCATCATCTCCATCACTTCCTTTCTCCCCGACTATGGCAGCGCCACTGGTGCCATTACTCTGATTCCCCAAGCTGAGTGAGTTCTCTGATACTTATCATACACTATTCTGACCAAGCAGAGAATGGAATATGACAAAAGACCATGTCAATCACTCTCAAGTCGGCAGTGTCTTTATGATCGGCGCAGGAGGCGTTGTTGCCGTCGCGCTGTCTGCCTATTTCGGTCGATATCCAATGCTGTTCTGGTTCATGTTAATTGGATTGGGAACAGCCATTTGGTGTGCTGCTGCCCAGAGCTTTGAATCGTTCATGGTATGTCGATCTCCAGACTGTAGATGCAGCTGACCATGTAGGCTTCTCGTATTCTGAATGCGTTCTTTTCCACCGTTGCCCAGGGAGTACGTATAGAACTGTTTACATTCGAATACAGCTGACCATCAGGGTGGCCTCATGTTTATCAAAGACATGTTCTTCTTCCATGAACACGCCAGGAAGATTAACATCTGGTCCAGCTTCATCATCCTGTCGCCGTATCTTGGGCCTCTCATTGCTGCGTTTATCACCAACACGCAGATCTGGCGATGGGCATTTGGCGTCTATACCATCGAGACTGGCCTGTGCCTTATTGCGATTATCCTGTTTGTAGATGAAACGTACTATGACCGTCGAACGGGTCAGCCGGAATTGGCACCGAATGGACCACGATGGAAGCGGATGCTGGGGATACAGCAGTGGCAGACTGGTTATTTGCAGACGACTTTGCTCGATGCCATCAGACGGCCTGCGATTATTCTCTGCAAACCACCAGTATTGCTGGTGATGCTGTATTATATCCCCACCTTTGCATGGGTCATCGGAATCAACACCACTCTGTCCATCTTCGTTGGCCCTCTCTACGGCTTTGGCCCAAAGCAAATCGGTATGCCACTATATCCATGATAGAAAACCACTAATATGATAGGCTTCTTCTACTTTACTCCCATCGTCGCAGTCATTCTCGCGGAAACTACCGGCCACTGGCTTCACGACTTCGTCGCCACCGTCGCTGCCCGCCGCAACGGGGGCTGTCTTGAGCCTGAACATCGTCTGTTCGCCATCTGGGTAGTGGCGCCATTCATGATCGCCGGTTTGATTCTGCTCGGGTTCGCCCTGGAAAACGGGTATCACTATATGTTGGTCTCGTTGGGCTGGGGTTGTTTTGTCTTCGGCATTCTCAACGTCACGGTCGCTATCAGCGCATATCTTCTACATTCATACCCGGAAGCCAGTGGCGAAGTAGCAGCGTGGGTTAGTTTCGGTCGGACAGTGGGAGGCTTCATCGTGAGTTATTTCATGGTGGAATGGTCAGAGAAGCAGGGAGCGAAGAGACAGTTTGGAACGATGACGGGCGTTGTGGGAGGTGCCTTTCTAATACTCGTGGGGGTTCAGTGTTTTGGAAAGAGATTGAGGATCTGGGCGGGGCCTGCGAATTTCGAGGCCAAATCGCCGTGATAAGATGTAGATTGACTCTGATGTTGTCTTATCTGTGAACTCTATCTCTTCCCTGCACCTGTTGGGTTTATGACTAGATTCAAAAATTACACCAATTCGAGTCTTGCAGGATTCCTCCAATTACATGCTATAAATCTGCCATCGCTCTGCCGATGGAACATGACCGCGCAGAGTCTGGGTCATGATCAGCATATATTCTCAAATAGTGGTGGGATAAACGTACCGCACATCATTCGCGTTGACGTAGTTGACGACTACTCGTTGGGTTCTCGCCTCCCCTCCAGTGTACCGGTAAGTGCGAGTAAGCGGGAATTCTTCCAATGCATTTCCTCCGACGCAGGCCGGAGCTAGAGCAAGGTTCTCGTCGTTGTAGAATCGATGGGGATAGTTTCGGCGGTCTCCAGCTGGATGGGGCCCTGTTGCGTAGCAGTTAGTCATGGACGGCTGGATTAGCTGCTGAGTCTTGGTTCTCACCAATTCTCCTTTTGGCATTGTGTAGCGCCAATGCAGCGTTGGCAGCGATTTCAATATCGTCACTGGTATACCTCGTGCCATCTATGACCTGTCAGCAATGATAAAGTATTGAAGGATGGTCAGGTCCAACCGCATGTCACATGATCCCTGGATAGGCCGATGTTTTCAACAGCGGCAAAGGTTGTTCCGGCAAGGAACACGGCCAGGAGGGTGGCCAGCTTCATCGTGATTAATATATAAAAAGGCTTATAAGCCGGGTTGACTGGGTTGGATTGCAAGAAGGGAAATAGAGAGAATGGAAGATCTTATATGGCTTTCTTACAGACAGCGAGGTACTATCAGCAGACAAAGTACATTAACCTAAACAGCCGCAGATAGCGAGTTCATGTTGAAGGTGAGGGATTTTCTTTGAATCCTTTACCGTGACTCTGATCTTCTATCCAGCCATAGACAGCGTGGCTATGCTGATCAATTAGCCGCTGGAATACTCCCCATCTGATATGGTTCATTATTGCCATGTTGGATAACACGAACATGTTCGGTGGCAATCGATCTTCTGATTGGCTATGGTATTTTCAGCTTCCGCACCCTGTATCAATAGTGGAATGGTTAGTTCGGGCCAGTGGCCAATAGCTCCTGTTGATCGTCAGATTGTAGCTGAACACATCGTATTTTGGAAGAATATCCACATTTATGACTGTAGCTGGCTGGACTTTATGCAACTGTTTGCCGATGAGGAAGACAGCTGAGGGGGTTTGCCAAGTGGACTGACCATATAACCGAGGCATAGGATACCCCTCCTTCAGATCTGCCTTTAATCAACACCCACTATAGAAGCTCTGCAGTCTCCTTTCTACATCTAGTCAGAGAGACATTTGTGCTGTTGTATTATATCATTTATCATTGAAGTCAACCCTACTAAATGTTGATTAACCACTTTCAGCACACATCATATCTGGAACGTGTAATGGTTTATCAATCTGGTTATTATATTCTAGGTCCCTTAGCTGTACTATAACACAATGTGCGAACGTTCTTTTCAGAGATGGAGTTCAAAGTAGTCTTATCTTGGTCGAGAACTGGTGGCAATTGCAATGTAGCCATTCATTCTGCAGCCCAAGGATTTGGATTTCATCTTACAATATGCGGTCGCGAAATCAAGTTATTGGAGCAAAGTAAATTTGCGACCCTGTCTTAGTCTCTGTTCTAATGATATCTACTGATAGATCGAGAATTATAATATAATAGCACAGGACAGGTCAAGGAGGACCCTTTCGAACGTAACATCGAGGGGATATGGTGCATAATATCTGTACCATGTTTTGTTTGGCCTTGGGCACATGTAGGTAGTAATCCGCTGTTTGCTCTCGATATTTAAATACCCCAGAGTAAGAATGATGATTGTATGACTATGGAATTGTATAACGCTATTCTATAGGCCCCCTTCATTCATGCGGCTTTAAACTTGACTGTTTCATTGATACTGTCTTGATTGGCCTAGCCTTAACTTGAAAGCTAATTTAATCTGACACATTGGATTCAGGGTCGCTTAATTCCTTTGGTATTAATGTAGTTGATTCTGTTGAGTGGAATGGTAGGTACGGGCTGGAGGACAGTAAATTAAGAACGCAAGGTTACCCACAATTTCGCACTTTATATAAACGCAAGTGGGATTCTTTCGTCTTACAGGAAGGAAAAGAAGAAGGGCAAAGAAAAGAGGACATCTATTGACATATTCATCAGCTTGATCTATGATTGTTATATATATAAAAATGTATATGAGTAACATTTGTTCATCGATTCATGGAGTACATGATAGCTCTTATTATTATACTTCATGACTGGAAATCGCTTATATACGTCCTTAAAAATGGCAGCATACTATTTACTAATATAACGACGCTGAATATACAAAATGTGTATCTTATCAAAAGGGAAAGTGGAGCCCCCCACAACTTCCCCGGATTTTGTACGGGCGCAGTGGGGCAAAGTTAATCCTCCATACACTGAAGACACTACAACAGTCGATAGTTACAGTTAACAGTTAATAAATGCATAAATTAAGATATATTAATATATTTCATAGTATAATGAAGGATAATCAGTTATATCAACATGCACTATGAGACCATCGACAAGGGGACAGCCTAGGTTGTCGACGACCACATCCCAGTCCTGTAGGTCTACCTTACGTATCAAATTCCCCTCCCTCCATGAACCGCCACAATATAGTCGAGACCGCCGATCTCTGAGGCAGCAGCAGTGAGCGAGGAGCCCAGGTCATAGACCAGCAGACTTATGGTACACAGTACAAAGTACAAATGGAGAAGACGGGGCGCCCTTATCGTATCAAGTACACAACGTATGATCTTCCACTCCCCTGATTATCTCAACCACACTCATTGTAAAAAGGGGGAAGGTATATTACCATCCAGAAGCAATAATGGGCATCACTGCTTGCCACCCTGCAGGGATGTAGGATACGATATCAGACCACCCGCCAGTCAGGTCGTCGACATCTGATGATCTTCTGCCTGTAACCTTGTCGTGTGACTACCCCGCATCGAGTACAACATCGTCAGGGCAAAGGGAGGGTTGGCCCTATTTCTGTGCAGTCAGAGAGGTATATAAGGGGTGTAGCACGACTGGCTGGTTTGGTTGACTTCTTCACTATCCACAAGATATCTATCTATAAGAGCATTTTCATCACTTCTACTATCTGAACTACTTCACTACTTTCACTTCTAGTATTTGAAACTTCAAAGTATCAAAATGTCATCAAGCCAGATCATGCAGAGCCTCCTGTCCATGCCCGGACGCTTCAGACAGCAACTCGGTAACTCGCGATCCAGATTTGCAACAGGTAGCCCCCCCCCCCCCCCTTCTTCCCTTCTATGTGCCTCCATCTGGAGACTGGATACTAATAAGACAAGACAAACCCAAAGGACAGGTCCTCCGAACATCCTTCAGCCTTCATCGTCCCGTCTGGATCACCGCCGGAGGAGCAGCCTACACAACGATGGGGGCTGTGTATCTCACCCTGCGCTATTTTCGACGCTTCAGATAAACCCCTCGTTTACGATTACGATATGATGCATATATTCTAGCGATGGAGGACAGGGACGTGGCTAGCAGGATCTTTACCGTCTTTATCTTCCTTTCTTTCTTTTGTTCGGTTCAGTCACGGGATGGCTGGGGATGGCGTTTTTCGTAAATATCATGATCATGATTTGGAGTTTAGTCGTATTAGCGTAGTCAATACGAGAGTTTCAGAATATGCTGTTGTGTGTCTGGTGGTGTGATGCATCCCTGTCGATAATCCTGGGGTTAAGAAAGACTGGCCGCAATCCATGCCGTCGACATGTACGGAGTAGGGGATGGGCATAGGAGCTCACAGCCAGCACACCAATCAAGTCGTATCAAGAACAAACAGTCCGTCTGGCATACTCCATAGCAATAGAACAACAGTAATGCCAGGCATATCCGATCGCGAATAAGCTCTATGGGTCACTCCAGACCAAAATAGCTCCCGTACGATCGTCTCCAGTGAGTCTCGAATCACGCCTCCCCCATTTGTGTTCGACATTCATTGGATGCAAAGGTACCATTCCAGCCGACAGACTGTCTACCCCGCTCATGCTAGCCTATGAGACGAGGCGGATTGGCACTGACCTGGCACTTCATGTTGCATGATTTCATTCTCTGCGCGAGGAGCCATCAGGGATCCTTGGCAACCCCGCATTTGGACGCGTACTCGTCAAGGTTTCACTGAATTGCCAGACGTGATTAAAAGTGTTGATTATGATGGTGTCGTATTATTCGAGAGCAGCGGAACTATTGCTGAGGTGCAGTAGTACATCATGTCCAGCTCGGATGAAGTGTTTGATGTTATCCCCGTGTATGCAGTATAATAACCCTTGTTAAGTAACATAAATCAATTGATTAACTCATCGTTGTATATGCACATAGCTCATAAAGACAATTTTCGTTCCAACCTATATTCTATTTAAACCGTTTACTCCATCTCAATGGTACCAGGGGGCTTGCTGGTGTAGTCGTAGGCAACTCTGCACACTCCGTCGACCTCGTTGATGATGCGGGTAGACACCTTGGTCAAGAACTCGTGGTCGAAGGGGAAAGGAATGGCAGTCATAAAGTCCTTTGTTTGGATGGCACGGAGGAGGATGATGTTGGCGTACACGCGCTTGTCGCCCATGACACCGACGGCCCGCGAGGGGTCCAAGGCAGCGTAGGCCTGTCCAATCTGATCATAAAGTCCAGCTTCTTTGATCATGGAAATGAAGATGTGGTCGGCCTTGCGGGCAGCCTCGACCTTCTCCTTGGTGACCTCACCAAGAACACGGATGGCAATACCGGGGCCTAACAGGGTTAGCGTATCATGAATGGCTGGATTAATTGAACGTACCTGGGAAGGGGTGACGGCCAACCAGCTCGGGAGAAATTCCGAGCTGTTTGCCGAGCTCGCGGACCTCATCCTTGAAGAGCTCACGCAAAGGCTCAATCAGCTTGAGGCCGTGGCCAGCCATCAGACGCTCAGCGATACCTCCGACGTTGTGGTGAGTCTTGATGGTTTGCGAGGGTCCCTTGAACGAGATACTTTCGATGACGTCTAAAAAATTAGCCAGTGCCATATTTCTGTGTTCGAACAAACTTACCAGGGTAGAGAGTTCCCTGCAAGAACCATTCAACGCGACCGGCGTTCTGCGATTCAATCTTTCTAGCTTCATCCTCAAAGACATCGATGAATTTACCACCGATGAACTTGCGCTTCTTCTCGGGGTCCTCCTCGCCCTTGAGACCGGCCAGGAACTGCTCGCCAGCATCAACGACAGTCAAGTTGATACCCAGCTGCTCCTGGAGGATCTCCTTGACCATGGCGCACTCGTTCAATCGCATGCAGCCGTTGTCGACCAGCACGGCGTGGAATCGGTCACCAATGGCTTCGGTCATCAGCTTGGCGGCAACGGTCGAGTCGACACCACCGCTGACAGCACCGAGGACCTGGCCGTCGGGGCCAACCAAGTTGCGGATACGGGTGATCTCTTGGTCGATGAACTTGGCCATGGTCCAGTTCTGGGAGGCACCGCAAATGTCGACGGCGAAGTTCTTGAGGAGCTGACCACCCTGGGGAGTGTCTGATATTGTTAGTCCACGCAATGGGTATTTCCAGGCAATGGCAACTCACGGGTGACCTCGGGGTGGAACTGAATGCCGTAAACGGGGTCAGTCTTGTGGGCGATGGCAGCGTACTCCGAGTTCTGGGTCACGCCAACGGTGTGGAAGCCCTCGGGCAGGTTGCGGAGCTTGTCACCGTGCGACATCCAAACAGTCATGGTATCCTCCAGACCCTTGAACAGTCTGTCGACATGTCCTCCGAAGCTGGTGGCCTTCAGCTCAGCGTGACCGTATTCTCTGGCGGTACCGGCGACGACGTTGTCGGCGTGGACACGGTGGGCGATCTCCTGCAGACCGTAGCAGATACCGAGAATGGGGACACCGAGTTCGAAGAAGGCGGGGTCAACGTGGGGAGCACCGTCCTCGTAGACGGAGTACGGGCCACCGGAGAGGATGATACCCTTGGGCTTCCAGCCCAGATCGGCGAGCTTCTGGGTGCAGGGCAACATCTCGGAGTAGACATTGATTTCTCGTAGACGGCGAGTGATGAGGTGGGTACTGCTCTGTCAGCTCCATGCCAGCATTCCTTCAAGATCGTGACATACTATTGGGAACCGAAGTCGAGGGTCAGGATGGTGTCGAAGGCATTGTGAGGGATTGCCTCGGTCGCGTTTGTGTTAGCCATGGCGAAGGGGCGATTTTAGAGACGGAGGGCCTTGCAGAATAAGGAACGAACGCTGCGAGGCAGAGAAAAGGCGATTATAGGGAGAGGAAGGTGTCGTCGTGACTCATGAAGCCCAACGGCGAAAAGCGATAAGAGAAAAGAAAAAAAATTGAAAAAGTGGGAGGCGGAGAGATTCTGCCGGACCAAAGCAGCCATTATTGGTGGGATGGCAGCCCCCGCCCACGTGATTTGGAGGGGTAGTCACATGACAGATATCTAAAGATCAACACAAGATCTCCATTCTACCAATCAGATTCATCGTCATTCATCCTTTGGCTTTCTCTAAACTGTGCAAAATTCTGCCGCAGTAGCTCTGACTTGGGCAGCTTTTGCGACACAATGGTCGATGCGAGCAGATCTGCCAACGGGTTGCGGACGACTTTTCGCATGCGTTCAGCCTGCCAGGGAAATGCACCGTGGAATTCATATTTAGTCTCAGCCGCACCTGGCAGAGATATAAAAGAGACTTTCTTGGCTTTGAGGTGTAGCACACTCATTATAGCGTGGATGTTTGCGAGAACCACCGCGTCGAGGTTCAACGCCGTCAGTCCGTCACACTGTTGGAGGAGTTCCCAACAAGGACGCAACGGTCTCCAACTGATCAATTCGCCGTCTTTGTCTGCATTGTCTGTCACGAGCGTGATATATCGAATCCAAGATCTGACCTCCGGACGAATGCCAGATAGAAAGCCCTGTAGCAGCTGATAATTTTCAAAGGCAAAGTGGTTTTCGCTCCAGAAGAGCCAGGCTGTTTCATCATAGAACCGTTTGTTGACCACCATGATATCCAGGCTTCGTCGCGTGCACAGGCACGGCAGGGTGTATAGACTTGGACCGGGCTTTTCTTCCTTGCTTCGAATCTTGTGCCAATAGCAATTGTCACAGAAGAACTCGTTTTTCATTGGAGGGGCCCATTTGCTACGAGCCGGCGAGACAAAAGGCTTAGGATAGATACCGGTTGGGTAAAGCCAGTTATTTACCTCGCATTCTGCGCATGTTGTACCTTTGGTGCTCTCATATGTCAAGGCCGGTCCTGGATGATGGAAGGTAAATTTCTGGCAATAGCCCAGGTTGTGTCGCATGTCGAACTTGCATGGCTGGACGAGGAGCATGCGGTATACATGGTTTCGTATTTCGGATGGGAGAGAGAAGAAACTGCATCGTCAGAGTTGACATGCATATAGATGATCTGCTTACCTTTTGATAAACGGAGAGTCTGAATTATCTGGATTGAAATCTGGGATCGTGGCGTGTTTTCTGCGGGCTTTTTGGACGCCTTTTGGTTTTTGGCGAGGAGCACGATATGGAATAGTGTTACATTGAGACAGGTTGACAGCCATGACAGATATGATTCGATTATTCTGTGTCTTAATGATGATGATGACTGCTATATAACAGACATATGGCAGTGTCATCACGTGAGACTGTTTCCTGATGAGGCTGTGATCCATAGGCTGTGCAGATATTAATATCACCGAATGATATTCCATGCAGATCAGAGTCTATTATTGCTTATTATGCATAAGAAAGGCTGAACCATGGTTCTATTTCAGTCCTTGACAATCCACCCATCGACCACCTTGCCCAGCTTCTCCATTCTCTTCGGTCCGAATTTCACATCGTCAATCCGAGGTGCTCTATCGGGCATGGTGACGCTGGCTCTGTTAGTTTTGTCTATCAAATATATAGAGACATACTGGTAGATGAAGCTGTGGGTGCTGGATGCAGTAAGTGGCGCATTCAGTCGCGTCACTTTGCCCCCTCTTTTGGCGATTTCACTCGTGTAGCTGAGATGTCAGATATATTATGCATATATTATGCGGTGATAGAAAGATATACCTCTTTTCCCATTGATTGGTCACTTGGTTGAGTTCGTTTCTGTTGAACAGAACGCGCATTGCCTGGATGGATTAGCCTGACTCTCTGATAGAGAGATAACCTACGTATGTTTTCGGCATTTCGATCGTCAATAAATAGATGCAATGCAAAAGATGAGGATGGGAGAATAAATAAGTGACGGTGGAGACGCCACGTCAAGATAGTGACGTGGCAAAATAAACAAAAGAAATTCATCATTCGTAAGAGATATCCATATATATTATACATGCTGGGGATGCTCTTCAGTCCAGTGGAAATCACTTTTGACTCTGATCCCCATCTGAGAGCCTTCGCTTCCCTCACCATCGCTGCTGGCATTGCGTCCTAGACTGTCCATTTCCACAAACGTCGAGCTGGTCGTCAGTCCGGCTTCATCGACGTCTCGCCAGAGCGGATGTTGGATCCTTCTCCCTTTGCGGTGATTTCTATCCATGTTTGGGACGGAGTCGACTCCTTCGGATGCAGATGGACCGGATGGCCTCTTTCCACTCGATTCGCCTGCTGCGTTGCTGCGTTTGGATCTGGTGGAATTGACGATGTACGTCAGGGCGTGGCGCAGGAGAGGCTGCAGAGTGGGCAGACAGGCACAGACGATGCCGATGCAGGGCTCGATGCTGGACCAGACAAAGACACTGCCCATGATCCAGGTGATGTCGAGGGAGCTTTTCAAAAAGGTCATGTAGTAGATGCGGATGATGCTGGCAATGACGACGCTGTTGTCATTAGCAGAGCACTCTATAGCACTTGATATGGGACATACAATCCACCCAGAAGAAAGATGCCCGTGACCATCCACTTTTGCGCTGTGCGCATCTGCAACTGCCAGACGACGCGAATGGGAACAATCAGGATGATGCCATCCGTCACCACATTGGCTGCTGCATTGCCGACGTAGAACGGATAGAAGGGAAAGCGGCATTTCCCGCCCGTGGGATCGAGATACTGTGACCAGTAGTAGGATGGGGGCGTGCATGCGACGAGAAAGGTGATGGTGCAGGAAAACCAGTAGCCGGTGGTCAGGAAGAAGCAGACCCAGAGGATCCAGTGCATGCCAAAGATGCGACGGTAGAAGAAGATGATAGACAGCTTGGTGAGAGGGACGGTGACGACGTAGAGGAGGACGTTGGCATAGAGGACCTTCATCATGTCGCTGACATCCTGCAGCGTGAGCGACCAGACGTGTTTTCCCTGGCCATGCTGGCCGGCTGGGAACTGTCAATTGCTATAATCTGGTACGATTAATGAAGACATACCCTCTATTGTACAGACCACATTGGCGGTTACTGAAACCACCGCACCCACGATGAGCCAGTCGTCCGTGGCAATCGTCGAGCCCTGCGCCTTTATTCGCGCCACAAAGCGCAGAGCGACCAGGCACACAGCCAGGATATAGACGGCAATGACAGTGGCATTGTTGCGAGGAGTGAGGTTGTCGCTGAGATCAATGCCCGAGGGAGGAGAGCCAAAGACTGCGTTGATCGACATGTTGGCAGTGGAAGGTCAATGGCTGTGCCATGGCGATGTTTCAATGAAGACAGACTGAAAAAAAAGGAATGTTGCGTCGAGAAAAAGGATTTCAGGAACGAAGGATTCGGGCAAATTGGCCCCTTCAGGATCAGCAGATCCACTACTTGATTCATGAACCAGAACCAGGATGACAGGCTAGACCAGCACGGTTCATGCGCTCGGTTATCCAGACAGCCAGACTACCGAGTGGTCTGTACTTTGTGCTCAGGAGATACCACGATGTCACCAAGTGGATCGAGTGGGTAAAGGATCGTGCTAACATCACCGCATCACCACAATTGGCTGTTGTATAGCTTCAGATCCACTGACAGCTGCCACTAACGGCGCGGTTCATGACGGGCGACGGAAGGACGGCCCGTGCGATGAAACGTCCCTGATGGTGCCATCGACTGATACCGGCAGTGAGGCTATTGCCATTAACCGGCTGTTATACCTTATATGAGGGCAGAATCCCTCGCTGTGACTGCAGGAATCAACCCACCCACGCCAAAATGAGACCTGTTCCTGAAGCCACTGGCTCTCCTTCGCGCGAACACAACGACTGGAGCATCCAGATCGACCGGTTCGGCCTGAGTCCGCGCCGACTGAAGATTGTCTGTGTCGGCGCTGGATTCTCTGGTCTGACGCTGGCCTACAAGCTGAAGCATGAGCGACCGTTGGATTATGTCGATTTGGTGATTTACGAGAAGAACAATGAGGTGGGAGGGACCTGGTATGAGAATGTCTATCCCGGTGTTGGCTGTGACATTCCTGCTCGTATGTTATTGCATGATACTATACATCCTATACTAATAGTCACAGACAGCTATGTCTTCCCCTTCGAGCCCAACCCCCGATGGTCCAAGTTCTACGTGGAAGGAGCAGAAATCCAGCAGTACATCCTGGACACGACAGAGAAGTACAAATTAAGAGAGAATATCACCTTCAACACCAAGATCACCAAGTCGGTCTGGGATGAGGACAATGGCAAGTGGAAGATCGAGCTGGAGCAGCACGGCAGTCTCATCCACGATGAAGCCGATATTCTCATCAACGGCAGTGGCATTCTCAAGTAGGTCTATAAATATATCAAGAATGAACCATACTAACCAACAGCCAATGGAAATGGCCCGACATCGAAGGACTGCATTCGTTCCAAGGAAAGCTGCTTCACAGCGCCAAATGGTGTGTATACCTTCAACATACTTTGAATGCTGCTGACAGCCCAGGGACCCCAACTACGACTATACAGACAAGAAGATCGCCGTCATTGGCAATGGCTCCTCGGCCCTCCAGCTCGTCCCAGCCATCCAGCCGAAAGCGTCAAAACTGGTCAACTACATCCGCCAGCCCACCTGGGTGTCGACCAATCTGTGTGGCAACGTCACCAAAGACCAGATGGGCACCAACTTTGCCTTTACCGAAGAGGAGAAGCAGGAATTCGCGGATGATCCGGGAAAGTTTCTCGCATACAGAAAATATGTTGAAAACTCGTATGTTTTCCTGTCTGGATATAATCGTGTCTAACGATGGTAGGGTCAACTTTGTCTTCCGGCTGATGCTGTCCGGGTCGGAAGAGAACAAGTTCATCCACGATCTGGTCGAAGGCGTCATGAAGCAGCGGCTGGCCAGGAATCCTCACTTGATCGAGAAGCTCATTCCGGAATATGAGACTGGCTGCCGTCGTCTCAGTCCGGGCGATGGATATCTCGAAGCGCTGCAGGAAGAGAATGCCAAATGGTGTTTCAGCAAGATCAAGCGAATTACAGCAAATGGAATTGAAACAGATGAAGGCGAGGAAGAGTTTGACCTTATCGTCTGTGCCACTGGATTCAACACCTCGTTTGTTCCTCCGTGGAAGCTGATCGGTCGTGATGGCCATCGCCTGGACGTCGCGTGGATGAAGAAACCAGAAGCCTACTTTTCCGTCTGCGCGGCGGGCATCCCCAACTTCTTCATGTTTGCCGGGCCCAACTGCCCCATTGGCCATGGATCCGTGCCGCAGATGCTGGCCTGGAGTGGCGATTACATGCTGGATTGGGTGGAGAAGATGGCGGTTGATGATATCAAGTACGTTCCCTCGATTGTATCCAGATGGTGCTAACAATATAGATCCATCGCGGTGAAAGAGTCCGTCGTACGGGACTACTATGTCTTTGTGCAGGAGAACCTCAAACGGGCTGTCTGGTCCAAGGGATGCCATACCTGGTATAACAGTGCAAAGGGCAACGAGCAGACACCGACGGCCATGTATCCAGGCAGTGCTCTCCATTACAAAGGTATGTCCCTATCCATCTCTACGGATGACGCTGACCGAATAGCTGCTCTCGAGACCATCCGTGGCGAACATTTCGATATTCGATACGAAACAGCGAATCCCTTCAAGTATCTGGGCAATGGCGAGATGGAGTTTGAACGCACTGGAGGGGATCTGTCGTATTATCTCAAATGATGACTTGTATATGTAGGAATGTAGGATACGAATGCACTGCCACGATGATAACACCGTTAATTCCTAACTCCGTCACTATTTGGAGAACAGCATCCCTTGATCTCTGACTCAATCAACATGAAGATCATTCTCTCTGGCTGCACCGGTCTTGTCGGCCGTGAAGTTCTGAATCAATGTATTGCCAACTCTTCCATCACTTCCATTGTTGCTCTTACTCGTGATGCTGTGATTGCAGACAACCCCAAAGTCAAGGTCGCATTTATCAACGACTTTCTGGAATATCCAGAGGGGGTGATCCAGGATATTCACGGAGCCGAATCATGCATCTGGTATGTTATAATGATATATCTGTACTTTACTGATGAATAAGGTCCCTTGGAAATGCACGCATGCCAGAAAACGCCCAAACAGCCCACAAAGAGAGCGTCGAATACACACGCACAGCAGCGGCAGCTTGCAGGCAGGCAGCAGCTGGAAAAAGATTCAGATTTGTCTATCTCAGTGGAGGATTAGTTGGACGCGATCCGACAAAGACACTGTGGCTCAGTCGGCTATACCGGCAGATTCGAGTGAGTATTCAGACTGAATATAAGGCCTTTCTAACAAAGCAGGCCGATGGAGAGGATGTCCTCCGTTACGCAGAGAGTGATACTTTCGAGTCGTATATCGTGCGCCCTGACATTGTGTTCACTGGCCTGGCTGGAGATGAGAGCAAGAATGTGACGCCGACGGTGAGAGTGGATGTACTGGCCAAAGCGATGATCAACGCTGCCATCCACGGACATGTAAAGAGAGTATTTGACGATGAAGGAATCAAGCAGTTGTCTAATGGTGTCTAATGATGTCTAATATATACATATCATACCTATACAGCCACTTCATCCTCCACGGCAGTTGTATCCACCCCAATGGTGATGTATCCCACCATCCCCTTGGTCACATCTTCTCCATCAATGGGAACCACCGAGATGACCGGGTTGTATCCTCCCTCTGTATCCTGCGAATAGACCGAATCCGCTGCGTTGGTCGTCCGGTTGATCTCCGTGTGCGACACATATGGCTCCAATGCCATGATCTTCTTTTCCAATGCCTCGTCAAAGTAGAGCTGGCCGGTACTGACCGTCTTGCCTTTGGCGATGGTGCCATTGCCGCGGGTGACCCAGTCGGTGTGCACCTGGACGTGGATGTGGATGGCTCGTTCGACATAGAAGCCTGTTCATTAGCTATCTATACCATATGATGTCCATGTTGACTCACCAGGGAAAGTTGTTTTCATCTCCATCATGCCATTCTTGTCCGTCGGCCACATTCCTCGCAAAAAGGTCGTATCGTCCGTGTGCAGATCAGTGGTGCCCATCTCGTACGAAGACACGTTCAACTGCTTCAACAGCGTTTCAAAAGGGGTATTCGGAGACAATCCAGTAAAGCTGGAATAGCTGCCAGTGGCATTGCAGTGCCAGAAGTCGACCAGCACTCCTTCCAGAGGCTCACACGTGGCCATGTCCAACACGCCCACATCCAGCCAGAGAGGCACACCAGGCTGGCCTTCGCTCATGTCCTGTCGCAGCGTCTGCGACTGAGGCCAGATATACGGGCCCTCGGTCACCTCTGGAGTCAGCACGCAGGTGTCATTCTGGATGGTGTTGTAGTAGGGTGCCTCGGAGGTGATCTGGTAGGTCGTGTTGGAGGATCGCTTGTTCAGGTTGCGCTTCCATCGCTTCTCGTTGAACCGGGCGACATGGTCAGAGCATCGCGCAGAGAGACCAGATCGACGAAGGACTTCTCCTTTCTGGATGGGGGGATGAGGGCCAGGATGGGCCAGAGCCGGGGAGAGAAGGGCAGCAACGAGGAGAGTAGAGAGATGCATTGTTGTGTTTGCTGTGTCTGCATGTTATCTCGATCAGTTGACCATATTTATATCCAATAACCTCATCTTCAGACCTGATATTCAGACCTGTATCAAGCTTATTTAGTCTCGGAAAACGTTGCGTAAGTCTCGGACTTGGCACTTCGCGTCCTCCAGAGATGCCCCAGACTAGATGAAACAGTGGATATGACGCCAAGCTGGAGTGGCAGAGACAGCCTATCATGATGGCCTGTTTTGAAACAAATCGACAATCTGTCTGCCTGGTAAATATTCACCCTGATGATACCACCAACTACTTTCAAGAGTGGGGATAGCTTCATTTCGTCCAAGTGATCGTCGCCAAGAACAAAGCCACTCGCGTGGAACAACTTAATTTTATATCGAAAGTCTGCTATTGGTTCTCCTATTCTTCTTCTCTGAATATTCTATGGCTGAATCCCACACGGATCATACAGCGCATCCACGGCCAGTCCATCCAGCTTGTGCGCAACAACTCGTCCGTCTTTCAGCAGAGCCACCATGGACTCCTTGATCCGATCAAGCACCGTGATATCCTCCAGCGGATTCGCTTCCAACACGAGCAGGTCGGCAATGGCCCCCTTCTGGATGCATCCCAGCTTCCCCTCCATCCCGAGATACCGGGCTGCATTGACTGTCGCTGACTGCAGAATCTCGCCAGCACTCAGCACCCCCGACCGAATGCGAAACTCCCCATTCTGTATCGTGTGCAATCCCCCCAGCAGATCCGATCCATAGCACATGGTAGCTCCGGCATCGCGTAGAATTTCCAGTGCGCCCAGCCCACTGGCCAGCACATCGCGGTTCTTGCGCTGGCTGAATTCATCCAGAAACTGGTCGAAGGGAGGCTGCGTCATGCCGTGATAGGTGACCAGCGTCGGAGTGAAAAATACTCCCTTCTCCCTGCAGTACTCGGCCGTCTCGCGATCGATAAAGTTGCCGTGCTCAATGCCTCGGACGCCATTGTCGACGGCGTGTCGGATGGCATCGATCGTATAGGCATGGGCCGTCACATATGTCTTGGAATACGCTGCTGTCGTCGTGATGGCCCGGATCTCTTCCGCCGTGAATTGCAGCATATCGAGGGCATCAGAGGGAGTGGCAACACCACCGCCACACATGATCTTGATGAAGTTGGCCCCTTGTCGCAGCTCATCGCGGGCAGCTTCAAGACATTCAGGGACGCCATTGCACACGCGAGCAAGCGATGGTGAATGCCCACCGCAGCACTTGAACTCATTTCCCTGATAGCTGGCACGGAAATCGCCATGGCCGCCCGTCTGGGAGAGTGCCTTGCCGGCGATGAAGAGACGGGGACCGGGCAAGAGTCCTTCGGCAATGGCATCACGAAGAGCATTATCGGCACCTCCAGTATCACGAGCAGTTGTGAAGCCTCGCAGCAGCATCTCTCGGGCCACAAAAGTGGTGCGATACGCAATGGCGTTGGGGCTGGCGGCAAAGAGGTCTTTGAGAGAGAAGCCACCAGGAGTGGCGGTGATGTGGACATGGCAGTCGATCAGTCCAGGACAGATATAGCGATGTTGAAGATCAATGACATTTGGACCAGCGACAGTCGAGGCATCACCAGTGGTTACATCGAGAATGAGTCCATCTCCGATGCGGACAGTGGCATTGGGGAGAATCTGGCTGGTCTCAGCATCGACGATGTTCGCATTGATAAAGGTGAGATCAGGAGATGCTTGGGGCATCCACGGCTTGGATTTGTTCATTTTGAATGAATAATTGATGATTGAATAAATGGATTGAGAGCTGAAGATAAATGGAGAATCAATGCAGGAATTACCCCGCAGACAAGGTCACTTGATCGGGTGCAGCAGCCGATGCTATCTCTATCTCGGCTGATAGTACTCATTGCATTATATTCATGTCTACTGTATTTGATCATTATGATTGAATCACTCCCACCTTGCTGTGGACATCTCAATTTCGAGACTGATCGACAAGTGGTGATCTTCAAGAAGAAAAACAATGATCATGATTCTCATGAAAGCATCAATAACGATGAATTGCATCTACTGCTATCATCTACAATCGATGCATCCGCCTATCATCTATCAACATAGCAAGTAACCCCGCAAACTGTTGCCGACGATAGGAACAAGATCCGGCCCAATCAAGGGATGATCTTCTCCGCATCTTCAGCTGTACTTAACCACCTCGCCCCTCATCTGTCTTGCAATGATCCATCATCATGTCGAAGAAAGGCAAGGTTGCGGATGATGTCGATGCCAGCCATGGCTCCATCCTGTCTTTTTCCGAAGCGGAAGAAGCCAAATTGGTCAGGAAGATTGACTTTGTGATACTTCCGATGGTATGTCTGCAATATATCTCCATTGCCGTTGCTAACTGTCTAGATGTGTCTGGTGTTCTTCTTTCAATGTAAGTTCTCATCGCTAATGTCTTAATGTCTATCCGCCTAACAATATAGACCTGGACAAGCAGAGTCTGAGTTATGCTTCTGTATTCGGCCTGATTGACGATCTTTCCCTTGAGGGGTCGCAATATTCCTGGTGCTCTTCATTATTCTATCTTGGTGAGTATCCCTATCCCATTATATTGAATTATCTGATGAACAGGCCAATTGGTATCGGAATACCCCTTTATCTACCTGATGAGCCGACTGCCACTGACCAAGTTCGTGGGTGCTACGATGTAAGTTTTTGTCTATCTTCAAGAGCAGCATTGATTCTTTAGCATCATCTGGGGTGGAATATGTATGTGCCTGGCCGCTCCAGCCAACTTTGCCGGATTTGCTGCCGTTCGCTTCCTGCTTGGTGTCAGTGAAGGCGCGGTATCGCCTGCTTTTGTGGCCATCACCAGTGTTTGGTATAGAAAGAAAGAACATGCGACACGCGTTGGGTATGTATTCATTACTCTATATTGGATCATGCTAACCCCCCAGTGTATGGATCACGATGAATGGACTCGCCCAAGTCCTCGGCAGTCTGCTCATGTATGGAATCGGCAAGACCTCAATCTCTCATCTCGCACCATGGAGAGTCTTGTTCCTCATCTGCGGTGCTTTGACAGCTGGATGTGGTGTATTGTTCTATTTTGTCGTTCCATCCAGTCCAGACAAGGCATGGTTTCTCACTCGGCGAGAGCGAGAGATACTCATGGCCCGAATGGCTTTGGATAGAGAAGGTGGGGATCAAACATCGTTTTCTCTATCGCAAGTCAAAGAGACTCTTTTCGATGCCAGGGCATGGCTGGCATTCATCTTTGGCGTGTTGGTGACAATGCAGTCGCCCGTGTTGACAGTAAGTGACTCCTTGCATCATCGAGATATACTGACAAGATAGTTTGCATCTCTCATCATCAAAAATCTGAATTACAACAAGTTCGAAACGATGCTATACACATCGCCATCTGGTGCATTGCAAATGGCCTTTATCTGGCTGGGAATGCTGGGCTGTCTGGTCCTTCCCAACAATCGCAGTCTGATCGTCATCTTCTTGGCTATTCCTCCCCTCGTTGGCAATATCCTCCTGCTGAAACTACCTCTCTCTGCTGGATGGGGATTGATTGTCTCTTCATGGCTGGTAAGAGTCACCGTCAATTGAAAGATAAAACTAACAACGCAGGCATCGTGCATCTCCGACGTCATGGCTGTTCTTCTCAGTCTCAGCGCATCCAATGTCAAAGGAAATACAAAACGAGCCATGGTGAACACCCTCTTTTTTATTGGATACTGTGTTGGCTGCATCGCTTCACCGCAGCTGTGGAAGTCGAATGCTGCTCCTCGATACTTTGAAGGCGTTGTAACTGCCATCGTGACCTGGTGTTTGCTGGTTGCCATGATGTGTCTTTATTGGTATCTCTGTTGGTTTGAAAATAGGAAAAGAGACCGAACTCACCATGAGGAGAGAGATTACCAAGTTGGGGAAGATATCACCGATATCCAGGATCCTCTGTTCAGATACAGCTATTGAGTATACTTGATGGGTATTTGAATATCTATTAATGCAGGTCATCCGACCGAACAAGACCGTCGACATGTAGTATAGCTAGAGCTGAGAAGTATGGGTGATTAAAGTGTATTTGACTATTCATTCATATCCACTATTCATTCATATCCAGAGTGAAGTGAGTGTTACATATTAGTGATAAATAACTGATCATCAAATCATAACGTTCGTTCCAATGAGAGCCTAATGTCTCAGGCTGACTCGGGTGCCATTCTTCGAGCACAGCGTCAATGTCAGACCCTCTTCCCATGGCCCAGGATCTCTGCTTTCCAAAGTCGAGAACTGCTGCACCAGACGTACGGTAACATAGGCTGCTTCCGTAAGGGCATACTGTTGACCAACACAGATGCGTGGACCTCCGTTGAATGGCAGATATTCCCAACCCGGTCGGATACTGGCCCATCGCTCTGGGTTGAATTCGTGGGCATCCGGTCCGTAAAAGTCCTCGCGACGATGCATCGAGTACACGCTATACGAAACGATGGAACCTTTGGGCACAAAGACAGGAGATTGACCATCGGGGCCGCCTCCAACTGGGAGCACAGTGTCTACTGACGCCTTTCGCGCATTTCCGGGAACAACGGGGTGCAAACGGAGAGCTGAAGAGTCAGTATTGATAGAGTATGCGGAGTGGCAACACTTACATTCATTCAAGCAGTACTTGACATAGGTTAGGTTGCGTAGCTGCTCGTATGTTGGTGCGCGACCTTCCAGAGTAGCCACCTCTTGGCGCAGTTTGTTCCAGATATCGGGGCGCTTTGCAACCATGAAGAACATGTTGCTCAGCAAGGACGCGGTAGTGTCTCGTCCGGCCAGAAGCACGTTCATCAGCTCATCTTGGATACGCTTACGGTCGCCTGTCTGCTGGGCCAGTCCCTGCAGAAACAAGTATTTCTCTTTCTTCTCGTCCTTTTCTCCCATCACAGCCTTCTCCTCATCGTATCTCTCCCGGAACTTCAATGCTCGATCGACAAACTGGCTGACCAACTCGTGGCATATCCGATCCGTCTCGTTGGCCTTGGAGTCACGGTAAAGGTACTTCAGAGGCCCCAGGCGGGCACGGTTGGCAATGGCTTCCTGGGAGTAGTTGAAGGCGGCTGCAAAATCCTGCTCGGAGGGATCCTGAACCCCGGATCGTCGCTTCCTCAGCGTTCGCACATTGTGGCCGAAGAGGAACTCGGTCGCCGAGTCCATGGTGTAGCAGAAGAACAGATCCTGCAGATCGACCGCGGTGCCATCGGTGGGGATCAGCTCGAACAGATCGCCCATGAGCTCTTCGAAGATGTCGAGATGCGCGACTTGGTCCTTGACGAAATTCGGTCGGATCATGGCGCGCGAGTGTGCCCAGTGCTCGCCGTCCGTGGTAAAGATTCCATGGCCCAAGAGGGGACCAAACGAGCTGATTCGATTTCCGAGACCGTAGTCTTTGAAACGCAGCGACAGGATGGTTTTGATATTCTGGGGTTCGCAAGTGCTAAAGACGGTGCCTCCGAGACGGCGGTGGTAGAAGGTGTGGCCGTAGCGGTGGAAGCGGGCGATGCCAACGTCGAGCAGTCGGTGTTGTTTGGCAGCGTCGATGAGCTCGAAGATGCGGTCGGTTCCCCAAGTCAAGGGGTTGCTCTCCATGCGAGTTGGAGGTTGGCAGTGGTTGTTTTTGGCGAAGCGGTACTGCGACCATTTGCGCTGCAGGGCGGTGATGGTGTAGAGGAGGAGAACAACAGCACCACCCAGCAGGAGGACTGGATAGTGGGAGGTGAGTGACAGTAGCATGTTGAGATACTAGATAGCTGAATACATTGAACGATTCTAGCTAAAAAGAAAGAAAGAAAAGAGCAATCCCAGACTAAATAAATGTCTGACGAAACGCGGAGAAAAGATAAAAATAACGAATGGGGATGCATTGCGTCATCCCGATTGGGAATGGGCGGTCGGGGAAACCATCAGGCCGCGCCGACAGCCGAAGTCCGAGGGAAGGTGTGAGTGAATATGAAAATGACATGCGAGGGCCGAGATTGACTGAGTTACAGTATGAGACAGCCTGAGATCAGACAAGAAACGATATGAACTAATCGAAAAGTGGGTTACTTTGAGATGGAATGGCGGGTATTCGAAGGCAGCACCATTAATTGTGCCAGACACATGGAATTATACAAGTCAGTGACGCACAACGGGCTATCGGCTGTTGTGTTACACCGAGTCCTCAATGCTTACTACGTAACCATCTGATTGGTATCTTCAACAGAGCGCAAGCACTGCATAGATTGTGATGATTCTGGATGGACCAGCTGGGATGTGACGTCACTAGACAGATCCAGACGGGGAACGGAGAGAGTCAATGAACCGGAGTCGGAGGGATCAAAAGATGATAATAATGATGCGTTGATTTGAAGGAACTGAGGATATACTGTGTTTGTTTTACTGTTTCAAACCAGCAACGAGTGGTTACTTGGGTCACCAAGCTCGGCCGAGCAAGGGAGATCGAATGCCGAGGAATGCTGCATGCAGCAATTGGCACAATCCCTGCTTGGCGTAGAGAGAAGTAAGGGGTATTTTGATGATTTCTGGCGTGAGAACATCATGAAAACAAGGTTGATTATTTCATGTTGATTACGAAATAAAATGCGAGGAATTGTGAAGAAAAGGTACGAGGGATGGACCCATGGATGAGTGGAGGTCTGTGTTGTAGACCCGTGGATCCCGTACTGCTATACCGCAGACTGTTGACTAAGGAACCCCGCATTCCCTCGTCCTCGCATCCACGGATTGACAGCAGCATGAATATCAGTCCCAATCCGTATCTCCAATGTCCTCGTTGGCTCCAGGCATCTCTCGCTCCTCCATCGACGACAGCATCGCAAAAGATGCGCCTGCATCTGGTCAGAAACGCCGGCTGCTGCTCGTCTACGTCCACGGCTTTCTAGGCTCTGAGACCAGTTTCCACGATTTCCCCAGGCACGTCCACGATGCTGTTCGACTCCTCGTCGACGAGTCGCATGATGTCTATACCAAAGTGTATCCGCGGTACAAAACTAGAGGGAATATGAGTATTGCCCGGGATAACTTTAGCCAATGGTGAGTGCATCCCTGGATCACTTGAGCCATGCTGATGGCCAGGCTATCACCACACGAAGCCCCAGACTTGGATATCATCCTGCTCGGTCACAGTCTGGGAGGGATCGTGACTGCAGAAGTTGCATTGCTCGAAGACGACAGCAACGCGTGTAAACATCGCATTCTCGGTCTGATCAACTTTGACGTCCCTTTTCTCGGTCTGCATCCACGCGTGATCCCGACTGGCATTGGGAGTCTGTTTGAAAAGAAGCAGGACGAGAACGAAGACTCTGGGTCGGGTGCAGATCAAATAGCACCGCCCGAAGATGATCCCCGATTCGATCCATCTTTCGACAATGACGTCCATCTCACTCAGTGGAAAGGATGGGGTGGTGTCCGACATTTCATCTCGAAATATTCCAACCATCTGTCACGGTCGATTCCGCGATATGTCCAGTCCTTCTACGACCATGCGGGATGTATGCACAACTATCCAGAGCTGATTAAAAGATACAAAAGACTTGCTCGCCTGGAGGATCCCGAGAATCGTGAACATGATTCTATGTATCGAGTCAGATTCGTCAACTACTATACAGCAAGTACAGGGACATTCAAAAAAGATTCCAAAAAGGAATTGGAGGAAACGAACAGCGATCGGGATGACGGAGACGAACAAGACGCAACCGAAGAGAAAGATTTGGAGTTGAAGCCAGAGGATGCTGCGTTGGAAACAACCAAGTCGGATTCGACAACTGCCAAAACGGAATCCAAATCCGACTCAGACACTGTAAAGACGGAGAAGAGTGAATCTACATCCAATGACGGCAAAAGCCTTCGCAAGTTCTGCTACATCCCCAAAGACGATCGCTGGACTCCGATGTGCATGGAGAACATGAACGAAGTCGACGCGCACCAGTCCATGTTCTTCCCTCGCTTCTCGCACTATGAAAAGCTGGTCAGCTCGACGGCAGAGCGCATCGAGCAGTGGATTCAGGACGACTTGACCAGCCGTTTCATCGACGAGTACTCTGAGCTATAGCCATGTACATAGCCAGCGTCTAAACCGCAGCCGCCAAACGGCCCCCAAACAGGTCCACCTTGTGGCCGATCGACAACGCCATCGCGCTCTAGCACGATCCTTCTCTACAATCCGTCCATCCAGCCGCCTCATTCCACCTGCGGCTTAGCTGTGGCGTGTTGCTCCTGTCATTTAGTGCGACCGGGGTCGATTCCTTCAATTTTCTCGCGATGAGTCCCTGAATCCGTGTTGAATCCTGTCCTGTCGAATGTCGTTCCACCGGTTGCTTCCCACCATGTCGATGGAACTGCACTCGCTTGATCTGGGCCAGCGACCGGTCGCATCGCAGCAGAGCGACCGGCCGTTCTTTACGAATCGATCGGCCGACGATGAAGATGAGAAGCCCCCCGCAACGACCGTTGCTGATCCTGCAGCGGCCCTGCAAGCGCCCATGTTTAATTCGGTTTGGCTCAGCAACGCCTTTTTGGGCTCTTTTCTAGCCTTTTTGATGTGCATGGGAGTCGGCCTCGGCATTCTATACCACTTTGCCAATGATGGCAATGGAATTGCTGTGCTGTCCACCGACCACTACGCCTGGATGTATGGTCCCACGGCCGTTCTGGTCGTCGTCGCAGGATGCTGGCGACAAGCCGACTACTGGTGCAAGACACTGGTTCCGTGGAGGGAATTGCAGCAGAACTGGACTTCGCCAGATCGATCGCTGCTGCTGGACTATGTCGGCCAAATCCACTTCCTCGCTGCGTGGACGGCCATCAAGAACCGCCACTGGACTGTCGTTTCCTCCATCGGAGTCGTTTTGCTGCTGCGTCTGATGACCGGTTTTTCCACCAGTCTGCTGGTTCTTCAGTCAACCAAGAGCATCCGTGATATGGCGCCTGTTGCAACGACACCCTGGGGGTTCCAATTCCCCTTCACGAAAGCCCCTACTCATGGGTTCAGTGGCTACAATCCATTCGACGTCGCCTATGGACTCATGGCCCAAGATCTCCCGTACCCAGCTGGAACCTCCGATGATTTTCTAGTTCAGCCCTTTCAGGTCAAGGGCCCTGTGCCATCAGACCTCCGTTCCATTACAGCCAATGTGACGGGCGTATGGCCCTTACTATACTGTGAGCCTCTGGATGTGACCTGGCAGCTGAATGGGACTTCCAGCTCTTCCAACGCGGTAGACGAAGTGGTCATCTCCTTCAATGTCACCGACGGACTGTGCTCCTCTGGTGAACCTTGGTATCAGGATGTCACCACCACGCTGCACGATCGCCAACGAACCATCCTCCCCGACCGGCTGGTGTATGTCCGGATGTCCAATTTCAATGCCTACTGTGGTGATGATCAGTTGGAGAAACCACGGCTGTTCTTTGCCACCCTGGACGCCCGCTATACCCAGAATCTGGTGCCCAACGCGGAGGAAATTGTCAGTTCTAATTACAACACGCCCGTGATTGCCACATCGTCGACGCTGGAAATCGTCAATGTCACGGGCGTCATCTGCCGACAGGACTTTCAGATGAACATGGCGCGCGTCCAGATCGATCCGTCTGATGCCAACACGCAGAGCGGACCGGGGCTGAATGCGACACCCATTGGGCCTATCCCGGGTCTTCCCAGCGAGGTGGCCGGTTGGCCGCTCAACGATGCTATTTCCTCTGATATCATCACTGGAATTAGGATAATGCTTTCAGGAATCTCGTACAGTTTGGGAGATGATCTGGGCACCGAGGTTGCGAGTAAGGCTCTGTTTCGCCTCATGTTGGTGAACAGCGGGTATTCCGACTACACGCCATTTCTGGATCCTCAAGAACTCATGAAAACCGTCAGCAAAGTGTGGAGAACCTTGATCGTACAAACAATCTATGTGCTGTACGGCAGCGAAGGCATCTCCAATGATACGAACCTGGCAGCCACTGGCATCTATGAGGAAGGCCGCCTCTTTGTGCAGAAAACACCCATCGCCCTCATGGAGGCCTGTCTGCTAGTCATAATCGTCCTCACGGTCCTTGTCATGCTTTACCGTCCGGACAACGTGGTTCCCCGGAGTCCAGACACTGTCGGTGCCATCGCCACTTTCCTAGCCGGCAGCAGTCGTCTCACAGGACTACTCGATGGTCATGGCCACATGGACAACGACCAGCTGAAGAAGACCCTCGAAGGTCAGCGATTCTCCACTCGTGTCGATCCCCGTGAGATCGACGGCCAGGACCGCCATGCATTTAGCATCCTCACCGAACAGCATATCGTGAAAAAGGATGAAATGAGCTCTACGCCGCCACAAGACCTATCACCTCGCTTTGGAAAACCCAAAAAGATCTGGACGCCGCTGGCCTACGATCTGCCCTTTCGACTGATGGCCCTGATCACTCCGCTGGCTCTCATTATCATTCTTGAAGTCCTGCAGCATCAATCCGATCGACTCGACGGGATCCTGCAGGTTCCGAACAATTCTACCACCACCATCTTCAGTAAATACATTCCGGCATTCGTCATTCTGTGTGTCTCCCTTATATATCCAACATTCGACTCGGGAATCTCTTTGCTGGCTCCTTTTCGGTCACTCAGCCAGAGCAACACCAGCCATAAGTGGATCTTTGTCAACTACCTACGCGACATGCCAGTGGTGGCGATGTGGAAGTCGATTCGTGATGGCCAACTTGCAGTGTTTCTTAGTTTGCTAGGTGCCATCACCGCGAGTCTGTTTACAATTGCTGTTTCGGGTCTTTACAATATCGACACCACTGTGGGTTTCCATTTGTGTCAAATTCAATGCCATCTTTCTAACAGCAACAGAATATATCATCTCAAACCACGTCCGTTGACCGAACTGACGTCTGGAACCTCAGCTGGGCCGACGGATACAGTGACAACTCAGCCGGCGCTATCTTCAGCCTGGTAGAGCATGCTAATCTCAGCTCACGCCGACTGATCTGGGATGACCTCGTCTTTCCCACCATGCGGTCCCCTGTATCATTCGACGATCTCAATGCGACCGATGCCAAAAACCAGTCGACTGCGCGGATGACTCTCAGGGTTCCTGCTCTTCGCCCCAAGGTCAACTGCACGGCTCTGGACTCTGCAACTCTTTATTCCGAAACCAAGAACTCCTTTCTTCTTCCGTCAAAGTACATCCCGTATGCTAGCCTGCAAACTATCGTCGATCTCAAGACCATGTACCCCCACTGTGTCCGTGGAGGCACTTATGGCAACGAAACCGTGACCAAGTTCAACACCACAATTTATTTCCCAGAACAACTTACCAACGAAAACACCTCGGTCGCCTTGTCTGGAGTGCACGGCGGGAGAATCTTTGATCTGCACGCCGGGCCGTTGCTTCACAGCGCAAAGGGGGATCTCAATTATCAAGAATTTGTAAAATGGGGCAAGGAAGATGTCTGGGTGAACACAATGGCGTATGAGGACTGGGAGGCCTACCCGCGGTCAATCTACTCTGCTGGGAATAACCCGGATGGTTGCCCGAGTTTGGGTTTCACCTTTGGCGAGTTCGCCCCTGGGAGTAACAACACAACGAACGTGACAACGGGTGTCTGTGATCAGCTCGTAGAGGAGGTCATGACTGATGCCACATTCCTCCTCCCTGGTCTAGAACTTGACACGGCTCATCCTCCGGTACCAGATGAGTCGACAGCTCATGTGTTGGATAATGGTCGTGGGTCTAACACGCACCAATACCGACCACAATATCATATTAGTTCCGCCACGGTTTACTTCGTCAACGACATGAGGAATTATACCGATATCTTCTATCAAACGGTGGTGTACGGCCTGAATGCGGTGCCAGTCTCAGAACTGATGGGTTCAGCTAATATTCCTCGTCTTTTCAAAGCCATCAACGATTCTTATTCCAAATACATGGCGCTGGCAATCTCGCTGAACATGCGCCAGGCAATGAATCAAACAGACCAAACAAACGCATCGTCCCTCGCGATCGCCGGACAGAATAAGGATACGACCTATTCTGCTCTTGTTGTATCGCCTGCCTCCCGTCTAAAGCAGGACCGTGCTTCCAAAATTGCGCTACAGATTTTGCTCGCAATTTCCTTTTTGTGCACTGCGATTGCATGCCTCCTCGCCTGGAAGCCAGTCCGCTTAATGCATAATCCAGCTCCGATTGCGGGAGCCGCCAGTTTGGTGGCAGGCAGTGAGCTGTGTACGCGCAAGTTCCTTCCTGAAGGTTCGGAATGGATGAGCGAAAAGGAGATGCGTCGGCAGGGCATATTTTCAGGGCTCATGTTCCGATTGGGGTGGATTAACCAGGAGGATTCTGGAAAGGAGAGATATGGGATCGATATTGTGGATAATAGGGTTGCATAACTTGCGTGTTGTATATATCGCACTTGTTAATAATATAATGATACGCTAATAATGATAGACCAGCTATTGAACATTCTTTCCAGTGGATGATACTATCTTAATAAAATCCACCATTGCATTCCTGCCCTCCATCTTCATCGGTGCTTCTGTATGCATCGCCCCGAGTACATCTTTCCTCTCAATGTCTAGTCCAAGACTGTTTGCCTTGTCCTCCAATTGACCGGCCACATATGGCGGAATCACCTCATCCTTTTCAGCAGAGACTATAAGTATTGGAGGAACAGATGATGTTGAGCTTGTGGCTTCGGTACTCATTTGATGCTTATTCTGATCACGAAGAACGGCCAAACGCTCCAAGGCCGTCGCATTGCACCAGTTATTCCACGAAAAAGGCCACAGATATCGATACGGTAGCCACTTCTGAGGATAGAGACTGATTAGCATGTCCTTGATGTTGGACGTTGGTGCCTCCATAATCAACCCGGTTATTTGTGCCGAGCTACTGTTTCTTGGTTTTGAAGCGTGGTCGACCTTGTGACGCGAGAGATACGTGGAAACAGCATCACTTGCAACGGCAGAGCCCAGACTGTGGCCCCAGAGAATGATTTCAAGGTCTGTATCAGGCGCCGAATAGGTTTCTGACACCCAGTCCAAGAACGCTTGGGTGTCTAGCTTGATGCCCGACTCCGTCGCGCGGCCAGAGGAAGTCCAATAACCCCGATACGACAAGGCGGCTATGGTGTAGTCCACATTGGATAAGGATTGCTGTGATGATGCAGTGACCGCCCGCAAGAACTGGGAGAGAAGTGGCAGACGCAGAGGAGTTGATCCGCTGTTACCTTGGAAGTAGCAGATGACGACGGATTGTTTTCTCGCCTTGGTCGTTCTTTGGCTTTGGCCACGGTGTGGGATGTGGCCTTCACATACGGCCAGTTTGGTGCCATCAAGGCTCCGAATCTGCTTCTTCTCCCATTGCACAGGCCTACATTCGGTCTCGTAGCTGGCAATCTCATCGGAGCGGGAAAACGGTGGCAACCATGAAAGGTACAAGAGCTTGTTTTGCAGGGCAATGATCCAGAAGCATTTCCAGGCCCATAGAGACACCAACAGTCCGACAAATATGACTGGAGGAACTAAGATAGTCGGGATGGCCGCGGTGGTTAGAGTGCGCGGTCGCGGATGGTTCCGGTGATGCTGCGCGATGATGCTCTTTCTAGGATTGGATGCACGATGGTGAAAACATCTCAACAGTCGGTTTGTTTGTACGGTCGGTTTGGTCCAGGTTACTCTGGACGGACTGCGCAAGACGCGCTCCAAGGTCCATCTTCGCAGCATCAAAAAGAAATAAGCGGTTGTTGAAGGAAACAGAAGCCAAAGTTGCGATCGTTGAAAGTTCACGTGATGCAGTGACACAGACCACGTGATGCATATTGTTGAGTCACCTGGTTGGTCCTGCTTGAGCAGAATGAGCAGGAACTCAATGATATTTCCAGGTGATAAAGTGTAATATTAGTGAATGTGCTATCATACTAAGTGCAGGTTTAGTGATGACACTGAATACAATGTGTTGATCCGATAACAATGACTGGTACTAGTATGGTTCGTGTGTAAGTATATATTGTTATATCTTGCTTGTTGTACGCCATGTGCTTCCTTCAAGTCCACACAAAAGCACCGCGTCTATCGGACAAAAGCAAGCTGAATCTCGTTTAGAGCTTCACTGGATACTTTTCCCGGATGAGCTTTCCATACTTTGTGAAGATGATCGGCACCGGGACAAAAGCCAAAGCCAGAAACCCCAGCAGCGAATTCCCCCATCCCAGACCAAGATTGCCAAACAGTTTGGGACCAGCCAGAGGAAGGAGAGCTCCGAGAAGGGACCGAGCGGCAGTCAAAGTCGCATTGGCCGAGGCTGCATATTCGGGGTAGCAGTCGATGGCATACGTGAGAATCAACAGATAGATGCCGACTGCGCCAATGCCAAAGGGCAGCATGCCGACGATGGGCACAATCCAATGTACATGTTGGTCAGCTGTCCATCCATACCAGAAGAAGCTGATGGGCAGGATACACGAATAGCAGATCAGCGCTGGCAGCCGCATCTCGGGCTGGAAGTTGCCTCCATTGCGGGATGCCAGTTTCACAGCCACTTTGTCGTTCGTGAGAGCGACCCCAGCAAGGCCGATGAAAAAGCCAATGCCGATGCCGAGATAGGCCAGACCAGAAAGCTGTGTAGAGAAGCCGTAAATGGTTATGAAAACAGTGGTGATGGTGGTGAGGAACAGGTAGAGCAGGGCATATACGAGAGCCATATATATGGCCAGGAGATCTATGATCGGCGACTTGGAGAGAAGAACAGCCGGCCGCCTGAAGCCCTGCTTCAAAGCCCGGGAAATCGATGTCTTTTCGCCGCGTTGAAGCTCGTACGCGCTCTGCAGGTCGGGTCGATTCAGTTTCTGTGCCAACCGGGTTGTTTTCCTCTGAATGAGGACGGGGGCGTATGTCTCTCGATTGAGAAACTCCATGGCCAGTGCCGTAGCGCCCCCTGCGATCAACAACACCCAAAATACCCAGCGCCAGCCGACCTGTTGGCCAATAAATCCCCCGCAGATAGGTCCAACAACCGGACCGACCGTAGGACCAACGCTCCAGATGGACGTTGCCAGCGCTCGTTTCTCGATGGGGAAGAGGTCTGAAATCACGCCCGCACCCAAAGTGAGACAGCCAGCGCCCCCAACTCCAGTAAACAGTCGGAACACCGTCAGACAAGCAATGTTTGGGGCGAGGGCACATCCAATCTGCCACAGAACAAAGAACCAATTGCTGGAGCTGACCACGACTCGACGACCGTAGACTTCGCTCAACGGAGCCAGAAAAAGGGGACCAAACTATGGGAATATCTGTTAGGCAGTAAACAATGATTCGCAGCTGGTAGAAGAACTTGCCACATAGCCTAGAAGATAGATGCTGACGGTAAAGGAGAGCAGCGTCTCGTTCCTTACTCCAAAGTCTTTGCCCATGTAGCCCACGGCAGGGGACAGCATGCTCGATGCCAAAGGAGTCAGGAAGGTTATAAAGCTGATGAGCACGAGTAACGCCCATTTGCGAGCTGGCGAGAAGTTCTGCGGATTTCTCGGGTCGTCCTGGCCATCCCATCCCACGATACCACGGTCGATGTCAGTCACAGGGAATAGCGTCTTCTCTAGGCTAGGTGGCTCGGCGTATTCCTTTGTCGAATATATACTTGAGGCTTCCATCATAACAAACCGACTCGACAAAGGTGAACACGATAAATGGATTATGAGGGCGGGGAAACAGGTAGGAGGTCATTTGGTTATTGTTCAGCTCACCCGGAGCGCTATCATAATTATAAATGAAATCAATAAACCGAGAAGCTGTATTATACCTGTATGTCATCTATGCAGTTCAGGATGTAGATTCATGGACCATGTTGCTTAGCCCCTTGCTTGCCTCTGTGGCTTGCGCGGTGTGTTGCACAGCTGCAGTGTTATCTCGAGAGCACTTCTACTCGTGTAGACTTGCATATATTTCCCACCACATGGCCATTGATGGTGGCTTTGACGGTATTGTGCAGTGACACCAGCATTATCAATGCCATTGATAGGTGGTACATGTACTACAGTGGAATAATGACTGCCTTCCACATGAATGTCCACGCTTTGTCTGACAAATTCCCACTATCCAATCAGGGATTGTTACCTATAAGTCTGAATATGAATCCTAAGGTCTATTAGCATAGTACATTATGAATTGGCATTTATATCACAATCACATGATCTTGTTATATGTTTAGGGAACGTTGAAAACTGTAACTTCTTGGATGGTGAAAGTGCTTTGATAGAAGATCATCAACTTCATCCTTGATGACATCTTTCCTCGTCACCTGAGTCCAGTCAATAGCTAGGCAGGAATTACGAGACATTGACAAGCCTCATTTGATACTGAAAGGTGCACATTAGCCAGCACTACCTGCTGTTGCACAAACTGAACAGCTTCAAGAATATCGCTCTTTGATCTAACCATGGACGCAATGACACGTCTGCCATTATCCATCAGCTGAAGTGGATGGGGCCGAACACGTTGATCAGGAGGTGGGACCCCAACACAGACAAGCCCATATTAAAGGTTTCATGGGCTTGAACAGCTCCTGTGACAACCAAGATTCCCACAGCGCTACTGCCCCTGATAATATCCATGCCAACGCTGAAATATCTTCAACTGTAGAAATATCGAAAAATGCCTCTGGTTGTAACCGGACACAATATTCTTTCTTGAGTTTCTCTGGATCAATAGGTAGCTAGAACCCTATACCCCATGGCACGAGTATACTGAACCCCTAAGGCCCTAACTCCTCCAGCTCCCAGAATGGCAACTCACTGGCCTGGAGTAGCACTGCAGATACTGAGCGCTGTATAGGCTGTCACAACAACACACGTAATAGAAGCCAAGTGCTCATCTGGCAGTCCTTCGGGACGTGCTACCATGTGTTGGAATGGGATAATGGTATATTAAGCAAATGTGCCATCCTGCACAGCATATTTCCCCACCGTCATGGAGGCACATTTTGCAGTGGCCACAATTGCTGCGACCCACGAAACACCGACTCTTTGTTCGATTTGAACTGATAAGCGTCAAAACCTGTACCTAGCTGAATAACACGGCCTTTTACCTCGTGGCCTAGGATAGAGCGCCATAGAGTGATCTTTCCAGCGGCCATAGCAAAATTCGTTCCACATATTCCTGTTACTGATAGTTTCACCAAAAGATCAGTGAGGCCGAGTTCGGCAAGAGGGACCTCTAACGAGGGAATTGGTCGTTGCTTATAGTTACCATGATTGAGCACGAACCGCGTACAGAAATAGAGGCCGTATCTGGAAAATTGCGGCTTGCTGGAGTTTGGGGCTACTCATGCCGAGTAATTTGAATAAACAAGGACAGAAAAGTTCTTGATGTCAAACTCAGTCGAAGCTATAACGCAATGAACAAGGCATCAACACAAATCAATTCCTGAATCAATTATTATCGGTTAGTCACACGGCCTGTCAACTGTCGTGCCCTGTGGAGTTACCCAATCCGATATAGGTTGAGCGATGACTCGGCAGATATACATCCCCGAGCGAGGAATTAGGTGGAAGACAAGTGTTGACCATGAAGAGTATCTGTATAAGACTTCCTGATACGAATGCGTATACAGGTACCAAAGCCTCGGTAACTCAAGGTCTTCGCATTGTATGATCAGATTATAGATCTGTTGCGAGGAATAAAATGAACAACTGCAAATTAAAATAAATAAATGTACGATTATCTATGTTTCTAGTTGTGTATATGTATCGCCTGGGTGCTGACAACGAAAACAGGGCCTGTCGACCCCATTCACCACCAACTCCACTTTTCTTATGCCCCGAGAAGTATGCAATCGGGTTTGGCTTCTCACAACTGTTGATTCGGAGAATTCCACCCCCAGTCTGCGCCCAAGACGTTCAGCGTCAGCAGCATTCCTGGCCCAAACACACGCCTCGAGCTTCACTCGGCGAACAACCTCGTCTTCATCTCTTCAGGATAGAATCGGAACTATAGTTGGTATAATGAAGAGTCTTTCAGTTGGCGCCGAGTGCCTGAAAGACCTCTGGGGGGGAAATTCTTCGAGCCAGCTCAGCAATTCTAAGATGCTGTAAGGGGTAAATGGCGGGGGCTTCACGATGATGCCGTTACCTGTCACCAGCGCTGCAGTAATCCTGGCTACTGCAAGCACCAATGGAAAGGTCCATGGAGAGATCGCGCCCACAATCTCCAGCGAAGTGTGGGTTTTGACAATCTAAGGCTGCATCCTCGTGGATAACCTCATCTGCGAGCTCCTGATTTGCTGTTTGAATGAGCCAACAATGCATTTGATGGTTCAAATCAAAATGACTTGCCGTTGAATGCGAGAAGCTCAATGCTATGATGACTGTTTCGGAAATGAATCCCTTCTTCGCTTCCAATGCCGAAACAAGTCGTCGAAGGACAATTTGACGTTCGACTACCGATGTATTCGACCAGCGCTGGGTGCGATGCCCAATTCCCTTGGACCTGCGACTGGAACCTCCCAGAGTCGATCATTTGTTCTGGGTCCCTTTGACAGTCAGAATGCTCGCTACCTATCAGCTTCCCATCAATGACGTGGCGGAAGGAGAGGTTCGTCGTGTCGAGTGGAGGTGTGCTCATGATGGCGACAGCTACGTTGATCTTCCCGTAGCCATAACATAAGAATACAGCCCAAGATTATTTTATCAGGAAGCAGCATCCCGTGAGAGGTTGAACAATTTCAAATCTTTATGACTATCTGCGGACTTACGGACCTACGGATTTACGGAGATGCGGGGTGGGCGAAGTCCGATAGAACGGAGCAGAGCCACATTCTGGCCGAGTCTTTGCTATCTCTGTTCCGATTAGGCGTTTCTCGCAAAGGACTTGATAGCTACAAAGAGAAGAAAGAAGATGGTCGATGGTCGAAAGACTGCCCCTCGGTGACTCACTTGTATACATGACGTCAGCTCTATTTTGGGCATCAGGAGGGGAATCTCACGTGACCATGGACAACTCATCAGCATTTCGTGCCTGGCGATTCACCGCTGGCAAGCCACACGCCTTATCGCTGTTTCAGAAATCATGAGGCGGGACAGCAGGCAGCCACTGTGAAGGCCCTGCAGCGCAATTGACATTGCTGCGTGGCGCCAGCAGGGGTTCTCGACGTGTTATCGCCCGATTTAAGTATGGCACCGAGGGGAATGCCTGGATCCAGCCTCGACTTTTGGCTGCGATGGTGCGTGTTGTTCGCTGTTAGGTCTAGTCATAGCCTCACTGTAGCTCTGCCATGTCCCAAAATGACTATGAAAAGGAGAAGCCCGCCGTGATGGCTGGGGCAGATCATCTGTTCCTTATATATATTGCCTGAAGACATGCATACTCTTTTTGCCGGACTTTATCACGCATTCCGGCAGGTGTTCAACCCCAACCACAACATGGATTTGTTTCGCAGACTGGGTGAATGCCGCGAGACTCGCAACGCGAGGAGGCACATTGAGCGAATCCGAAGCGATAAAAAACGTCGCGATGATGACTTGAAAGAAAGTCAGGACAAGTGAGTGTTTCCCGCAGTCAGTACAGTATGAAGGTATTAACCGATCAAGTCTTTCTAGCCACACACCCACCCACATCCTCCACCATCTCATCCAAAACGCCGACGACACAGAATACGACTCCGTCAAGTCAACCCTTACCTTCACATACAAGAAAGGCCACCTTCGGATCGACTGGAACGGCCGCGGACTCTCGTCCCAGGATATCGACGCACTCTGCCACCAGCACAGCGGACTCCGATCCGTCTTCAACATCGCCGACCAGGCCTGGATCCGGTCCAGGAAATACTCGTTCAAGCTCAACCGACAGCTGATTCCACAATGGGATTCTTTCCCAGAACCCTCATCCCACCGGGGTACTTCGATGTACCTTTCGTTATCCGACAAGGACTCAGAGCGAGAGATGGTTGAACAGCTGCAAGCCATCGATCCCAAGATCCTGATGCTTCTGCGGAATATTAGGCTGCTTAGAATCAGCATCACTCAAGATGACGGCACTGTCGAGGAACGCGACCTGCAACGACAGGATGACCATTCCCCAACGGACGGACACTATACCACGACTCTCAAGTCCGACGGCTTTTCGGAGAGATTTCTCGTCTTCCAAGATACGAGGGAGTCGACTGAAGGTCCAGAGACCCAGCTAGCCTTTCCCATTGACAGTGATGACCAGCCCTCTGTCGACACGCAAAAGGTGTACACATTATTCCCAATCCAAGACTGTGGCATCAAGGTTCGTACACAGCTCCTATATCTGCATTGCTTCAGCTAACATACCATCAGTTTTGCATCCAAGCAAACTTCTCGATCATTCCCAATCTTGTCGACCTCTGGTCCGATTCCAAGGACACCCTCTTTTGCAACATCCTCAGTGTCTTTGAGCATGCAGTCGATTACTTCTTGGCTCATGATCAATATCGTCTGACATGGCTGAAGTACCTCTCATTCGGTCCTCACCAGCAAGAGTTCTTCAAGCAACTCGAGGACAGCATCATGCAGCGTCTCCGCGCGAAGCCCATACTCCGGTCAGAAACGGGCGATTTGGCCATACCTAGCAACCTCTTCTACGTCCCCTCTCATTTCAGAGGAGACAATGGAGCGCCACTCACCCTCTGCGATGCCACCGCATCGATGTACCTGTCACGGGAATACTCGCCTAGTGACTGGCCACTCCTGGAGAACCTTGGTGTCCGTCTTCTGCGCGTCGGGGACTTTGTGGATCAGCTTTCGGATGCACATGTGTTCCACCAAAATCATGAACCGGAAGCGACGCAGTGGCATATCCGTGTTGCGCGAGCGATCGTTCAACAAAGCGATCGTGAGGTATGCATACCCAGGTTGCGGCAGTTGTCCCTCATCCCTCTCCACAATGGGAGATGGGCCTCAGCCGTTGAAGGAAACCTGTTCCTTCCATCAGCCCTTTGTCATTCTATACCAGAAGGATTCGACGCCTGGGAAGTGGACTCTGCAGTTACTCTTGACCAAGACAGAATGCATCTCATGCAACTTCTCCACGTCAGACCGTTTGATGCAACAGCGATTCAGCAAATTGTCGCTGAGAAACTCGTCATGCCGGAACAGGCAATGACTCTTTCCGAGGAGCAGCTCATTAAAGCAGCTGTATTCCTTTTCGTCACTGGATGGAGCAACACAGACGCGGCTGATCCTCATGTCGCCACGGACCAAGACAGTCGACCTCGTCCTGCATCATCTGTTTATCTGCCTTCCAAATCGCCGTACTCGGCAAGTGAATTGCTGAAGCAGCGCAACGGCTCTTTCTTTCTGAAGGAAGCCTACTTTTCCGCTGGTGTTACGGACGAAGTTGGGTGGAAGACATGGCTGTCTACCAACTTTGGTTTGTCGGAAATCCCAAGATTGCAGGCAGAATCTGCAGAGGGGACTGTCTCTCTCTCCATCGACTTTGCATTTCTTGTCCACAATGCTCGCCCGGTGGACTGGTTGCGGCTCTTGAAGATCCACCATGTTCAAGATGACTCATACTTGAAGAATGAGAATATTCGGACAGCCTTGCAATCGGTCAAGGTGCCTTGCCATGGAGGCGGAATGCTCCCTCTTGGTGATACGTATCTTCCATACGCAGACTTTCTTGGTCATGGAACATCACCATTCCTCCAGATCCCCTTGGACGATGATTGGTCTTTTCTCGAGCTACTGGGTGTCTCAGTCAAGAGAGATATCGGTTTCTGTACGCGGCTGCTGAAGCATGTTTCTGGGGGCGATCCTTCTCAAGTACGACTTGACGCGATTTACAGTGATATCGCACGGATGTCTGATGGACTGGGTGACTCGATTAGGTAGGTCTCGTTTTGACCAGCTTTGCATTCATGCTAATATCCCCTCAGGCACGACTTCATCCAGAACGACCTGATCTATATTCAGGTCGACGGGGCGCAAGGTCGATGGGTCTCACTCTCCGGCTGTGTCTGGGAAGGTCCAGATAGCCTCTTCCAAACGCCCCGGCTCGAGAAAATATATCCCAGCCAGGCTCCACTGTTCAAGGACATCCTCCTAATCCAAGATGCTACACCTGAAACACTTCTTCGTGAGATTGACGGCCTGGTGCCTGGCAGCGAAAATCCTCACGTGTTTGCCTTGCTGCGGGATGTGGATACATTGCTTCAGCAGTCCAACATCTCTTTGCCTTATCACCAATTCCAACACCGAAAGATCTTCCCCGTGGTTGATGTGAACGGAACTTGCTCCATGAGGAGTATGGATGACCAGTCCGACTGGTTAATCGCGGACCGCGAATACTACAGACGTGCTTTCGACCGGCAGGTTCCGTTGCTTGCACTTCCCGTTGACGCGATCTCGAATCTTCCTACCTTGACAAGCTTGTGGAGGCTCGATAACCGAGTTGTGTCAGCCAGATTGGGATATGAGATCGACCATTGTGATGAAGGCGCCCTGGAGCAGGATTTCAGCGACCGTATCCGCGAGAAGATTGGGCTCATTGCTCGGTATGTGAACATCCAAATCGTATTCCATTAGGAACGAAAAACACTAACAGATACAGGTTGGTCCCCGAGACCGAATCAGTGACTGATAAAATCGAATTGCTGCTGAGGACAGATATTTACCGATCTGACGAAATCACCATTCGATGGATTATTCAAACCCAACACTCAACTGTCAAAAGTAACGCAATGCCCGGCCATGCACACGCCATACAGCAGAACGGAGGGATCCGCATGTATCTACACCAGGACCACCTCTCCCGTCAGTCTCTGCCTCTCGAGTTTTTCGAAGAACTCGAGTGGCTCCTCAAGGTTGACCCGAGAAATCGACATCTCCTGCAGTTGATCATCAATCACCCTGACCAAGGATATCTTCATGATACCCTGGACCAGAAAGGGGTCCCGAGATCCAGAATGGCAGTTGTAACATTATTAGAAGGTATGTTTGGCGAAGATTGCTTGTCAGATGAGGTCAGATGCTAACATTGTTCAAGAAGGACCCGATATCTTTTGTCAATATCAGACTCCAGCTGGAATGGATCTGGATGGTGACTCCAGTGCCTCATCGGTTGCTTCCTCGAGACCTCAAACGCCAGAAGACGATGGCAACTTCGTGGGTCCTTCGTCTGGAATCGATGCTCGAGTAAAGCACGCTGTCGAAGATGTACCGGAGCCGAGTGCGACGCCTATAGAGTGATTGGAATCCAAACTGTGTATTACAAGATTGATAGAAACATGCGAATATGAGTAATGAAATGCCTATGGCCAGAAAATATTCTATTGACACCAACTTAAAAGGAAACAGAACGTGGCTTAAGATAATAGCCAAGTGGATGCCTCCATACCGACTCATCCCAAAGAATCAACAGGAGCCTCCCAGCGCATCACGGTCATAACATGTGGCTCAGTCTGACCGAAACGACGCAGGTCTGTCTCAACAACTTCAAAATCCACAAATCCATTCTTTTGGTAGACGATATACCCTGCCCGGCTTGACACCAAAAACACAGGAAGGTCGGCATCTTTTCCCGCTTCCAAGAGCAATCGAACGAGCATTGCGGCAGCTCCTCGTCGCTGATGCTTAGGCTCTGTTTGAAGATTGGACAGATCTAAAACAATGAACACAGATCCATCAATACAAACACTCTACTTACAGATACACGGCTTTCCAGTAATCACCCGGTTGATCAAACTATCTTGTCCTCCAAGTATCAACTTGGCAACGTCGATATCCATGCCTGGTACGTCCATCTGTCGCGGAGGACGCTCCGGGAAGCCCTCGGGGCATATCTGCCACTTCGCCCAGGCTATTGTGGCATCATCGCCAGAGAGCTCACTATCAACGACCTTGAAAAATTGAGAGATGCTCTCTTCATCAAAAGCCTTTTCCATCTCATTTTCTCGAATTGATCGAAAACCGGCAGAATCTGACGAGGGGAATAACACACGGTTGAGCGGGTTATCTGCATACGCGAGGTTCTCAATCTCTATGCACCGCGGAATGTCGGATTTGGTCATTGGCACAATTGATAGAGACATTTTGATGTTGGGATTTGTAATGCAATATAAATAAGTAGGTTGCTTGGTTTTACATTATGGCATGCTACAAGACTACCATACATATATATCCAGCTTAGTCTTCAGGCAACCCTTTTTGCTGAATGGTTGTTTCAGTGAATATACTAATTATGAGTCACTATGCGCTAAAATCTGACAGTAGCTTTAATGTTGTATTTCCTGGTGTTCAATACAGCCTAGAATGATGAAATTGCCACTCAGATCATGCAATGGCCTGTTCCGGGCCAGCAATATGGCAAACTATTTACCTTTTAATGGTGTCCAAAATGTAATTCCTCGAATCAAAGACAACGTAGTCATTTCGATCTGATGGTTAGCTCAACAGTATCAGGATCAAATTTGTTGACTGTAGACATATGCCAAGATAGTCCAGGCAACAGAGTAAGACAGTCACAGCGAGATAAGTGATTCAGATATGCGCATGTCTCAACCTGCCACTAGCAAAGCCCATTTCTCAGGACAGATAGAGGCGTTGAACGAAGAGGTGGGATACATGGATAGAGGTCGCTTTGTATTCCTACACCGGGTAATTACTCCACTTCTGATATAACCAACAGTAATCCCTGGTGGTGATTGGAATTGCAAATTCAATCTTATCTCCCCGACTGGGAAATTCAGTCTCAGGTGTGGACGTAGTTATCAATTTTTAGGGTTAGGCCCAATCATCATGCGACCCCTGATTGTCATGATTGGGCAATCTGGAATCGTCATGTTGAAACTACTATAGAACCATTTGCCGATCGAGATATTCGATCTGTAGGCCCTTCGCGGAACGGTGGATCAATGAATATGTCCTCATAAGCGATCGAGCCGGTTCGGTCACGCAAAAACTCAAACTGCTGCTTAGTGATCTTCGCGGTGTTGATGCCCTGGGTGAAGAAGTTGTTGTATCAATAGGTCCAGTACCTGGTATTTCTCAATAGATCTTTGCTGGGAGACAGAAACGGACTATGGGTGTCTTCAATAAAAGTAGTTGGCAGATGGAATAACCCACGCTGTGAACAATGGCGAAAAATCCGAGACCTACACGACTCTCAACCTGGAAATGGTTCTACCAATGATTTATCGATGCAAGGAATAGATGCTTTAATGGTGCCTTGCCTGGCCAAAATGAATATTTCTTATTATATAGTCGAATGGAGTACGACCAAAATGTCCAATCTGAAAGTGTAGTAGTGTCCAAAGTTGCAAAGACAATCCATCAATCGACTAATCCTAATAAAACAGTTTTTAACAGTGAGAATGACCTTTTTGTTAATACAGGAAAGTTGGGCATTAAAATCTCTTAAAAGCGAGTAGCTGTCAAGGACTTTGGACTTGCTCATCTAATAGATTCATTCTAATCGATGCTTGAGATTTGATATATTCTACCACCCTCAGGGCCATGTCCTTCAGATAGGCTTTGCTATTTCTACCATCGCCACTAGCCTATGATTTCCGCAGCCGGTGGCTCTCGTGGAAGAAATCATGGTAATGGATAGGCTTGTAGATGGCGTTGTGGACAACACAACAGCACCTCTAGTTATCATAACCATGGGGCTTCTGGTGATTGATAAAGGCTCCTATCAGAAAAAGTAGTAATGGCCTAATTACTCACTGGCTCTGATTCATTTATTATAATATTGTCGTTGCTCAAAGCTGTTTTTATGACAGGTGTTGCAGATGGCAGAAGCGCAGCTGGTAGATTAGTTTGATTATTCCCATAACTATCACAGATTGTTCGCCTAAATCACATGATATAGAGATTCAAAGAAAACTAGGGTACAGGTTGTCTAGCGAGGTGTACAATATACATAATTCATCCGGTAATAAGAAACTCCGTATAGTGTAACTCCAATGTGCTGTTTGGCGTGCATGCAGCAGGCTAATCAATGAGTATTTAAATTTCTTTTGATCCTGGAAGCCTTTATTTACCCAAGCCCAGTTTATACGTCAGTTGATCGACCAAGTCGCTCCTCCTCCCAATTATATGTTCAATGCATCCCTCTGATATCACTCATCTCTGTTCTTCTCATCAAAACATATACACAAGGCGGCGATCAATGCTCCGTCCACACCGGGTGCAACCACAGCGGCATAGGTCTCCTGGCCAAACAGAATCTCTCGGCCGTCAAACAGCTTTCGGCCGAGGCGAGCCACAGTTTGGCCGCTGTTTTGATCAACAATATCGGCAGTACGATCACTCCAATTCCCTTTCATAAGCAAAGTGACTTCCTTGCCGTTGAGACCAGTGAAAGTGGCCGTGGCTTTGGATCCGAGCACTACTGCAATTAGTAATTTTATATTTTGGAGCAGGAACCAAAGTGCTTACAGGCGAAGCCACTCTTCACTTCAGCAATCTTGTTGCCATTCGGGTCTTTGATCGCGTAGGTCGTGTGGAGATGGAAATGCTCCTTGCCAATATCAAACAAGTGATTACCGTAAGCATCCTCCACCGATTTCCGATCAGAAAGTGACATGACTGATCCCGTCACTTTTAAAAACACTTGTCCATTGGCCAATTTAACATCAAAGCTATCCCCAGAGAGGGAGAATATCTTTTCTTTCAAAGCTAAGGTCTGCTGCTCCCTTGAGACAAACTGGCCGAATATTCCAATAGGCTCAGCGACAGGATCGAGATAGTGGATAGCCATGTTGATAGAATATGATAGGTTTAATCCAAACCTGCAAATATTTTTAATTGAAAAATTACTGCACAGAAATCATTAAAAGGGCAGACCCAAGGGGAAGTTTATAGTCCATCAGTTTGACAATCAATCCATCACTTTGGCTGAGCTTAGCCACAGCCTTGAAAGCCTTCCATAAATAGGTGCAAAAACGGGATAAGCGGACGATGAGGCTGTGTAAGAGAGAGGGTCTATAATTAAAGGTGCTGTAAGCCACACTAGTGGCGGGGGCTGAATTTTGGAACTTCTTAACCGCGCATCCTTCTAACTGTAGTAGTTAAGGTATTGCCATCACCCATAAAAGCTTAGCTCCATGATGAGCACAAAGCACATCAGCACCGCAGCAAGAGGTGCCACTAGCAGTAATGTATGAGTGGCAGTGCATTTCATGTGCGTGAGATGGATGGTGATTGACGCTCTGAGTGTACCAGCGTAGTTGCCTTTTTTTAGCTGTGAGATACCAGAGATGATAGTGAGGCATGATTGTGGTATTATGAATCGATGTGGGTGGGGTATGGACAGTGGGCTCGCGGAAATCGTGAGCCAGCTCTGACGTCTCGAAAAATACAGCATAGTGTCTAGTATTGACAGGAACATGTCTACTTTAAATTAATGGTATTAGAGTTAGTAGAGCTCAAGGAAGGGGGGAGCTACATTTCTACTATATTAAAGGTATATTTTTCGGCAAAGCCAAGATGCACAAGGCGAGCAATATCAGGTCATCCTAATGGCTTCGACGCGACGGGAAAGCCGCATAAGCGGAGCATAACTCATCTGATTTGAGATAAGATGAATCATAGGATAAAGAAAATTAATCAAAATATTCATACTAATAGCTAAGCTACTGACATGATTAAATATAAAAATAAAGTCTGATGACTTGGTGATCTATGAAATTGAGGGTCGGTTTAGCTCCAGCAATCCACGGCACGAATGCCTTTTATTTTCAGGGAATGCGATCGCCCGGCTTTCCTGAGGGGGTATGCCAAAGTACTGAACATATGGTACAGCCCGCCAGAGCTTTCATATAAGTATCTCTATAAATGAAAGAAAGGGTGCACTGATGGCTTATAACGCTCTCACACTATCGTGATTTTGTGCGGTTGGATAGCAAATGTCCTCAACAGTCCTTAGATATAGTCTTGGTGGTGAAGATGGCCTTTCAATCCAATACTGGACTCGATCTAAAGTGTGTCGTGTGCGCCAGTGGGGATTATCGATCATCCGCAAATGACTTGGCAGGGGGGTAGGCAGCCGTTGAATGGCCTTATCAAGCCTGGATCGATACCGTGCAATACTTGCAGAATTTTCAGAGCCACCATGCTCAAGGTCTTCGAAGAGTGGTCGAAGATTTATTTCTGTTGGTGCCTTAATAAATACCCATGACCAGTCCTCATATGGCGATATCCAGTCTGTATCAGGATCGTACTGGTCTGTATCAGAGGGTACGAACCACGGCCCAACAAGGACTAAACTCTGCAGTTTAGGGCAATGCTTTATCAGAAAGGCCACCGTGTCAAGCAACATAGGCTGATTGCTGGCATTTAGGACAATATGTCGGATATGCATGAGCAAGTCATACTGCTCCGCGGCTTGCAGTAGGAGGCTGCGATCTGCTTGGGTGTCTCGCACAAACAAGAGGTGCCGGCTAAAGTCAAACCATCCGAGACCGTCGATGACTGTATGTGTTCGGTGCATGATCTGGTAGGCTTCATGGTTGGCTTGGCTGATTGATTTGCGGTCGGGGGTACCGACAAGTTTGATCTTTTTGCTGATCCGTTCCAGCCTACTGGACAACCAGTCGGATGTTAGGGCGATATGCCAGATATAATGCCGGATCTCAGGTGGGAGCAATGGAAAAGGGGCGAATATGTTCATTGTTGTTTAGTGAGGTTTGTGATGATTTAACCCCACCCACCTAAAGCCGTTCAGATTTCTTCTTCTGGGTCCGTGACACTAGTAACTTTATGGTTAGTCTAGAATCGAAGCTTCTGTGCAAACCAATAAAACATTCCACAGTTAACTGTTTCTTCCCAAATTCGAGCTATCTATATGGGATTTTATTTCCCGGTTTTCCATTTAATTAAAGCTCTACAGTTCTCAGCTTTAGATTCTTTGCTGTCAGTAATTGACAATATTTTCAGGCCACCATCTAGATGGTTACAGAAGGCCAGGTTCTCAGTGAGGGTATCGCTTAAACCTTTGGCGAAAGTCATACCACACATATGGCTTATTGGGGGCAAGGTAATCAGAATTTGGACTATTATTTTCCGAATATGTATATGGCGATTGGACGTCTGATGTTCTCCTGTAAATTTCACATTCATTGCACTGATTGACATCCCCGCATGTAGGGAGACGACAATTATCAGCAAAATCTTCTCGCTAATAAAGAAAAATACAATGGAAACATCACAAATGCATTTATAATGAACGTTTATTTGGTGTCTACAGGGAAAGTCAGAGTGCCATTTTTGGCTCAGCAATACGCTTAAACAACTCAACACCCCGGCCCGTCTATAGAGCCCACCACGAGAGTTCCAGCTTGCAGTAAGAAAAGACAAGACAAGTTATCGAAGATCCATTTTTCATGCCCATGCCTTATTCGACCTTGAAGGATTATGACGAAGCAGCGACTGCGGCGCGTTATGAGCATGAGAAAGCCATCAAATCATTTCTTGGCACCTTCTTAGATACTCAAAGATGAATTAGCAAAATTTCGAAGAGACCATCCAAGCATCCCCACTGGCATATGAGCTCTACCCCATGGCCAGTTTTGACTACATATTAGCAACTTCAGCAGTTCGAGTCTCTTACATCTTTGGTTCAATCTGATCACTCTGACTCAAATGTTCAACTTCTTAGTCGTGTTCTGGAAAACGTATTGGGGTTCATAAATTTAAATAAATTTAATCGCTTGTATCGAAACGGGGACCTTAAGGTTTGAAAAGTACACAGTTCATGCCATCATTCAGCAAGCCCAAGGTGCTCATAATACCCATTATGTTGATTTTTCAAAATGTCTACCCAGACAGGTATTTTCCCAACATTGCTCCTAGAACCAGAGAGCTTTCGAAACATGGGAGGCTCTATATTTATGGGGTCTGTATTGGTATTTAATTCTGTTATGGTTAGGGTCCTGTTCCACTTAAGGAGATCTTAGGCATCAAATTTGGGATGCAAGCCATCTATTCTTAGAGATTTATCCACCATATAATCCAGTTAGAAAGATGGCTAGATACTATTTTATATAATGCAGCCTTCATTAGTATTCATGAGTGGCTGAAATTAATAAAAATGCACTTCAGTATATAAATCATAAATATAACCCCAAATAAATGTTGACTATAGGCAGGATACTGTCTAGTTGATGATATCAAATGTTCCCTACGTTAATAGTATTTTGGTAGTCCTTATAACACAATCTGTAGAGATATATAGTGTGTCACACGAGTCGAGTTTACTCATGAGTAACGAGTTGAGATTTAGGACTCGTACTATAAGTTCAAGCTCTAAATATTTTAAAACTCTACTCATAATACCAAAAATACAGCTATTTTATATGGGAGAGGCTTAGAAATACAGTAAAATAAAGTAAAAATACTGACTCTTACTCCACTCTTACTCTTCTTGGCATGAGTTCAAGTCCTAAACCCTAACTCTACTCATGAGTCGAGTCCTAAATCTCTACTCGAACTCGACTCGTGTGACACGCTACAGATATATATACACACCACCCCCCGGATTCCCATGCACTCCGGACTGTCCCCTCCAGAGGTACCTTCATACTGTCAAATATTATGTAAAGAGAATTAGAATCGAAGTTATTCTATATATAACGGGCGGCGGTAGCGAGTGGAGACGGAGATTTCTCTCTAATTTACTGAAAGTCGGTGAATAACAGCACAACTATCATTTCTTTCTTGCTTATGAACATGGATACTATTAGCATGTCTAAAATAAAGTAAATATTCTATTAAGGATAAATGTAGAGGTAGAGGGAGATCACTGGTTTGCCAAAAGACGCGTTGGGTCAAATTATCCCACAAGGTATCCCAACACAACTTGTAAAGCAAAGCTTAGCCCCCAACACAGGTAATACCTAATTAACTATCAATATTCTCGAGGTTAGTACGGTTTCAAATTCAGAAAAGGAAGTTTAAGTTAAGTACAACAGGGGGTGTCTACCTTGATAAATCTATTTCTGATGAGTAGTTAAATGGATCTGGGTAGTTGGAACTTTGCGAAGGCTCAAAGTACGGGCCGAGCGGCTCATCAAGGTCATAGCGATTAAAAGTCTCATTATCATCATGCTTCTCATATGGTACACTCTGGCCATTATAATCCGAAAACACATTGTCTTGATAGGGCGCAGAGTATTTCAGGGTCGTAGGTGGTAGTGAAATGGTACTATCTATCCTTGAATTGCTAGCAGGATATCTCTGAATGCCATATAAGGGGTCCCTAGGGACGAGAAATGTATTTGCGTATTCATTAGAAGGAGGAAGACACTGACTCTGTGGGGCTATTTCGTTGAAATGCACGAAGGAACGATTTTTCATCACACCCTAAGTAGGACTTGAGTCAGAAACCTGTTACTGAAAGTATAAAGTCATAAATATACCCAAGATTCTGAATTTGTAGCTGTAGAATAGTACTTTTCATTCGTGCTACATGCGTTGGTAACTTGAGCGGTGCGATGCTCTTGCCATAGATCGGGCTTTCTCTTTAGAACAGATCTTTGTGGCCTTCTATGTGGCTGAAAGGCTGACAGTATTGTGGATTCTCCGAACGGTTGATCTGAAATCTTAACAGGCCCGTATAACCATGTGATATCACTATCTTTGTCCCTGTATTTCATTATTAAGTGAGATGTATTGCTAGGTATGGGTAGAGAGGGAACAGTATTATACCATTCAATACCAGTGGCTGGAAAGGCTTGTCGGGAATCCCTCCCTTTCATCCACGCTCTGCAGAGCGCATTCTCCAATCGGCAATAGTAAGCCCAATCTAAATTGGCTTTTCTAATATGCCGTCTTGTTGGCCAGAGTTCTTCGTATTTCCATTCATGTGACAAATAATCAACATTGGACTGTGGGTTATCATAGATCGCGAGGTCATCATGGACAGGTAGCTGCATTATGGACCGATTGATAGTGAGAATTAACAATTAGAACCATATTAATGTGCTAGAATTTGAATTTAGAGGTAGTAGAATGGGTTGGGTACCACGAAGATTTCAACACATGAGGATTTTGAAATGTATAACAAGGCCCCTCGATGTCAAATCAGGGGGAAGCCTTGAGGCTTCCAAAGCCCTGCTTGCAGCCTTTTCTTTGAAAAATTTTTTTTTTCTCAACCAAGCCACTTTGTTAAGTTAATTAGCATAGGATTTGTGGCTAGCTTCATTCGACATTAAAATTCAAAAATAAGGATACAGAAGGTTCCGCGAAGAAGTTCCATGGCTCAAGTTATGTTTAAGCTGGATATGTGTCTCGAAACGGTGTACTAATGTCGTAAAATGTCGTTTCGATGGGATGTTAACATCAGGAGAGGAAAATGGAGAGGCAAGGGCTTAATGTTTCCGGTCCAATTGAGACAACGGTTAAAGTTGCCGCCAATCAACGACCAAGAAAGCTGGTGACCCATAACTCTCATAGACATGACATTACACCCCACATTCCAAGGTTCCTAAAGAGCGAGCCTCCAAATTCAGAATTAACGCCATAAATTCCATCAGTCCAACAGAGTAGTATACATAATATTACTTGCGTAATCCTTATCATTTGAGCTATGTGGCTTGTTTAGACATACCATTTAGATAAAGATACAGAGATCAAGCTCAATCATACATATACTTCAATAACTCTGTATTCGGTCTGATTTCACCTGACTTAAAGGTATCATCGATCCAAAAGTAGAGAAGATCTGAATCCACCAAGTTTATTCGCCTTGTCTCAACAACCGGCCTATCGGTTGTAATGGACGGCTCTCTTTCTGGTACGGCTTTACTTACGTGACCTATACCTAGAGCGACTTTCTCAAATTTAATGTTATACGGCCGAAAGAGGAGCATGTTTCTGACCTTCGTGCTCTTTGGTGATCTCCAACTCATTGGAATTCAAAACGTACTGTTCTCAGAAAGGCCTGACCGTAAGGACATTGTTGATGAATAGGGTATGAAGTGTCGGGGGATTGGAGATTTGGGACGAACTCGCAGCCAGAATATGAGTAGCGTTAGCCTGGATGAGGAAACAATAAAAATCCTTAGCGATTATGCTAGATACTTTGATCATGTGTGGTTTCTAGAAATTTCATGGAGCTCGCAACAATAAAATGATTTACTAAAAAGTTTTAGAGTATAGTAACTGTCGAGTACCGATAAGTAAAATTCTTTTTTCTTGCTCTGGCTCAACGGCACAAATTAATTGAGGGAAGGTGGACACAAGAAGAAAAGGAAAGAGAGAAATCATTCTCAAACGCTTGGGTGATCAACGAAAGCCTGGGAACGGTATAAGAGGCGTGGGTAACTACTCAGGGAAAGGCCAAACTCTCCGCTTTCAACTAACATCCGATGAAACAATCTCGGCACCCCCATTTTCATAGGTGTCCTAAATAATGTAACGACGATATGGTGGATTGTTGCAAGCCTTGTCCGAAGTAATTGCGAAATCTGCCCTGTTTTCACAATCAGCCCTTGAATCACAAACTTCCACGGATTTTCCCTTGCCATATTCTATTCATCTATTATCTCGAAGATCTTCTGTGGCTAGTGAGGAACACCGTTCTTTGTCTTCCCCAGAGACAATCTCAGTTAAGAGACTGTAAAGTAAATTGGAATGCCCAACTAAGGCGTGAACGTTAAGGTCCTGTTTGGACAGCGTTCGCTCGACCTTCTCCTGACATTTACGGCACAATTCAGCGATTTGAATCTTATTTGTGGACCACTCCTCCATCTCAGACATTTTTGATCCATCCAGAGAAAAAGAGTATAGATCAAGGAGACACCGAATTTTTGTATTTCGGGAGAGAAACTGGACTGTTGGCAAATTAGCTTGAAGAAACATTGTCCAAGCACAGCAGATATACTTGCGTATTTCTGGATCACGGTAAGGAGAGCGGATGTGCATGACTGGATAATTTCTTTTGTCAGGAAAAGAAAATCATGTAGTTGGAATAAAGCTGGTGTCAGGGAATTTATTTATTGACAGGCGGTACATGATCAAAAGTACCCATACAGAACCGGCAGATGTATAACTACTACGAAAGCGGCCATTCAAGGGATCTGTTATGACACTTAAGGAGCCGCTGACCCACTAAGCGGTACGACCTAAGTCAAACCACGTTATGTGTCATACTCACTGCTGGCGATAAACTTTCCTTTCTTCCTAGTCAAACTAGGGGAGAATTTCAACTACTCTTTTCAAAAGTTTCAGTGTGGATTGCTTGTCTCAAATATCTTATCCGCCTACTTCACCCCTTGAAAATTTCCAAGTTGCCGATAGTGCCGTTTTAATACTTTAAACCTTTGGAGTAATCTTTTAATGACGTCGTTACTATAACTTTAGTAATCTCACCAACTGCTAGCAGTCTCCAAGATTTATGACATTTCTATCTAGATCCTTTCATAAACGCGTTCAAATCCGGATAGAATTGAACTGATTGCGTATCCAAGCTGCTTTTGGTTCTTCCCTTGCGCTGAGGGCCACTAGAATCTCAATCCACGGAAACAGCTCGTTGCCTTGTTCATTTCATTTTATTTGGCAGTTTTATAGAGTAGGCGATATGACGGTGATGTTCAACCACTAGATATAGTATAAATGACACTTTTTTTTTTTAAATAAAAAAAAAATTAATAGATAGGGCAAATAATTGAAATAGTTTAGGATGAGAGACTTTGGTATCTCCTTGTATAGTGCCAACCGTTATTGCCTTCCATATCCGGAAACAAAGAGATACTCTTTCGAACCCTAATCACATGATATCCTAGTCCAATATGGCTTTCGTGTAAACTACCTGTGGCGTATTTATACTATAATAATACTTCTAACTGTACCCATCTGTATTGATACAATAATCAAGGGCCAGAGGCCTGCTTTCTAAAAGTATTGGTGATGGCGGTCGTCCCCAAGACATCTCCTACCCTGATTACTGTGCCGTGGCATTTGATATAGCCAGTCTATCTCAGTATATCGATGTGAGCTTTCTGATATGCCTTTCTGATGAGAGCTTCTTGTCCGTCTGCTGAAGGAACGGTGATGTGAGTAGTCCGGCCGAACGATTCGTGGTACAGAGGGTGTACCTGCCCCAGAGACCCGCCGACAAATCAGCCGCCGGAACCATAAGACTCCAAACACACTTTGTTGCGCGTGATTGCAGAAGTGACTCTTCTATTTAAGGAGGACCCTAAAGTGTATAAATATAATACCCTACAATAACAATATCAATTTATTTATTGTTGTTAGACAAGGAGGCTTAACGTTACCCAGTTGTGCTGTGGAAAGTATATCCTTCATAATTATGCTGTCAACTAATCCTTTACCATTTATCAACACACAACGCTGACACTTCAGCTTCTTCCGTAGGTTGAGTCAATAGGAAAGGCAAAAATTAATTAGTATTAGGGAGAACTAATCTTGATTATAAATTATTTTATATACATTATAAGTTCAGCCCGGCAGGATTAGTAGAAAGTATATCTGGTTCTGTTCCAGGGTCTCATTCTAGGTCCCGAAGTGGGCTAGACCTAGTAATGATATCATCATATTTTGCTTAGAAATACCATCATGAACGGTTTATTATTTATTACAAAACTGTTATCTAGAATAAAATAAGCCAGGCATCACATACTCTTGGGTGTGACACCAAATGCAAAATGGCCGAAACGATAGTCCACAGAATTCCCTCCGTGGTTGATCCCAGCCAGGCAGATCAGACAAAAGAGGCCAAAGTCATTACAGGCGGTCTTTTTGCAGAGACAGGAGTCACTGGTAACGCTGGAACTTCTTTGCATGGGTTATTAAGCCAACTCCAATTTATTTTTGTACAGATGACGGCCGGTTAGTTGTTGACTTGCAAGAGCACTGTCCACGGATTGGCAGTTTGTTGGATGCCTTACGGCGCCAGAATGATGCTCGTCAGAGGTCATGGATGCCCGAAGATAGCGATACGCGGTTTCCCCTGCAACTGAACGTGGTGATTCATGTTGTGGGATCTCGTGGAGATGTCCAACCGTTCATCGTGCTTGGTCAGGAGTTAAAGAGACACGGCCACCGGGTTCGGTTAGCTACACATTTGGTCTTCCGCGATTCCGTTCGCGAGAGTGGTTTGGAGTTTTTCAATATTGGAGGCGATCCAGCTGGATTAATGTCCTTCATGGTGAAAAACCCCAAGTTGCTCCCCAAGATGGAAACTATTATCCAAGGGGAAATCATCCAGCGTAGGAAAGACATCCGAAAGATGCTGGGCGGTTGTTGGCGATCGTGTTTTGAACCTGGCGAAGGCATCAACTCGACTCCAGCAGAATGGGAATCAGCACCGCCGTTTATTGCGGATGCCATCATTGCTAACCCGCCTAGTTTTGCTCACATTCATTGTGCCGAGAAGATGGGGATTCCCCTCCACCTGATGTTCACGTTAGTCTCCTCCCAGTTCTATATAGATTTGTTGCTGAAACTCCTCAAGAATGCCGTGGTCGCCTACTCAGTTCTTTTCACATCCTATGGCGAGCGTTCATACAACCGGTAACAAATCTACGGTCGCAAATCTGGTCTCGTATATGATTGCAGAAACGGTGATGTGGCAGGGGGTAGGCGACCTCGTTAATGAATTCCGTCGTCGTGAACTGGGATTACAAAAGTTGGATTCCATGAGAGCCCCTAGCCTAATCCATCGGCTGAAGATCCCTTTTACATACTTGTGGTAGGCTTTGAAAACTATACTTTTATTGATGACCATGACTGACATACGGCCATGCAAAGGTCACCATCCCTTCTCCCAAAGCCCAATGATTGGCAGAGTCATATCGACGTTGCTGGATTCTGCTTCCCCCCGGTCAACGAAAACTACGAGCCTCCCCAAGATCTCCTCGAATTCCTCGAAGCTGGACCACCGCCTATCTATATTGGGTTTGGGTCAATTGTGGTGGACGATCCGGATGGTCTGACTGGGATTATTCTGGCCGCTGTAAAAGCATCTGGCCAACGCGCATTGGTCTCCAAGGGCTGGGGAGGGTTAGGGGCTGATCAAATCGAACATGCTGATGTATTCTTCCTCGACAATTGTCCGCACAACTGGTTATTCCCCAGAGTGTCTGCGGTTATTCATCATGGTGGCGCTGGGACGACTGCAACCGGGCTAGCTTTTGGGCGACCCACAGCCATCGTACCATTCTTTGGTGATCAGCCTTTCTGGGGTATGTTGGTTGCCATGAATGGGGCAGGTCCTGAGCCCATTCCTTTTAAGCAATTGACTACGCATAGGCTAGTAGAGGCCATCCGCTATTGTCTTGAGCCCGAAACTGGAAAGAACGCAAAGGCTCTGAGTGAGAAAATCCAGTCTGAGAATGGTGCACTCAGGGCGATGGAGAGTTTCCATCATCATCTTAACTTGCATAGGATGCGATGTGCACTGTGTCCTGATCGCCCGGCTGTGTGGCGAATCAAGCATACGAAGATCTATGTTAGTGCCTTTGCTGCTTGTTGTCTCGTTCACTCCAAGAAACTTGCTCCAAAGGATTTTAAGCTGTATGCATCTCTTTATATAGACAGGTTAAGAATGATTACTCACCTTGATAGACACCGAACAAAAGCCTACGATACGAATCTGGAACCCGGGGTTCCTGGCCTCGCAGTAGCCGAAACATTCACCGGTTCTTTAACCAATTTCTTGACAGGACTGGTGGAGCTGCCAGTTCAACTAGTGCAGAATTTTTCTCGGTCTCCTTCGGCTCGATTTGCCGAGAGATATGGTCTGACAACCTATTGCGATAACCAGTTGTCTGGTCGCTCTTCCCTGTGTTCCGGATCCCAAAGTGATGGTCAACAAAACGAAAAACCAAACTCGGGTGCCGTAATATCCAGATCTAGCACCTCGCTCTTTTCTACATCAAGTCAAAGCTCACTGGATATGCCTTCGATGGATCGAGGATCGGCATCCTTTAAGAATGTACTCGTCAATACTAGTTACACTGGACGGCAGGTCTTTGATTGGATATTGGAGCTACCGATGAGTGTTACATTCCTGCTCTGTCACACCTTTCATTATGCGCCTCGATTTTACCATGACCAAACCGTGCGTGAGACACCAATAGCCACCGGGCTGCAATCGGGATTTGTTGGTGCCGGTGAGGTAAGCAAGAATTACACTTTCAAATATTACCATCCTAGGCTAAATATTATAGGAACTGATGTATAGCTTGTATGACGGAATCACTGGTGTTATAACCCAACCTCATCTTGGATGGAAAAGCGACGGAGCTGTAGGTCTCCTGTCAGGAGCTGGCAAGGGCGTTGGTGGGTTACTGCTTAAACCCCAAGCTGGTATGTACATCATGCCATCTGCTAGGATTCTCAAATCAGTCAATATTAACTGAACCACAGGATTATGGGGTTTATTAGGATATCCCCTCAACGGACTCCATCAAAGCATTGCAAAATCGTATGGGAAAAATCGCCGATGTTGTGTCGTAAAATCACGCATCACGCAAGGGTTGGCAGAATTGCAGCTTGCATCTGAAGACCAGCGGGCGGCTGTTTTTGATCGGTGGAAGAGGGAGTATGAGCAGAAAATCATGGTCAAGCTTGGGAGGGCTCATTAGAAAAATTGTTATGTCACCGTTGGAAGATTGGTGAGTTGTAAATTATGCTGTTTTCATAATACAGTTCTTTGTAAGGTAATTATGACTCCTAAACAGTCTGATTAGATGCTGGTATGGACCCAGTACGGTAGCCTCTCAATAGGTCTTGCAGAAATTATGTTACAGCTGTTAAAAAAGTGTAAGGCACCGGGAGCCAGAGGTGCTTGGAATGGTGATTTTTGGTTGCAAATAACCTACATACTACAAGTGAGAATACTGCATGGTTAAATGTATAGGTGGTATTACTTAGAATTAATCACTTACCCTATAGTTATCTATTATATAGTCTTAATGGGACATCCCCGGCCCCTGCTGATGGGGGTTCACAATTTTCATATGGTGGGCAGCCACTCTAGTGGGCAGGCCCACCTCTTTTTCAGTACTAAAAAGCTATACTAACCCTATTAAATAGGTAGCTAATTACCACCCCCCTATCTACTAGCTATAGAACCCTATTAATTAAGCTATTAATTACTATATCCCTTTCCTTTCCCTTAGGTATTCTACTCCTTTTGAGCATCATTGTGAGTGATATTGTAAAATAATTTCTACTGGTAATATCAGTCAGTCTCTATCACTTGATATGTCTAAGAGACATTATGCTATTGAATTGTGCTTTTACAGGGCAAACCTGGAGTGATGTAGACTTGCAGTCAATAGGATCATTTACCCTTTTCATTTCAAAGTTAAATTGCGTAGTTGTCTTTTAAAGGAGCGGGGAATATAATAATGATATACTATATCCTTACTTCATGATTTCTCCTTCTCTTTACTAGTATTCTACTTTATGTATTTTGGGATCTTCACACTGTGCACCTATCTCCTGCACGAGCAAAACAGAGATTTGAATAGTCATTCATTGGAAAGAAATGAAATTGCATTGATGTGCTGAGATATATACCTCACATGGAAAGAGCTCAATTCGGCGGTCCAAAAGTGGCAATGCGAGTTCGAACGTTGCACTTGTCACCTTTATTGACCGTGTATTCCACTGGATGCTGCAACACCAAGACCATATCCGATCCGCCATACGCAAAGTTGGAGATCTCCTGCCCTTTCACAATATCCTGTCCCACCTCAACGTGCAGGACAACAGATGAAATATGAGCCAGGCCAATCGGCAACACGGCCACTTTGCCATAAATCTCGTTCTCGATGACAATCAGCCCGCGAGTCTGGCACCATTGGTGGGTGGGCTCATCGGGGCCATCCAGCTCTTGGGGCTCTTTGCCCAATCCCTTTTTGCGCAAGGACTGTGGCACCAAAAGACCACGGTCGAGCGCCAAACCGACCTTGCCATTCCCCTCACTCATCTTGGTTAACTGGAGGTAAACCTGCTCCTGGATGACTCGCGCTTCGACGACTTTCCCACTGATAGGGGCATGCTGGCGGTGGTAGTCAGTCGGAGTGAGGAATGCATTCATGAATGAACCGCTGGCAAAGTCTACCGCTGCGTTCTGTAGGAGCTTCGAAATCGGCCACACAAAACCCTTGATGGTCACGAATCCCTGTTGGACGTCCCAGTTCCCATTGAAAAAGGAGTCGGCCGCACTGACAATCACATTTTCTGCTCGATCCTCCTCCGATAGAGGTCGGGCGACGTCGTCATCTTTCCAATGGCGAGCGAAAAACTGGTTGAATGACTCCCATCCTCCAGCCGGGGGGTCTTGCCATAGGTGCGCCTCTTGATTGAACATGGCGTTTTCATAGAAGCTATAGATCCCTCCCGTAGACTCCTTGGTGCTCAGCCAACGGCCGATTTCGCGCGCATAGCTCACCTGCCAGTAGGAGAGCCATGTCGGATCGTCATTAGTGGCGGCAGGGTTGACGGGAGTCTGGAGGTCAATGACACTGGGCTGGTTGAGCACCCAGTGGAAAACCAGGAGCTTCCGCAGCAGCTCATTGTTCCCAGATGTGACTGTTGGAACCCAGTGGAGGAGATCTTGGCAGAAGCGGAAATAGTCCTCCAAAGTGTTGATGCCTTCCGCTTTCATCTCTTCGGCTCCGCCGTTGGCTGGATTGGTAGCATCGTAGATGGCCTGTCGGAATTGGATCTCTCTGGCCGGATAGCGAGTGACAAACGCCTTGAGGTCTTCGACGATCGAAGCATAAACAGGAGGTTTGCCTTTCTGGGAGACTTTCTGGGGGATTCTGAGACCCAAGATTTGAGTCATGGTGCAATAGGCTCACCTGATCTGTATCTATTGAAGAGGGACAAGTTTCAAATGAATCTGGGAGGTTTTTTTGACCGCCTCTCATCCTCATGACAACAGCTCACGTAGACCATCCTAATTAGCTGACATGACAACGCTAGCCTAATTAGGACACTGACGTGGCTAATTATGTGACTAGTAGAGCTTATTCTATTGACAAAACCACAAGTCGTTCACCCCTCGCTGCGCTCGGGCGGCTTGGAGTGGGGCTGACTCAGCAACATTGGGCAGTTTGCTAAACCACGTTGAATAGAGACAATAATAGTAAAGAATAATAAGAAAAATTTTCTACAACTGTATTGTAAATAGAATGAATAGAGAATAATAGAGCTTACTTCATGGGACACCCCCAGCCCCTGCGGAGGGGGTTCCCACCTTTCCTATGGGGCTCGCCCACTTGTCACACCCTGGTATCTCACAATGGTACCGGACCTGTAAAACTGTGAGTTGAGCCAAGAAATACTAACCTATGACTTTAATCTAAGGATATTGACAGTAACTGGGGTGCTCCTATAAGCTAAGAGTACTTAAGGATATAGTAAGGTAGATAAAAAGAGAAGTAAGGCTAAGAAGTATATATACTTCTTAATTAAGCTAGAGATATATAAATAAGTGGGTAGAATAATTAGAGTAGTGATAGAATAGTAACTATAAGATTAATGACTTTAATTAATTATAAAGAACTATCTAAGTATATGATATAAGTGTCCTTATATATATCCCTCACTAATATACTATTCTATATACCATCTTAATAGTAGTCCTGATAGTAGTTATATACTATATATCATGTCTTAGTAATAGTAGATGGTAGTAGATCACATGAGTATGGTAGTGTTATAAAATGGTGGCTGTAAAGAGAGTTATAATAGTAAATCATAATTCTCTGTAATAAGAATATCCTTTCCTTATTGACCGCCTTATTCTGCCTGATACGGTCACTGATAAAGGTGCCGTAACAATTACTATTTATACCTTAGGTCTATGTAGTTTCCTATTACACCTGAATTAATCATTATCTTTGCTGGCTGGCTAAGTACTTTAGTGATAAGTCTGAGGTAGAAGCTCTACTGCATCTCATTTACTGACAGTGATTTATTATTTCTAAGCTTATCCAATTCTTTTTAAGCTCTATTCAGGATCTTATTAATTTATTCTCGTGCTTTGTCCCTGTTGTGCTAATTTATAGTTAAACTTATAGAGTACTAGCTGATAGAAACTTAGATAAAAACCTAAATAAAAGTCATATAGATTATAGGAGTAGTATTAGTTAGTATTACTAGGTTAACGAAGTAAGGAGTGATGGTGAGGAATGTTGGGACTTGATTAGGTATGGAGTTTGGAGTTTGGGATATATTTTAGATGAACTGTACAAGTGCTTTACCTTTATTATGTTTTTATCTATAGGATATAGGATATAGTAAGTTAATATCTAAGGAACAATCCATCTCTACTAGCGACATGAAGGAAACCCGAAATGTCTATTACAGAACAATTCGACACTCAAAAACTGAATGCTGGGAAACTTCCTTGGGAGGACCTACAGAAATTTCAGACCGGACCAGCCCAGATGACAGTGCTCGATGCTGGCTAGCATTGGGCTATACTAGATCTAAGACTACAACCTCTACCCCTGACCTCCGAGGACCGCAGGGAGAGAAGGCCATGTCTATCAGCAATAAAGAGGCTCTGATCCATGAGACAGCATTCCTGAGGGCCCCAGGTGACAACCAAACTATAGAACCTCCACATGGAACCTTAATGGTGACCTTATAGGTCTGGAATGAGAGATAGATAGGTGATTGATTGGAGCCATCTAACACGAAGCTATCTACAATGGTGGACCACTGTGGGCTACTAAGCGAGTGCTGAGTCATCTCCGCGGAGATCGCCATTGGGCGGCCAACAGGAACCAATGCCCGATCGTAGGGATAGGCCAATGGTAATGATGAGAGGTCCAACATGGGTGAGAACTGAGAGTCCGAGATCATCCATGCCAGGATAAAAGTGTTGAACTCCAGTAAAATAGTAGTTGGCGGGCTAAAAGCGGGATCAGCTGAGTAGACCTCACTAAGCGTAGACCTCACTAAGCGTAGACCTCACTAAGCGTAGACCTCACTAAGCGTAGACCTCACTAAGCCTGCTAGACATGCCTGATACTCCACCACCCTGTGACTGCGCCACTCTGCCTGCTGTGTTGCACACTGTTTCTTCGGTTCTTCAAGTCTATAAAACCCCTTTCGATTTCTAGACACATCCTTTCTTTCTTTCTTCTCCAACGCAGTGCGGTTCAATCAATCCTTCCATCATCTTCCTGTTCAACAGTTTTTGCTCCACGGGCTAGTTCTATTTTCGTTTTCTCTCTCTTCTATCTAGACTTTCAGTTGTTTTGCCTGTGGCATACTCCGACTTCGTTCCTTTTCGGAAAAGAAAAGCTTCTCTTGTCTCGCGCACCACTTGCTCTTCTTTGCTCATACAAAGGTATTGTCTATTGTCTAATGCTTTCTGCCTGTTGTCTTATTACCCTGTTCATGGCCCTTTATGATCTTTATGTCAGCTGGATCAGCCTCCTACAATGGCCAGTGTTCCTTGATCATGGCTACATACGTATATTCTCTTTTCCTACCTTTTCCACTTCATCATCATGTTGTTCTTTGCTAATTCTATCCCATCAGGAGTCTTTCCTGCTCTCAGCTTTCCAACGTCCCGTCTCTTCGGCTTCTCCTTCTTTTTTCCCCCCCCCCTGATTCGTCTGGCACGATCAGAATATCCCATCCTTAACTGTCGATCAGTTTTTTTGTTAGAAAACAAATCTCCCATTACACAATGTTGTTCTCCAAGACTGGTTTCGTGGCTGCCATCCTCCTGGGTGCCTCCACCGTCAACGCTCACCTTTACATGAAGAGCCCTCACCCATACGGCCAAAGCACTCTTAACAACTCTCCTCTCGCGGCTGATGGCAGTGACTTTCCTTGCAAGCAGCGTAATGGTGTCTATGCCGCTGCTAACGGTGATAATACCTTTAAGATTGGCGAGGAACAGTCTTTAACCTTAGTTGGTAGCGCCACTCATGGTGGTGGTTCTTGTCAAATCAGTTTGTCTACTGACTTGAAGCCTACCAAGAACTCAAAATGGATGGTCATTAAGTCCTGGGAAGGTGGCTGCCCCATTAAAACTAATGGCAATATTGGCAACTCCCCTAGCTCCACCGTCCCCAGCAACTTAAAGTTCAAAATCCCTAAGGGCATTAAGAACGGCAAGTATACCTTAGCTTGGACCTGGTTTAACCGTATCGGAAACCGTGAGATGTATATGAACTGCGCCCCTATCACTGTCACCGGTGGATCATCTAAGCGTTCTAATGATGAGGCTTCTATCCAGAAGCGCTCTTCAAACTTCCCTCCCATGTTTATAGCCAACGTCAACGGCTGCACCACTAAGGAGAATTACGACATCCGATTCCCCAACCCTGGCAAATATGTGCAGAAGCTAGGAGACGCCAAAAACCTTCTCCCTAAAGGCCAGTCGGCTTGCACTGGTACTCCTAAGTTTGGCGCCGCCGGTAACAAGAAGGCCTCTACCCGCCGACGCAACGCCGGTCACCACTTCCGTGCTTAAATGATCTTGTCTTCCGCTGGCTCGGATGTTGCAAGTCTTCATTTCCTTTTACCTTTCATTCCCCTTCTAAGGTAACCTCAATCGCCTCATAAACAGCCTTGTTTTGGCTCGGCTTTGTTTTCTTTGCGCTTTTTCTTTCAGTCTCTCTTCAATCATGTACATTTTAAGGAATGACTAAAATTGGTAGCGTGGAGTTTGGATATACAGTGGTTTTTTCTTGTGATTACAGACTTTTATCTATCAGCTCCTCCGGTTGACTAAGAGGTGTCTGGCCTATGAATCCAATTTTGAAACTGCTTTAATTATTTCCCTTGTAGTAAATTGTTATGCTTGGGCACTTTACCTGTTTACATATGAAGTAGACCTGATGTAGCTCCAGTTTTCGCAGAACTTATCGAGGAACATTTGATTTAAAATAGTACAATACTTATTACTTCTTCCTTTGAGTCCAAAGCACTGCGCTGCGTGGATGGTCTTATCTCCGGCTTTCTACATGCTGTAGTTAGTATCTTCCTGGTGAGACTGATATCGTGACTAATAATGGGCCCAGCCCGCGTGCGCGCGCGCCGCCATTTGACGGGACACCCCCCGCCCCCGCTGACGGGGTCCATCAATTTTATATGCAGCCCGGCCACTCTTTATATAGTTATAGTAATTAATATTTTTTAAGATAGGATTTATTTAACTGCTAGATTGGGGTTATAAAATGAGAATTAGAGGAGATAAGAAGTATTAAGAAGAATAGGGGATTAAAAAAATAAGAGTTAGAGAAAGAATAAAGGAGGTGGGTAGTTATTGTAAAGCACTGGGAGCCGGAGGTGCTTGGAGATAGTGATTTAGGCTGTGAGTTACTGGCATACTACAGGCGAGAATACTGCGTGGTAAACTTTTTGGTGGTATTACTCAGAATTAATCACTTACCCTGCATCTATCTATTATACAGTCTTCTAAATACTATCTTAACTAGCTATAGTCATGTGGTTTAGGGAACCTACTAAGACCTTATAATAAGGTTACTGCTGGTTTACTATTAGGTTCTAGGGTATAATAATTACTCCCCCCCTTTATAGGGGCTTATCTATAAGTCCTATACTAAGCTAAATTTAGAATAGTCTAGATATTAGATTAATATAATACTATAATACTACTTAAATTACTTCTTATTCTAACTACTCTAGACCCTATTCCATGCACGGCGGGGTAGGGCGCCACATAGTAAAAAAGTCTTGGCATGGCTAGGGTTAGGAGGGTGTTACGGCACCTTTATCAGTGACTGCATCAGGCAGAATCAGGCGGTCAAGGGGAAAGGATATTCTTATGGTGGAGAATTATGAATTACTATTATCACGCTCTTTATAGCTACTATCTAGCAGACACTACCACACTCACATAATATGGTATATAGGTACCATATCTTGGCAAACATACTATTTAGTATACTGACATGGGTGGTATACATCTTAGTATATAGAATAGTATACCACTAGCATACTATATAGAGGACCATCTAGAGGATTATAGATATAATAAAAGGATATATAGGGATACTTATTTTATATACTTAGATAGTTCTTTATAATTAATATAAGTTATTATTTTATAGTTACTATTCTACTACTACTCTAATTATTCTACCTACTTATTTATATATCTCTAAGCTTAATTAAGAAGTATATATACTTCTTAGCCTTACTTCTCTCTTTAACTACCTTACTATATCCTTAAGTACTATAACTTATTAGGAGTACCCCAGTTGCTATTAATATCCTTAGATTAGGATTATAGGTTAGTATTACCTAGGCTTAACTTATAGGTTATAGGTTAAGGTACTGTTATAAGATCCTAGGGTATGATATATTAATTACCTATCTATATAAGTATATAAATAATATTTAATATTAATACCAGTCTATCTTAAGTAATTAACTTAAAAATACTATAACTAATAATACCCTAATAAGCAGTGCTAATCCTAGTAAAACCTAGAGTAATAAGGAGCTCTTAAGGATAATTAAGTAGCTTTAGAAGACTATTACTATAATAGAGAGTCACTTAACTACTAAGGTAGTTAAAGTATAACTACCTAAACTATTTACTAGAAAAAGATTATATCTTTAAATATTTCTTATATAGATGGACACCTATCTTAATATTAATAAAGAGAAACTCTAATATAAGGCTAATAAGGTAGTTTTTATATTAACCTACTTATTAGGTAATATATTTAATTAGTTTAAGCTATTTCTCTAAGACTTTTAAGAGAACTTATTATATTATTAAGATAATAATACTAAAGAAATTTTTACTTCTTATACTAAGTTTAAAGAATACCTTAAAGGAACTTTTAGTAATATTAATACTATATAATAAGTAGAATAGAAATTATAATAACTTAGATAGATAGGATTAGTATAGTAAATAGTTTCTAAATTCTAGTAAATTATATCCTACCTAGATTAGGATAAAGATATATATATATTATAATTTAAAGAAATATTAAAACTAGAAGTATAAGAAAAACTTATCTAATAGGAATAACTAGACTCTCTAGCTAGATTTATTAAATTAGTAGTTAAAATAGATAATAAACTTTATAAATTTAAAAATTAGCACACTAACTACTAGTTTAGAGGAAATTAGTATATAACTAATTACTAATTAAATAATAGCTAAAGGGTATAACTAGTAAGCTAAGGATATATAGATCCTTTTAGGCTATAACTAATAGAACTTAATATAATAAGTATAAGATAGAAGGGTATAACACTAGATAAATAGGAATAATAGTATAAAGAAAAGCTTTATTTCTTTTATAGAAAACCTAGATATATAATAAAAGATTACTAAGTAAGGTAATAGTATAACTAGAGAAATTAGAACCTAGGAAAATAACTCTAAGCTATAAAGGAACTTAGAGTAATAAATAAAGACCTATAACTTTAGAAACTCTATTAATAGTACACTATATTAAGTGAAGAAGAAATTAATTAAGAGCTTAATATAAGGAAAAGAGGACTGATTAAGATAATATAGGATAATTAAATAGAAGAAGAGCTATAACTAGAATAGTAAATAGAAGTAGAATACTATCTAGATAACTTAGTATTAGATAATAGCTGTGCACTATATAATTAGTTAAGACTAAATAGTAAGGATCTAGCCCTACTTAAACTTAGTATATTATATAAGTTAAGTTTAAGTAGATATTTAGGACTTAACTTATGAGTTAAGTTAGAAGGTAGGACTTAAACTTATAAGTTAAGTTAGGGTTTAAGACTTAAACTCATACTAAGAAGAGTAAGAGTAGAGTAAGAGTCTATATTTTTACTATATTTTATTATATTTTTAAGCCTCCCCTATATAAAATAGGTGTATTTTTAGTATTATAAGTAGAGTTTTAAAATATTTAGAGCTTAAACTTATAGTATAAGTCCTAAATCTTAACTTAACTTATATTATAAGTCCTAAATCTTAACTTAAACTTGCCTTATTACTTAAACTCTACTTATTACTTATAAGTAAACTTAACTTATATAATATACTAGACTAGATAGTAAGGATCTAGCCCTACTTAAACTAATATATATAAATAAATTAATTAGAAACACCTAGAATAATAAAAGATATCTTAATATTAATAATGTATTTAATAGTATAAGACTAGAACCTAGAACTCTAGTATTATTATATTATAAATACTAGATCTACTATAAACCTTATAGTATATAGAATGCACTAAGATAGAGCTATAAAAAGCTAGTTCTTATAGATAAAGTAGTTAACTAAGTTTAGTAAGCTATTAATCCTTTAGATAAAGAGTATAGTATTTAATAGGAAGGCCTAGTATCCTACTAAGAGGGACTTTATAAGTTACTTAAGTAACCTTAAAGAACCCTATAAGATAATTTTAAATTAAATAAATATATTATAAAACTACTTTTTAGGGTTAGGGTTTAGGGTTAGGGTTAGGGTTAGGGTTAGGGTTAGGGTTAGGGTTAGGGTTAGGGTTAGGGTTAGGGTTAGGGTTAGGGTTAGGGTTAGGGTTAGG